TGAGGATTAAAGATGAAGCACTACAGCAATTTCATGATTTCAAAGTTATGGTGGAGAATAGTTACACTCACTCACAATATTGCGGCACTACAAACAGACAAAGGGAGAGAATATCTCTCCAAGGCATATCATGCATTCTGCGTAAAATCAAGTATTCATCATGCCTTAACTTGTGTTTACACTCCGAATCAAAATGGTGTATCTGAACGAAAGAATAGTACTATATTTGAGATGGCCCGAAGTTTATAATTTAATGCTCAATTACCTAAGGCTCTCTAGGAGGAGGCAGCAAGGACAACTATTTATGTCTTAAATCGGCTGTTAACAAAGGCAGTATAGATGGCAACACTCTTTCAGCGGTTGACAGGTCTCATTCCAAATGTTAAGCACTTTAAAGTCTTTGGATGTGCAGCTTTTATACTCCTTACAGCCAAGTTCGACAAACTTTCTGCTAGCCATTTACTTTTATAGGTTATGATACTCACTCAAAAGTCAAAAGCCTACCGTGTGTATGATGTTGTTAATAAAAAAGTGTATATCAGTAGAATCGTGAGATTTAACGAGTATGTTTTTAGACTCGCTGCTCAACATGATCCCGAACTTGTTGACAATTTGAATATACTACTTCCTAGAAAATAAAACCTCAATCAAGGACTTCCGTTGTCAATGTTACATTTGAGAATGTTCTACCTACTGACGCTACATCTCACTTATTTACTAAAACCACACCTTCTCAGACAATAGCTCCGTACATTCAGGAATCCACTATATCCATGCCTGCTGAATGTATGCGATCAGAGTCCCCGCCGCCTAAATTACCTAAAATAAACTCCGCCGCGGCACCTATTTGTAATTACCAATTATTACTTGTGTGTAATTTTCAACTGATTTTCCTCCGTCAATGGGTTTTTCGGATGTAGTGTCCAACTGATTTCCTGTCGCCAATGTGCTTTCCAGGTGTAGTGTCCAATTGATTTCCGGCATCAGTGGATTTTTTGAGTGTAGTGTCCAACTGATTTCCCGCCGTCAATGGGTCATTCGAGTGTAGTGTCCAACTGATTTCCCGCCGTCAATGAATCATTCGTGTGTAATGTTCAACTGATTTCCCACCATCAATTGGTTATTGATTTCCCGCCATCAATCGATTATTGGAAACTTTCCCACTGCTTTTGGAGTTCTAGTGTTGAGAACAGCATTCTTGACACCCATCGATCAATTTAGATTTTCCCGTTGTTTATTTTAATATTTATCATCTAAATAATTTCGTTCAATTTGTATATAATGAATATGTATGAAATAATTAATCTTTAAACTAAACATATGATTAATATCACACAGAAAATATTATTTATAAATGTATTAATACTTTCAATGATGTAAGGTATGCCCTCATTCCCAAAATTATTTACCTATAGGAATCAACTTGTGATTTTGTGTTGAAATAAACTCTTTCATCTTTCATTTTCTCTTGTGGTCCGATGATCTCTTGCAATATGCAATATTGGATGCAAGGACAAACATATATAGTATTTATGTGATATTATATATATACGTGAATGTTCAAACGACCACATTGAAATCAGAAAGGAAGAGAATTGTGATTTCTCTTCCTTTCTATGCAAAATATATCGTCAAAGTCGATACTTCCATGGATACGGCAAGTGCCTTGCAACAAAAGATTAGCCATGGCCCTGCAACAAAGGATCGACTAGTTCTCTTGCAAGCTCAATTTGGAAGCACTCTTCACCTTACTTGTTACTAGAACATCAAATACTACAAAATCAATGCGAGTTAGTACTCTTGAATGCGTTTCCATCGGCTATGCATCTCTCATCCAAAATATCTCGCTCATTCAGATAAACATTCTCGTAATGTGCAAAAAGTATTTCGGGAATGTAAACTTATCGACAGCAGAAAGTTAGCATTCAATGGTCAAACAATACCTTAGAGTCTCGACAAAAGATCTCAGAGATATTCAAATCCTATTTTCACATGCTTTTAAGAACAAAATCAAAGTACAAGAGAATTTTGATCCTATCCAAATCAATCACAAGCAAAATCAATTCTTTTACAATGATATTATTTGTCCAATTTTGGTCGACGTACTCAACAAAGTTTCAAAGCAAGTTGAGCTAGCAAAACAAACGGACGTACATACACACTCTAAAGCTTATTCTACTACAATGGGATTGCCTGTGCTCCTCCGATTAGAAACAGATTGAGAGATAATGGTAGGCTTTAGATCATTAACTTTCATGCTATTTGGCACCTGGTCAATCGTGACCTGCTAGAACCCGTTGCATTGCTAGCTGCAATGCAAAGAGACATGGAGACGAGCTTGCACCAATCATTGAGGTTGTTACCAACACTTATCAAAACTTGGCATCGCATTAACGTGAAAGTATTCAAAGTCCTACTCTTGGACGTGGCAACCGAGGCATTATCATTGGAGAATCCTTCAATGCTGCGTACATGCGGATGCATTCCTGGTTCTAAAATTTGAGTAATTGTACTACTCCCGGAATGAATTATCAACCTAAAGGAATGTTTTGCCCTTTGAAATCGTTCAAAGAGTTTCATATGATGAATCTCAAGTTTCAGGCAACGCTTCACAAGTACGGAACTTTGCGGTATATATATATATATACGCCAATATACAACAATGACAAACTAGGAGATGATATTCGATTTAAATGCAAAAAAAAAAGTATTTTTGAAAGATTTATGGTCGTTTTATCATTCACTGTCATATATATGGTAAGTGACGTATCTCCAATGAGGTTAGATGCGGAAATTTAAAGCAAATATTCTATGGGCATGACACATCCTGGCAGATAAGCCTGAGAGATTTGCTTGATGGGAACTCTGCGGAAAGTAATTTGTTTGATGGGACCCCTCAGGTTTAATTTTACACGATGGGACCCCAACGACGGTGTGCCGTTGGACATAGGTTTTGTAACTACGATTACTACTAGTTACAATGCGGGAATTACAATCAGAGATCAATCCTTGATTATAATTTTTTGTGGATTATCACGGGGACAAAGATCGATTTTGCTCGAAGTGCAATTTGTTGTACTTCAATTCTTACCACGCAAAGATTCGCGGATTTCTCTGTTTCCTCCCACCTGCAAACTCCTGCCATAATCTTGCTCAAGTCTCACGATCATCCATTTGTGACGAACAAATAAACTCCCGATGAACATTTCTTTGCTCGTCTCTTTGGAGTGGCCGGATATAGAATGACAACATAAAAACAAGTGAGTGTGATAGAGTGCGAAGTCCACTCTGTCTGCGGTTGCGGTGTACTCGTTGCACTCTCTCTAATTGCTATTAGAACATGATTGACGGTGCATCGTTCATGGAGTCCCATCGGTTAAACTGAAACATGAAAGATTCCATCAATTAAACTGAAACATGAAAGGTTCCATCAATCAAATTACTTTCCGCAGGGGTCCCATCAAGCAAATCTCTGGATTCAACTTCAGCTCATCTGCCAGGAGCAATAATTCTATACTTTCGTATTGATCTTGTCCATTAATTGTATTGGTCTTCATACTCCGATCTCCTCCGCTTGGAGATCGGAGTACAATGCAAGAATAGATGGTACGATACGCACATGTCACGAGTCAGATTGGATTGAACTGAGACTATTCATAATATTTCAATTTGTGTAATTTTGCACGATTTGATATTGAAATTTCCATCTTACTGCTGCATTAAATGATGCCAACCACTTCAAAAAACTAGCGATGAAAACGGGCGTCGGAATGCTAGTTAATAAAGCAATGGCATGAAAATCAAAGTACATCAAAAGATCCTATCTATAGACATCAATATACTCGAATTCCAGAACTAGTATAACACATAGATATCATCAAGGAAATAGAATGTTTACATTCTTTTCTTCGAAAAACAAAGATAAAAATTAGTCTTATCATATATGATTGAATGCTTAAACTTCACACTATTCCGTACTCATTGCATCTGAAGATATAACCAGCCTTTAGACAACATCAATCGAGCGCGACATTAGTACAATAATGTCGACAAAAGTTATTAAATACCAAATTGCAGTATTTACGGTAATCACCCTGGCCTTTATATTGTATGGAGTAAAAATAAATATATATACCCAAAAATAAGAAACATCCCGTGACAAGATTAATCGAAATATCGAATTTATTTCCGATGGCATCACCTGACACTTATATTGTCAGTTGCTGTGATCGGTAAGAAATGCGACATATTTGATACAATTCAATGAATCTCTTACTCACGATCTAGTGAACGCTCAGTAGTCCAGGCATAAGACGAAGATACCTACAACAGGCGCAATTACTGGATGTCCTCGAGAAGGCGTCGTGCAAGATGTGTCAAGGCAGACAATGCTCGAACTATTCAAAATCTACAGCCGTGTAAAGGGTGATCGGAGAAGTCCTAAGTACATGACCAACGTGCAGCATGCAAGTGAATTCAACAAAAATCACACGTTTTCCTCTACATTGGGTGAGGGTGTTCAGAGATGTGAAATGTACGAAATGGATGGCGACGTTGTTGACAGTAATCAGCGAATAAAAGTTGGAGGATCAAGCTGACAGAGGTAGCCTCTTTCTATGAATCTGGTAATTGCCAGTAGAGGCCTGAATGGTAAAATGCATTGGTGGGAAAGTAGAGTATACGGAGGGAAGGACTGATACGCGAGTATTTGCAGTGAAGGTGACGAAGGCTACGAAACCCTGAAACAGGAAGCAGAAAACACTGAAGAAATACACAATACCTCGAGACCATGACATTTTCCTCAAGATTTGTAGCCACTACCCAACCAAATCAACCCCACAGATCAAGTTTTACTAAGGACTCCCGTACTAGAAAACATAATTTTCCAAATACTCCAAGTCAGATCTCCTCGTCAACTGTCTGTAAAGAGATCCCAAACAAAGCCCTTTGTTTTTTCTCAATTTCCTAATCAACAGTGGATGGACATGCAGAGATGACAAGTTAAGCTCCCACGTTGAGTGGTTGCCTTAAAGTGCATGCTATTGGGGAGTCAAATTATTGCCTAGCAGTAAATAGGCAACAGGTCTAGAACAGAGCACCCATAAAAAATGACAGGTGGGGGAGGCACTGGTAGGAATTAGACGACTAAATTGCACCAATTTTCTCTATCTGAAAAACGACACAAAGCTTTCTCTTCATCCAAACGGCCATTAACATCCCACCCGCAGCCTTTTCATAATATTAAATCCGCTGAATGATATTTACATCCCAAACAAAAACCTACTCCAGCTTCTGCGGATAGAAGCCCCCAACATGAGACTATGGTACTGCCATGTGCTCATCATCTCTGTAGAACCCCTTGCCATAAATATTCCCCTACCTACAAGAATTTCCTAAAGAAAGAATCGCAAGAAAATCGGATGCCTGGTTACACCTGCTCAACTACTCCCATTCTACAGTTGCTGGGGGTTTAGATGTAATGTCATACACTACCCGGTTGATTCCTCTTACGGTATTGCATATCTTCGAAGACACCTCTGCCAAAAACTTGGTGTTGAAATGATACCTGCGAGACCCGGTCGACACAAACGACTTTAGTACACAAACGTCCTACAGTTGAAGATAAAGTTCCACACAGATGACCTGAAGCTTCTCGAGCAGTTGTAATAAATTATCGAGAGAACAGGACAGTATGGTGAAGAAGCACACCAATCAGCCGTCATTCCGTCTTGACTGGTGATCGCTCTCAAGGCAATTGCGTGAGAATGTGTTCGCTTATCCCCTTGAACTCCTACCGTCTTTACAGGCAGATACACGGCAAATGCCTGCCAGATTTCATCATATAGACCTGCTTCCTTGATACAGTTGATGAAAATTTCATCCGCCTACACATTCAAAGGTCAACAGCAAAACTGTCAAACTGTGAAACAAGCATTATCAAGTTATCTGACAAAAAGCAGATCGGAAGAAAAGAACCGTACCAGGCGAAGTGTGTCGAGCGCATTGTCCAGCGTTACATCGCCCATGACCCGCACAGCCAATCCAGGACCTGGGAATGGGTGACGTTTCAAAAAATAGCTTGGGACATCCAAAAGCTCGCCCAGCTTTCTCACCTGAATTACAGGCCCTGCCGTCAGTGTATGTAAGACGGTAACTACCAGCTGAAGTCATTGCCAAACGCCGTTATCATCTTCATGAATGCATCATATGTTGAAGGGGACAAACCTCGTCTTTGAAAAGCCACTTCAAGGGCTCGACAAGCTTCAGCTTCATTTCAGCCGGTAGACCCCCGACATTGTGATGGCTCTTGATGGTGTGCGAGTGCGATTTTCCACTACCTGGAGGTGGGCATGACTCGATCACATCTGGATATAGAGTTCCTTGAACAAGAAAGGCTGGTCTTTTGCCGAGCTGCTTCTCAAGTTTTGTTGAGAATTCGTCAAACACAGCGATGAATTCGGCGCCAATAATCTTCCTCTTCTTCTCTGGATCAGATACTCCCTTCAGCTTTCCTAAAAATTGTTCCGTGGCATCGACGCAAGTGACGGGCAAATGCAGGTCACTTTTGAACGTTTCCATTACTCGCTCTTGCTCTTTGTACCTGTCGGCGTTGACAGGATCCTATCGTCAGAGAAGGGTCAAATAGTAATGCCGAGGTCAAATTTCTAGTACTGACAGAGTTCAACGGAGACAGCTACTGCACGTCACACGAGAAAACCATCCTCGTCATGCGAGAGTTCTGCGACTTGAACACTAACCGCATCAGTCCATTATCGACGAAGCAGCAGAAAAGACGGTCCCCTATGGCCCTATGCACAATTGTGGCTGCAACCGTGGAGTCTACACCGCCAGAGAGAGCGCAGATGGCATAGTCATCTGGACCAACCATCGACTTCACGAGCTCAATTTGCTCTGTGAGGACATCCTGCAACTTCCAGTCGGGAGAAATTCCTCCAATGTCCAACAGGAAACGCTTTAACGTTTCAAGTCCGAGCTCGGAATGTGTCACCTGTTCCATTAGCCCAGACAGTCAGGCTCAGCTGACAACAAACTTTTCAAGACGTGAGGAATCTGACAAATTGTTGAGTCACAAACACTAGGGACAACAATTACCTCTGGATGGTATTGCAGACCGTAAACATTCATCGAAGCGTTCTCGATAGCTGCTACATTTCCTTGACTACTTCTTGCTACCACGGTGAACCCCTCGGGCAACTTGACAGCCTCGTCACCATGGCTCATCCAAACCTGCTGCTCTGTAGGTTCTTCCAAATCTCCGTAGAGCTTACTGGACTTTTCCGTCGTCTTGATTAGCATTCTTCCATACTCTTGACTCGCCGCCTGCTTGACTTCACCTCCCAAAACCTTCACAATCAGTTGTAGCCCGTAGCAAATCCCCAGAACAGCAATTTTATTCTCGCGGGCGTACTCGAAAAATCCATCTGGCACAGAAGGAGCACCCTCTTCGTGCACAGAATGAGGACCACCGGACAAAATAATGACGCTGGGATTCAACGCCTTGATGGAGTCAAACGATGCATTCGCAGGAAGGCAGAAGGAAACGATCGACAATCCTCGAATGCGTCGAGTGATGAGATGCGTGTACTGCGACCCGAAATCCAGCACCAGCACCACATTGCCCTGGTGCTTTTGCGCCGTCACCTCTACCGACGCCATTTCCAAAATTCAGCTCAGCTCAGCTCAACTAATCTCCACTCCACTCTTGCGTACGACACCCACGACAGATTTGCTCACAATTTCCTGCCCGTCATCTGCCCTCAGCTTCAACCTTCTTTCCTTCAGTCGACCACCTCCACTGCATTCGATTTCCCGTGCAATTTTCTTCCTCCTGACCTGACCTGTGGGACACATCCTGCGCGGGGGTTTAGGGCTCAACGTCTCTAGAACCCTAAACAAGTTCTCTGCCCAAGCCCCAATGCTCCACATTTTTCCTCTCCACAATTCTCTGCTTCTGAATCTCTACTTCCAAGAATCAGAAGTTTAGAGCATTTCTTTTTCGTACTTACCTTCAAACCATGCTTAAATTGCCACATTCTTGTACCAAATGAGAATCCACCATTTGTGAACATGTAAGTTAGATTTTGTCCCTCAACTCTTTCGATCCAAATCCACCCAATTTTTTCTTTCGGATGGATTGACGCGCATATAAAAGCACACAAATGACCTATTGTGTGATACTACCCTAAATATATTATGCTTTTTTTTTTATTGACTATCCAATTTTTTGTGTGTAGTTGATCAATAGTTTTTATGTACATACTTTTTTACCGGGATATACAATTTGAGGTTGAGTCAAATGAACATGATATATTTTTTCTGTGGAAATAAATTGTGGTAATAGCATACATTTTATAAATATATGCGCCAAGTTCTAAAATTGAAAGAACGTATTCAAAGTAACAATTAATACTTCCAAAATAGATTAAAAAGCTATTATATCTAACACTGCTTTTCAATTGATATAAGAGTTTTATTAAGAAATGATTTGAAATACATACTCTCAATCATGTCATCAAGATTTTGATATATGTCAAAATATTCAACGATGAAAAATTCAAAAATATATATATAACTACTACTTCATATATGTGAAAATCTGTATTTTATATAAATTTTTCATACAATATGAGATTTCACATATATCACTTAGTTACTACAACTCTAGTTACACACATGTAATGCATGTCAATGCTTACACAAAACTACTTCCAAGTGCAAGGTCACAAATTTTAACTGTTTGTGCATTTAATGATGTGATATACTCACAAATGATATAGGTAATAATGGAGAGAGAAATAGGTTAGAATATGAGCTTTGAAGACGAGTAGGGATATTACGAGTTATTTACTCGTAATATCCCTGAACCTGATTGTCCTGCAACATGAGGATCACGGACTTTTCAGTTTGAACCAGGTCTTATGGAAGACTGAAACCAACACACGGCTCGAAAGTCAATGCAAGACATATTATCACCGTTGGCTGTTCTACGACAACAGTCTCTAGTGGCACATCCTTTCTCTTCTTCTTGCTGGCGGCCAAGGCTTTGGCTTTGGCGGAATCTAGGATAGTCACAAATCGTCTGCCTAAGATGCCCAAGTACGTGACTCGGACTGCCTTCACCGAAAGGGAACGGCATGGGCGGTTGATACCCTTACCAACACCAATTAGAATGCAAGCTATTAGAATTGCGAATTAGAATGCAAGCACACGACAAGATACAAACAGATAGACCAGAAGTACATCCTTCTACCCTTGCACCACATCTAGAGCAGTAAGAGCGGGCACCAAAGTTAGTTTTTGAACTAAGTTTCAGACATCGTTGCTGGAGTGTTGGCTGCCGCATGTATATTTGGGTCACAGACCTTACCGACTTTTAGCTGTGAAGCATGGTTTTTGAAACTTCACCGCCAAGCGGCATCGCTTTTTGTTGAAAGTACCAGGTTTTTGACAATCACCGTCATTGTGTACTAGAATGCACTGGCATGCAAAACTCCTCCAGAGTAAACAGCCGGATGTGATAGCATCTTACGGCTACACTTAATTTTGCTGCCGCCACGTTGTAGCATCAACCTTCGACTGCATTATTTTTCAAAAGCCAGATTGTGGCGGCTGAAGGCCGCCACAAGTAGTTGAAAATTGCCACATTTTGAACTAGCTTAATTAGAAATTGCCACATTGGCGGTTAACGGCCACTAAACCAAACACTGCTATGATGAGTATGTTGTTCCAAAGATATATGTCAAATTACGACATTATACAAATATAAATGTCTATGATACTTGACGTTATAACAAGTTTAATTGAAAATGATGAAAGAAATTTTGGCCAAAATTAGCAATAAATTTTATCAAAATAAAACATTGAATATCACATAATATCAGTAATTGTTGTAAAAAAGTGACAAATTTTAGATTGATGATATCTTCAAATGTACTTTATGCTATTTATTTGATGAATGAATATCAGAGTGTTATTCAATTCTAATTTCACGTGGATATCTATTCAAATGATCATCAATAAGTTCAATAACTTGCAATAATTATAAAACCCTAGATCATGATTCATAAAATATAATATGAGCATCGTTGAAGTTTAATAAAAAACATGCACAGAGTTGTATATGTGATTTGTTATGCAATACAACACAACAATTGAATATTCTTTCTTGTTATTATAATCAATTTAACATAAACTCTTTATTTAAACATTGAAAAGTATATGAGTAAAAACAAAAAGTTTAGTAAGTATGTTTCAATCATTATAAATATTAGATTCTATGAAATTATAGGTAGTCATCAAATTAATCTACATCTTGATGTTCTAAATGTGATTTGTTTATTATTTTGTTTGATATAGTTTAAGAACCTAAAATTTATATAAATAGCAGGTCAAATCTATGACAAAATTTTGCAAAAATTATATCATATTATGATATTAGCTTAATGAAAAAAATCAATGGATTAGTGTGTTGTGTAAAAATAAAAAATACAAGAATAACAACTATGTTATATTATTAATTGTTCTCTTGCTTAAAATAGAGAGAAAATTTGTTCATTCATTCCACTTAATCACCTGTCATATTAAAAGTTAGAGTTTATTTTTTTGCATAAAAAACTAGAGCTTATGTGATAGGTCTGATTTTTTGTTATAATTTTGATGTAATTAATTTTTTCTATGTTTTAACACTTAAAAAAATTATTTTTTATCGTGTTGATTGTTATTTACATGTTCTATCATCTAGTTTTTTTTTAGTATCTAAATTGCTTACGGAGATACTTTAAGTTATGTTTTATCTGATGGGGCTCTATCTACAATAAATGTCAGGCATGTTTTAGTCTTATCAAACGTTGCATGTAGTGGAACACTGTTCAACAATTGTGACTTTGATGTTGGACGTCTACTGTAGCTCTGTCATAGCATCTGGAGTAGAAACGGAGCTAGTAGCGATTTGCAATTGAGTAGTACACATTTGAGATGAAAGAGTACACTACCTCATACCAGAGTTCTCGAGTCATCTTCCTCAAATTTCTCAAACTAAAAATCGCTAGTGGATAAATCAGCAAGGCGTTTAAATCACAACTTCAAATTTGAAAGCGCAAGCTTGAAATTGTAGGCTTGTTTGGCACAAACGCTTCAACAAACTTGTAGTTGCGTGAAGTAATGTAAATTCTAACTTCTCGCTTCCATGTTCTACCTTCAGTTTTGATAGCGAGAGTACTTCCCATCAAAGAAAATACAAAGTTAATAGCAGTTGCAGAGATCCATTAAAGCTCGCATCATATGTGCACAAAAATATGTTTTAGAACTTCGAGACTATGTAGCTTTGCTAATGTACCATCTCATACAACAAAACTTGATGTATACCTGCAAGCAGTTTAGTTTCCTATGTGTTACATCAAGTAAATATCTTATTTTTTTTATAAAATTTTGTTTTATTAATTTTTCAAAATGAATTTTGATGTATTAAAAATTTAACAATACAAATTACATAATATTGTAGAAATATGTATGGATTTAGTGTACAAGATTCAGGTATTGAAATTTATTTACTATCAATATAACTCAATGTAGGTATAGGTGATGATTTGAGTTTTTTTTACACATATAATGACAACGACTTTTAGATTTCAAATTTGTGTATACAGAAAATTCAATAAACAAATGTAGTGATATAAATGAGAAGATATAAGACTATATGATTTCTTTTGACAACAAATTCTACATAATATAAAATTATCATTTTGTGTAGATTACATATGTAAACCAGCATAACAAACTTTAGATGAATACCTTCTTATGAATTTGATATGATGGCAAAAATTAAAAGAACATCTTATAACATAGAATTTGCATAATGTTTTAGTAACTAAATAAGTCATTGATTACATGTAACATTCAAAAATCCATATTATGCCTTTACTGGGGAGGAATGCACCATTTATTGATTGAATAACGATGCTATTATACATACAAAAGCAAATAGTTAAATATTGACTACTGTTAAATGTAAAATTGTCGATGATTCAATTTTGAATTTTCTTAGGTAAGTTGGGTGAGAGTACGTCAGTTTTGTAGAGGAATATAACTAGAGAAAAGACTGAATGACATATGATATACAGTTTACAGCTGATGTATTATTTTCACACATTTGCGAACCATCGGAAGACACGAAAACTACAATGATCTGCCGATGCATACGACTGCTAAATGTAAGATTCCGAACTGAATAAATTGAATTATTAAGTATAAACTTCATCACGTCAATTATACCATATTTGAAGATTAAGAACATCCATCATATCATCAAAATATTATCCACTTGAATTCTAAATGTCTCAATAACTCTCAATATTTATTTGCGATGGACGAAGAGGTCAATATTTCGACGAGAATTGATAAAAAATGTACTTCCATGTGTCCTCTCACCAATTGTGAACCATCGGAGGACATGAAATGTACAATGTTCTGCTGATGCATACGACTGGTATATGTACAATTCCGAGCTAAATAAATTGAATTATGTAGTAAAAATTTCACAACGTCAATTATACCAATAATGAAGAATGAGAACATCCGTCGTATCATCAAAAATATCAACCACTTGAATTCTAGATGTCTCAATAATGCTCAGTATTTCGACGAGAATGGATTAAATTGTACCTCCATGTGTCCTCTCACCACTCTCTCTGGCTGTGAAGTTCTACTTTAACCGAGAGGCCAGATGGACACATTTTGGTATGCCAATGAAAGCATTTAAGTCCGAACGCGGCAGGACGAGATTGGCAAAGGTCGGCGAGAAGAATTATTCAGAGCACACGCAGAGCAAACGAGCGTTCATGGGGACTGGCTGGCCCGAGAGGCTCAAAGGAATTAGAGCTGATGGGCACGACGGTGTTTGTCGATATTTCACGGGGCCAGAAAAACCCTAAAGGAAGAAGAAGAAGGACAGATTAGAAGCCTTTTGTTCTTGCATGCTGGAGGGGGCCTCGAGGCTCGAGCGTCGAGGTGTGTCTTTCTTTGAATGTCACCGTTCCTCGTGTCCTCTAAATTGTCGCACATTCGCTCCCCATCCCTCGCCTTCCCTTGCCCTGCTGTGGCCTGGCCTGTCCTGCTATGCTTGATGAGTTCCGTCCTCTGGTAAGGATTGGTCGTCGAGCGAAGGGCGGAGGAGGGCCAACGGTGACAGGTCTGTGTGTACAGCGCGATCTTGTGAAATCCGAGAGAATGTGCTGCGGCAATTACGGCGTCGATTCCTGGCATCGCTAGTTTTTGCGTCGGTGGAAACTTGGGTGGCAGATCGGGGCCGCGAGGATCGTAGAGAAGCCGGCCATGAGGTTAAGGAAAGGTTAGTTGGACTAGATTGAGGTTAGAAAATAAAAAGGTGCGGGGACATTGGAGCAAACATGGCGATTCCCGTGAACAGCAAGGTAGTGAAGTCCGTAGAGCTTTACAGATGGAGAGCTACGGCATGGAGATTAGATATGTGGCCGTTTGCAGGCATGTACGGTGCGTGGTTGGTGATGAGTGCACCGCAATTGGATCCAACTGATTCGGGGATCATTTTGGGATGTATCGTGCTTTCGCACATTCTGACCTGGCTGTTTACGGCTTGGTCTGTCGATTTTCGCTGTTTCATGCATGCCGAGAAGGTGATTTCTGTTCTTGATCTCTTGCAAGAATTACACGAGCTGAACCATCTCCTTGCTTCATTGATTGAAGCGGATCAGACGGCACTTGGTCCATAAGCTGAACTGAATTCAACTAACCAAGCTTAGTATTTGGTGTCTTGCTGATTGTTGTTGCCAAATTGAACACTGTCGAAATAAGGACTGGCTTCTCTTGGGGTCATGGAACTCGATTGACACGGTTGCCCATCAATCCAGCGTTGACTTACTTAAAACTGGTACCGGTCCATCCGTGTAGGTGAGAGATGTCCACTTGGCAGATGTTTGTAAGGTCGTTCCGGCCAAGTTTTCTGGTTCGAAGGAGGTCGTCCCACTGCATCAGAGGAAGATCGTAAGTCTTTTTCTTTCTCCGTTTCTTCGCAGTCCATTCTTCTAGTAGGTAATACTGCTATGTCGCGCCATCTGTGTTAATTTGATACTCAGGAATTATCTGAATAATGTGGCCAAGTGGCATAATGTCTATGACTTCTATCCAAATTTCGTTGAGGAATTGATTGCGAGCGCAAGGGAGCTCACGACTTTGACCACATAAGAGGACACTGGTTTTGTGTAACTTAATCAAAAGCTACATTTGTAGAATCAGCTAGCGTCGAAGTTTACACATGGTCCGTTTTTGCCAACTTTTGACAGTCGCCAGGCGAGAAGCTTAATGGTTTTAGAGATGGTTCTCAACTGCTCACCAGCAAGCAATCAGGATCCCCAGCTCCTTCAGCAACACAAGCAGGCGAAGAAATTGGTTTTGAGTTCCGAAAGCAACAATTTATATATTCTGAAGAGGAGAATAAGTTTTTCAAACTTGACTATCCAAATAAGGAACCATTCGGAACGTACAGCAAACTTACAGGTTATGGTTCAGAAACAAGAGCACAAGTGGCGATGGAGAAGTGGGGAAGGAACATGTACGTTACAATCATGCCCGCCACTTACGTGAGAATTGGTTTTGAAGTTCCACCAACAGGATTGTATAGTTGCCCTTTCTGTACCACTTCACTAGAGGAGTCACACTTCAAGTTGCATGTTTGAAACAACTGCATAACAAAGTTCTATTTGGCAGTTTCTCCGTGGCACGTAAAGTGCTTGACTGAAGAGAGTGAATTCTGGCAACTAGAGTTCAGGATTATACCTTACAACTTTAGCTTTGAGGATGTTGCAGATTTGAGTTTCCTCAACCGACTTTTGGCAATTTGATGAAAGAGCACTGCATGGAGCCCTTTTTTGTTTTCCAGGTTCGTGTTGTATTTTCTTCAAGGTTATTAAATTTGAACATTTCAGTAACGTCGTACTAACTCAACTTTGATGATAGGTTTCTAGTCGTAGATAATTGCTCAACTGTGGATATTGTATTGTTCAGGTATTTTGTGTGGGGCTTTGGTGTCTTGATGACTATTGGTACTACAGTGTCTTCACCCTCCTCATGCTGATACTGTTCGAATCAACCGTCGTCAAGAGTCGGTTGAAGACATTGCAAGAACTCCGTCGGGTTCGGGTTGACAGCCAGACACTTATGGTTCATCGGGGTGGAAAGTAATCACCTAACCATATGTTTCGTAGGCTTTGATATTCGTGTTGCGCTTTGAATACTTATTTAACCCAAAACATAATAACGCTCGGCGAGTTTCAAAATTTTGGACATTCCTTTTGGCATCTGTTCAGATGCACGTTTTTTGCTCTCAACTTTTGCTCTCAACTTTTGCTCTCAACTTGAGGTGTCCCTTGCTTATGAGATGTGTTATGGGCAAAATTGGCCCATTGAGCTATTTTTTTTATCTTCGGTTACAAGGTGGCCATTGTGCTTTGTATAATAATAAGTATCTTCTAACTTTTCAGTTGAGATTGCTAGAGGTGGTTGTATAATTGATCTTTCATTGATCGATGACACATTTCAGTAAATCAATATGAACTTTGTATTCAGATGGATGAAACTTTCTGGTATGGACCTGTTACCTGGAGACGTGGTTTCAATAGGACGACCAACTGGCCAGGGAAGCGAAGAGAGGACTGTCCCAGCCGACATGTTGCTAATTGCAGGTAGTGCCATTGCCAATGAGGCGCTTTTAACCGGAGAGTCTACTCCACAATGGAAAGTATGTACTTCTCATCTGAAGGTCCACATTACGAAAACTGGAATTTGTGCCATCTATTAAATCTGGAGTCGGAAGGAATCATGACTTTACTGGGTGGCCCTGATGTGTTTTAGGGGTCTATTGTAGGCCGGGAGCCCGGGGACCGACTTTCAATTAGGCGGGATAAGAACCATGTGTTATTCGGTGGAACCAAGATTTTGCAGCACACGCCTGACAAGGTGAGTTATTGCACTCTCATTTCCATGTAGTTCAAGTTGTTATTGGTAGTTCCTAGGGCTCTGTGCATGATTGGTCGACTGAACTTCTGGGTGTATTAGTCTAACGAGGTTATGTACTTGTTTTGTAGACTGGTTCATTGAAAGCTCCTGATGGAGGCTGCTTAGCTGTGGTGCTGCGAACGGGATTTGAAACTAGTCAGGGAAAGCTCATGCGAACCATCTTGTTTTCAACAGAGCGGGTAACTTAGCTTCTCTCTTCATATATTTTGTGCCACGCATTATCGGGAGCAAATACTGTATGGTCGAGGTGAATTGAAGAATCATAAAACCATAAGAAAGTAGCCGAAGTTGGGTGATTGTGGCGTGGACATCTTGTGATTACAATTTTGGTCTCTAAGGTCCTAGGAATTTCACTTCCTTAGAAAGTGATTCCTTCAAAGCAGAGGTTAGAAGCTCCTTTGGAAACACAAGAAGTAGGGATATAAGGAAGGTTTCTCGAAACAGTAAATTCCAAGGAACTAGATTTAGCTTGAAGTGTTTGTAATCGATCTATTTATGGTGAATAATATGATAGTATAACATCCCCTACGATAATTGTTAAATCAGGTGAAGAATTGATCAGATCAAGCTGAAAGTTGTATTTTATATTGAAATTTTTTAGCGGAAAACTTTATTTCATCTCTTAGTCCAACATCGGATCCTTTTCCTTGCGACATCATAGTTACTGGATCAATATCAATATGCTATCATTATGTTTATATAACAAAATCGTCTTTGCTAACGAGCTAATATTTTGAATTTTTGAATGTGTCATGGGAATTTTCTCAATTTTTGATGACATCTTTGTCGCAGGTCACGGCTAACAACTGGGAGAGTGGACTGTTCATCTGTTTCCTTGTAGTATTCGCTCTCATTGCTGCTGGATACGTGTTGAAGAAGGTACGTTTGTGCGACTTAATTTGGCTTGACCCACAACAAACCATCTTAGAGACACGACCAAGACCCAACTAGTAATGAGGATGGCGTTAAATCTATTAGTTGGACTGTCTTGAGTTCAATAAGGATGAAGTGCTGGTGGAAAAGACTTCATCGGTTCAACCTGTCAAGCTACTAACCTGGCACCTGACTTGGTTGAGCCAGGTGCAGGATACAATGAAGGCTACACAATGCCCCGCGTGGACCAGATCTTTGGAGAATGACATGAATTTGAATAGAGTTAAAACCAAAAAGTGGGCTCTTAGAATAAGAGATCGGGGAGGAAGCGAATAAAAAACGATCACTATCTTTTCACTACATTCAATGACACCGGGGTCTTCAAACATTACATTTAGGAGTTCCGTGCTGAAGTATGATGCCAAAGTCTAAGTTTAGAATCTTTCTCACATTTATCCAATACAAGAAGAGGAAGATGGGTCACACGCAGTGTAGCACCGATGACAAAGTTCTGTCTTTAATTTGATTACATGCTGCACCTTTGAGGGTAAACACATACTCGGACTTTCTTACAGTAGAACCGAAACCCAAAGCCGCTGGTTTCTTGAGCTACATGTGTGCCCAATCACTCTCCTTGGAGATGAGCTACTGAAGGTTTCTTGGGCTGACACCTAGAAGCTCTGAATGAACTCAGTTCATGGGTGAATAACCTACTTGAAGAGAGACACCTCTCCACTTCCACATTACTATTTGCTTCCTAATCGTCCCTATAGGCACCGCTCAAGCAGGGCGTATGGTTTTATGTTCATCCGGTCATGACAGTCAATTACTAATTCGTACGTTTCTGTGTACTACAGGGCTTGGATGATCCGAATCGCAGCAAGTACAAGTTGTTCCTGAACTGCTCTTTGATTATCACGTCGGTGATTCCACCAGAGCTCCCAATGGAGCTTTCGATTGCAGTCAATACATCCTTGATTGCTCTCGCAAAGAAAGGGATCTACTGCACTGAGCCTTTCCGGATTCCATTTGCGGGGAAGGTACTGTGAGGCACATCTTGGAACCGACATGTATTGTTTCTATGTAGGTTTTTACGAAAATGTGGGGATATATCAAGATGTCATTACGGCCATCTGATCTGTAGTCTCGTATTTTTGGGCGTCAAGATGTAAACGTTACAAAAGTTTTCAAGTAGAAACGTTTGTAAAAGATTTGCTGCGTCGATAGGAAGGCTCTTTTTAACAGGGTAGGTCCTCACCGTTTTAAGTTCATTGCCGTTACCCGGGCATTTTTCGGGTTGTTGTTAATGTGCTTTATAAATTTTAACTACGAAAAGATTTCGCATCTAGCAAATTAGTTGTGCCATTTGGTAACATTATAGCAGTCGCGGCCTAGACTTCCATACTACTTCCCATGGATTGAAACCTGTCACGGATCAAATCCCGTTCTATTCATCGGTTATTACATTTAAGACGTATTAAAGGGTAGTCCAAACTGCCCAGGAATCGGTGGTACCTATGCTTAAGTCTTCAGTGTAGTTTGCCATCGTCCATTATCCCTATTAAGGGAAGACCAAGTTTCTCTATATGAATCTAGAGCTTACTTCCACCACTGATTTCCAGTGACCCAATTGATATTTTCAGGTGGATGTGTGTTGCTTCGACAAGACTGGGACCCTTACAAGTGATGACATGGTACGTGTGTAGCGTTCGTCAGTGCAATTCCTTTATATTATGAACGTGTGATTGCAAAGAAGTTTCTCAAGATGTCAGTTGTGTATGTGGACCGCGTCAACGGTCACGAATGTGTATATGCAGGGGAGTTTCTCCATAGAGAAGCTTTGGTCCTTTCGAGCTTTGAAGAGTAGTTCGAATTCCGCAGGATGTTTAGATCTGCAACTTGGATCACGGATGGAAGTAATTGACTGAGAAGAACTTTGCCTGGATGGATTGTCAACTTCCAATCTTTCTGTACTTATTGGGGATAGTTTATTGGATGCAATCACTCAGGAATTTCGAGGAGTCGTGGTACTGAGTGAAAGTTTAGAGCTGGAAGCGGATTCTAGCAAGTTTTCCAACCCTACTGTTCAGGCTTTGGCCTCGTGTCACGCTCTAGTTTTTGTTGACAACAAACTCGTAAGCTTTCCCCGACTTCACGATTCGTTTATATATTTTTATCTTCACCTGCATATACATGGCAAAGCTTAAACTTGGTACTCTCGATCGAAAGTGGACCTGCTAGTCACATCTCCTTTAGCAAGCTTTTAAGTTTTCCCTTGCGCGTCATCATTTGCAGATTAGAGTGACTTGCGATTTAGAGAATGTATCCTTCTCTATTTTCAAATAGTCGTGCCAAAATACTGTCATTTTGTATGTCGGAGTTCCTATTTGATTATGGTTAGCACATACATAATAAGAGGCATGTGCGATACAGGTTGGTGATCCCTTGGAGAAAGCCGCTCTGAAAGGTGTGGATTGGAGTTATACTGCTGATGAGAAGGCTATCCCGCGAAAGTAAGTATCTGGATATGTACGATGCACCTGGCTTCATAGAATAAATGAATCGTGTTCATCGTAATTAGTGTCTGCTCAAGATAAATGGACGAGTGTAATATGAGAATCATTTTATAAACAGAAGAAATTGACTTTCCTGTTATTTATTGATGATAAATTACCGATTATTTTCCTTAGGTCGAAACTTTATATTTGAGTAGGTAGTGTTGAAGTGAGACACTCATCGATAAGAAAATATATGTTGTGCAGGGGAAGTGCACCTCCGGTTCAGATCATGGCACGTCATCACTTTGCTTCCCATTTAAAGCGAATGTCTGTTGTGACTCGGATTGACGAGAACTTTTTCTGTTTCGTTAAGGTTTGTGAGCTGTAGCGTCAACTTCGTGCATGCCCAATAAGGATTACCAGTTCAGAGTCTGATTCACGTGTTTTTAAGTCCGCCGTTTCATGAGAATGCAGAGCTGGTGATTGACTGAGGACTGTTAACGTTCCTCAGAAATTCCTCTTGAGGCTTTTTCCCCTGCAAGTACCCTTACAAGAGTTATACCAGGAATTTACCCGGAATTTTGATCACCAGAATCGTATCGAAACCTGACTTTGGACCTGACCTTATGCGCAGGGTGCCCCTGAAACAATCCAGGAGAGATTGACTGAAGTTTATCCAGGATACGTAGAGGCTTACAAACAATTTACACGTCAAGGCTCCAGAGTGATCGCACTTGCTTACAAGCGACTACCAGAAATGACGGTAAGCCTGGTTTAGTCAATTATGGAGGTGGATGCTACATATTTCTTAGCATATGCTGTGGTTACTTTCTGTTCGCAGGTGATAGGGGAATTGGGTTAGCTTTTTCAGGTACACGATGGGGTGTTGCTGATAGTATGTACAGAAAATGACTCTCAGTGTGGCGGGGTCTCCGTGTTGTTTCAGGTTGGAGATGCTAGATCTCTGGATCGCGAAGAAGTCGAAACTGGACTTTCCTTTGCAGGTTTTGCGGTATGTTTGAGTTTACGTGATTCAGTTTGTTTGTTCGCATTGCTTTGCGCTCGCTCTTCCTTACTGGCTCTTACATCTGATGGAACTCTTTGATCCTGCGTCTGTGCTGCCTACGGGGTTGTGACACAGGTCTTTGCATGTCCTCTCCGGCATGATTCAGCAACTGTGCTCAAGGAATTAAAGGAATCTTCACATGACCTGGTAAGTCAACGATCTATGGTATTATCTGATATCTGTTATCAATAGGTAAACTTGAGCTTCTGCCTGGCTGTTGCAATAGGTGATAGCATAGCACAAGGGAGCTTACCAGGTGTCACGATCTAGTAGTGGTAGTAACTCTTGATGGGAGAAACATGTGTTAGAGTCGATTTGGACTCGGCTTGTTGAAGAGATGAACGATGGTTGAAGTTATACCTGAGACCGGATTTGGAAGAAATAGAGACAGGAAAAAGGTGTTCTGTGTGCTCCTCGGCACTCTTTACATTCGTATATTTGCGACATTGCTCGACTTTGTGGGTTAGGATTGGTAAAGGACCTAATTTGGAGTTGCCTGTTTCGCAGGTCATGATAACTGGAGACCAAGCATTAACTGCGTGTCATGTAGCAGCACAAGTTCACATCATCACACGTTCCGCTCTGATCTTGACCCCTCATGCAGACGAATCGAACGAAGATACTTTCAACTGGATATCTCCTGACGAAAAAGTCAAACTTCCTTACAAGTATGATTACCCTTGGTCATGAGGAACAGATCTTTTCAATCTATATTTATATGGGGGCTAGGTTTTTCTACTGTTTAGCTTTGTGGATTCTCAGGCTATGTGCATGGAAGTTTTGCAAGTATCGTTCATATACGTGCTTCAGAGCTAGATTGACTTTTGGTTCGGTGCTAATAGGAAGGAAGAGGTGCTGGATATTTCAAACGAGTATGACCTCTGTGTTGCTGGGGATGGGCTTGGCATGTTGCAACGGACACATGCCTTGGAGATTGTGATTCCCGTAACGAAGGTGCGTAGCTGCATAACTGTGTTGGATGTGTGCGGAAATCATTCAAAGAGTGGCGTGAGTTTTCACCTTGTTTGAGTCTGAGCTTCTTGTTTTCTCCAGGTTTTTGCTAGAGTGGCTCCAGACCAGAAGGAGTTGATTCTGACAACCCTGAAGGCCGTAGGACGAACTGCTCTAATGTGTGGAGATGGAACAAATGACGTCGGTGCCCTGAAGCAGGTCAATGCATTCTTACTTATCATGTGAATTTCTCATACCTGGCAAATGACCTATGCATTATAGTTGCGGCACGCGGCTTGAGATGTCGTGTAGACCGTATCGAGTTACGACGGGATCTCTAAATTCTTTTAATTTGATGTACAGGCGCATGTTGGAGTTGCCCTTTTGAATGCCATTCCTCCCGTTAAAGCTGCGAATGCTTCTTCTTCAACAAATACCGAACCTGGAAGTGCTACTTTGGCACCGTCTGGTAATCTGAAAGGCTGACTTCTAAAGCTTTTTCTATATGCTTTCTTCTGCTTGAACGCTTGTCTCAATTGTGCTCGTGTCCAGCTTTTCACAGTTGAAGTTCCCATGAGCATCATAACCCCTGACTTGTGGTCTTCTTTCTTCACAGCTACGACTCCGTCAACAGGTCAGGTTAACAAGGCAAAGCGCTCGAAAAGTGCGATCGCGGGACCCTCAGGAATTGCTGGAGCTGTCCAGAGTGGTGCTAGCAGTTCTGGTGCTGTTACACGACCTGTCAAGGTTGGATTACCAACTGGTCAGCAAAACCCTGGAAAGACATCCCCGACTGGGCAAGGGGGACCAGGAAGTAAACCACTAACTCCAGCTGAACTCCAGAAGTTGAAGCTGAAGAAGATGATGGATGAGCTGAATGAAGAAGGTGACGGACGAAGCGCCCCGACTGTCAAGCTAGGCGATGCGTCAATGGCCGCACCTTTCACCGCAAAGCACTCTTCAGTCCGACCCACGACTGATATCATCAGACAAGGTCGAAGTACCTTGGTAACTACCCTTCAAATGTTCAAAATCTTAGGGCTGAACTGTCTTGCTACTGCATACGTTCTCAGTGTGATGCACTTGGACGGCGTGAAGCTCGGTGATATGCAGGCCACCATAAGTGGAGTTTTTACCGCAGCTTTTTTCCTTTTCATCTCGCATGCGAGGCCGTTGAATACTCTGTCAGCCCAGAGACCACATCCAAACATTTTCAGTCCATACGTCATTCTTTCTCTGCTAGGGCAATTTGCGATTCATATCACATTTCTGGTAACAGTAGTGAATGGCGCAAAGAAGTACATGCCCGAGGAGTGTATTGAGCCAGATTCGGAATTCACGCCAAATCTTGTCAACACTGTTTCGTACATGTCGAACATGATGATTCAAGTTGCCACCTTTGCTGTCAATTACATTGGACATCCTTTTAACCAAAGTATCCGAGAAAACAAGCCATTCTACTTTGCCCTTACTTCCGCAGCGATCTTCTTCACTGCCTTACTCTCAGACCTGTTTCGGAGCTTGAATGACTGGTTAAGATTAGTTCCCTTGCCCCAGCCTTATGGGCGCCAAGTGCTCGGGTACGCCGCCGCTATGGTTGCAGGCTGCTACTTGTGGGAGCATTCCTTGCGATGGGTGTTCCCTCCTCCATCGCCAACGAAGCCCCGACAACGGCGAAGAGCAGTTTCCAAACCTTTAGAATCTAAGAAACGCGACTGATGTGTAGGGATACCTTATGTCATTCTTTACCATAAGCTATATGGTAGTAAGCATCGTTCAATGCGGTTGTCAGATGCCAGCATGAAAAATTTTGACCTTACTGAAGATCCCATGCTGGTATGCGTGAATATCAATCTCAATAATTTTTCTTGCTAGGCAAGCACTAGAAGTTTCGAGGTGAAGCAGGTGTAGTGTTTCCACGAGTATTTTTCCGGGCCAGGCCGAAAGTCTTCAGTCTGTCAGACGTAGCTGTATTGTGATTGGGATGGACAACCCTGTATCACAATGACGATACATATGTTAATCCACGTGCTGTTAGATGTACGGAGATTATTGTCAGTAGAAGTCTGACCTGAATGAGGAAGAGCAACGACTTAGGGACCCTCCCGCCGCACGGATGGGTAGCGCACTTGTAATGCTATTGAATGCGATTCCCCATCTCTCCCGTTTTGAGTACGTTGTGGCAGATGTCTTGCTTTGCAATATGACGGATGTGACGAAGATGTGACTGTGTACCATGTCTGCAGTAGGCATTCAACTTTATCATACCTACATCTTTGTACTGTACCGAGATTGTCATTGTGCACGGGAGGAATTGTGGGTCAATGCAGCCGTTTCTGAACATGATTTTATTTGTGAAGTGATCCTTCTGGTACGTCTTATGGCCACCGGAATCAAGTCGTACACGCATCACTTTGGTATCGTACTTTTGGAGCTACTCTGGACCATCAGCGTCCATCTGACTTCATCTGCCCTAAGGCTGAAAGAGGCCTTACCTTTCTGGTCGATCACGTTGAGAGTATCTTGGCGTCACCAAACAAGACTGTGGGACCTTGACACCCTTAGCGAACGTAGTGTCAGTCACATGGTCAACGTGATGATACGGTTTACAAAATTGGCTTCATTCTTTGTGACATCAGACTCGAACTTGTAAGCATGAGTGTGATGGAGGTCCCATGAATACAGCGTATTGAGGAAACACCGCAAATGTACTATGGAGTCAAGACACTTACACATTAGGGACTTGTGCATCACTGATACAAGGAGCATCTCCGTGTTTCACGTTCGGTTCGACACTACTATCATGTGAGTGGTAACGTTCCCATCACTTTGTTGTGTATGTTACACTGGGCTGTCAACTTAGCCCTCGGTAGGAATTAACGTGGGTGTTCACTGACGTCGTTCGCGGAGGATAAATAGGAATTCATCAGCAGGTTCTAGATGGGTTTAAATCTGACTTCGTTCTCATTGTAAAGCTGGATGGCTTGATTCTCATTCCAGAGTCTGTCTGGCTCAGAAAGGATGTGCACAGAAGTGCAAAAGTGCAAAAGTGCGCCTTATCTAAGAAATAGATAACATAACAAGTAAAGGCGTTCAGTTTCTCGGGCCGAATGGTGTGGGAGAAAATAAGAGTGGTTGATGTGGAGGAAACCTTGCAAGGCAACGAATCCGAAGGAAAGGAAGCGACCTCAGACCGGATTGCATACGACCCCGTCTTGGCTGATTGCGACAGGTAATTGCGACATAGAGCCAACGCCATCGATGACAATCAAAACTTTGTTGGATGACAGGAGTGATCACTTCTCACTACAGTATAGGGCCTGACCAACTTCCAATTGTCGATGCACGTGCGTCTGCCTTTCCATCAACTATCTCATCTCGTCTCCTCTCTTCCCAGTGGGATATATACTCCATAGGGGCCTAGTCTCTGTTTCCTGTTGGGGCTCCTCATCCTCGTAGCGCGCGCTCGATGGGGGCGTCCTCCTGGTCTTCAATCATCATACCTTCTTCGTTGTCCACTTGGCCCCGAGTCTCTCTCATCTCATCTCATCACAGACGACACCTCGGCAAATGGAAAACCAAAGTCTTCAGGACAACGAACCATCGAAAGAAACAAAGCTCTGATTCTTATTCGTACCTGGTTTGGTACCGAGCTCGGCTCAGCTCATGGACGGACGAGGACACTTTCTTCTTCTTCTTCTTCGTTTCTCGGCCACCGAGCGGAGCTGGAAAGTGCTCGGAAACAAATCTCGTCATCGACGACAAAAGCCAATGGGCCCTAAGGAAAAAGTTCGTCCGAGGTCGCCGCTTCGCAGGAATCCCCAACTCGACCCTGACCTTATCGCGAAGCCGAGCCAGCAGATAACGATCACCATGACCATCGTCATCTCCTCCTCCTCCTCCTCCCCCTCCCCATCCGCCTCCTTCTGCTGCTGCTACCCGTCCTTCTCCTCCGTCTGCCCAGGGTACCGGCCGTCCCCGAGAGGCACCTCCTCCAGCTGACCCCGTCCGTCCGTCCATCCATCTGTCTATCCATCCATCCGCGGACAGAGAGACGAGGGACGACGACGACGATGATGATGTGGCGGACACAGGCGACGTGGGCGAGGTGAAGGCGAGGGCGAGGGAGGTGGGCCCCACGGAACACGTCGCCGCTCCGACTCGTGACTCCAACTTTTGTCGTGGAGCGGGCGCTCGTCGCTCACCTGACCGCCTCGAGGCGCCTCGCCCCGCCCCGCGCGGCCGATCGTAGCCCCCACTGTGCGCGGGTGCACTTTGCTCTGCTCCATGGGACATGGATGACGCACGCCGGCCATTGGCTCCCCTCCCCTGGAAAGCCACGGCATGGCCTGGGCTCCATCTCCATTCCGTACGCCCCAATACTTCCCCTACCGTCCCCTACCGCCCCTCTCTCTCGCTCTCTCTCGCTCGCTGTGCTGCTGCTGCTGCATCATCACCATCATATTACACTGTTGATGCAGTGCTGGCCACCGTTGCCTCGTCTCCATCTTCTCGTCTCTCGATCCCACACCACTTCCAATTACTTACTTGTTTGTTGGATTGCTAGTCAAGGTCGAGACGACGACGACGAGGATGGTGATGATGCTTGATTCTGATTTCTTCTCCGTGTCCAGTTACAGACTGAAGCCAAGGGTCAGGTGTCGAAATTTGGAAACCAGGAAGGGCTCTGTTGGGACTGAGTGAGCAGGAGATGAGAGATATGTACAAGTCTCGTCCTCCTGCCTTGGTGGACGAGAGGTGCTATCTAGCTCTCTCGCACAAAGGGGTTTGGATATATCCGGCCAGCCAGCGGGCAAACATGGATTCCCACTGCTCAAGGTGGCATTTGTCATGTACGTAAGACTTGATTTGAAAAAGGTCGACTGGCTTTTGGTCCGTTAGCGGTTCGCCCCCTTTTAGCACGAGAAAGAGGACCCCCATCCGTCCATCAATCCAGACAAACAATCCTAACTCTACAAAACATACATCAACAACAACAGCTACACTCCATAGATCCGAAGACTAGCTCGGATATCGACAGTGGAGAAATCATTCAGTCATATCTCTTTCACTTTCTCTCTCTCTCTCCTTCGAATTCTATCTACCTCTTGAGTGGATTGTCGCCGTGGTAGTTTTGACGTCTTGACCTTTCGAGGCTCCTGATGTCTTCTTCCTGTTACTGTACTATTGCCAGTGACACATGACTTTCATTCGACGGGAGGCAACTAATGAACGCATCCTGCCTTCCCCTGTCTGTCCCTGCCTCCTCCATTTGGACGCACTTTGGATTGTTTCCATATTACTTTCTGCAAATTGGAGAAGTCAGAGGCGATATTTTCAGAATCTGACGGATGCCGAGGCTTCTACCTCCCTCGATCCGACGGAGACTGATCGCAGTGGGATGCAGTCAGTCAGTCAGTCCCCAATGACCGTGCATGGATCCGGACGGGAAAGTGCAGCGATGCGATGCTGCCTGCTCTGGGTCCACGTCCATGACGACGATTGAGGATCCAGTCAAGCGATGCGATGCACCGTGAGCCCAAGATATCATGGCACAGAAGCCCGTCGAGTGATTTGCCTGTTTGGGAGGGCGAGCGAGGAGGTTCCCTTACTATAATTGCAGAAAGGTGCGCGACTGCGGGTTCGTTTTATTCGTCGGCTCTTGTGGCTTTATGACGATGAAGCATCTCTCTCTCGGGCTTCTGACATTCAGATCCCATCGGCCTCGTAACTGGTCTCCTGCAACTCAGCCTTAACAATCAAGTTGTAGAGACATGAATGAACCTGACCTGTACTCTACTGTCCCGTCCTATAAAAGGTCCCAGTTCTATTCACTCCTCTCTCCCTATCTGCAATAAATTCGGAGTACCCTGGCTTGTTGCAGACATGGAGATTTCGCATTGATCTAGTAACTTACTTCCCTGTAGGAGTGACATTGACGCACCAATTGCACTGAAGGGAAATTCAGTACAAGGTATAACTTCCACCCCTCCAGCACCTAGTGTTGAACAAAGCACTTCGTGCTTGAGAAGATTCAATTCGATTCACTCGCAGTTAAAATGTGTCCGCTGTGAGTGACAGTTTTATTACATCTGCAATTGCCCATGGAAGAGGGCCAAGTGCATAACAAAGCGATGCGATGACCCTATCGAAAAATTGGAAAAAGCGAAGAAAACAAATTTGGAACTATGCCCCATGCCCCGATTCACTTGGGTGGTGTTAATTTAGCGGAGCAGGACCCAAGCTTTTGAAAAATCTGCTGGAATCGATTGCACTTGTGAGATGTGTGGACTGTGTATGATAGTGTGTTCCAGTGCAGGCAGTTGAAAATTTATCGTGAGAGATTTAACTTGTTATGGAAATCACGTATATGAGCTAGTTTCTACTATGCACAACTTTCTGTTACTCTCATAAGAGGCTACACGCAAAATACTGAAAGTTTTATAGATATCTAATTTTGCCTCCGTATAGAATTAAAAGTAGCTTCGACGGCTGTGGAGTTTCAACACTGCAATCTACGCATTTCCGGTTCAAGCACATGCTCTGGTCACCTGTATATAATTATTCTACTAGGGTACAAATCTGGTGTAACAAAATTAGTGCAGTAATCGGGATCTCAAGTAGCCCAGAAAATAATAGACGGTAAATCCTTAAGTCCCATCAGTCGTAAAACCCACTGAAATATTACAATCACTCTAACAAATTTTGATGTCTAATTGAAATGGTAATGCTATTTAAATAATCCAATTTATTATTTGAAAATTAGTTATCATGGATAAGAATATATTACATTTCCAATTTTTTTACTCACATGGATATATTTCTACATACCTTTCTTATGTGAAATTTTTTTTTGTTAATAATTTTCATAACTTTGATACAATTACATGATTTTTTGATACACACAACAACAATATGTCATTTTACATTTTGATGCAAATTACATGCGTTTCTTGCACTTAAAGTATTCAAAATGTATGCATATCAATAATTATTTTATAAATTAAGTTGTGGATTGAATTTATGATAAAATAATTAGAAAAATCAATAAAGCTCCAATGAAAAATTATTTTTGATCCTTTGAATTTTTAATATTAAATGTGAGATGTAACTCTGGTGGTTGACGAGCTGTCAATGAAAGAATGGATTAGTGACGGTGCGTCAATGATGTGCTGTCATGCGACGGTGGGTTCAAGATATTGAATTACTATCTACTTAAGACTGCGAGCAAGTTGTTGCAGCCTCACACACTATAAATTGTTCCCATGGAATACTATGTGAGTGATTTTTCTCTACGAATATCGTCTAACAATTGATATAAGAGAGACGATAAGCAGCAGCGCGAGCTAGCAAGAGATCGAGAGTAAAGTGGGTGGCGGGTGTTCAATTCTCTTTAGTCCATTTCTGTGAGCGTGCTCTCCCGCGTCCGCTACTCTGCTTGTGGTTTTAGGATGACATTCATTCACTCTCGCTTTCTCGCTTCTTGGAATCAAGTTCTTTGTAGCGAGATTATCTTGCAGATTGAGAAGAGGAGCAGATTTTGAAGCGGTGGTTCGGATTGTGTAGCAACAACACTTTGATCGAACCCCAATGTACGTAGACTACAGGTTGAACATCCAAGTTTGGAAGAAATTTTTTTTGCCAATTTTGACTACAAGATTTTGGACTGCGCGCGTGAGCATCGACGACAACGTAAAGTTATGCATCAAGGTGCAATTGTACTAGGTCTGCCATCCTTTGAGGCGTATGAGCGCCTCAAAGAACCTGAGCTGGACTTTTTCATTGTCATTGACAATCATTGCTTGCTTGGTGGCAACAATTGCTGGCTCGTCGGAGGCTGAAACAATTGTGGTCTTGTAAGCTGACATAAGGTTCTTGATGAGTTCAAGAAATTGTTTAAGGAATATCATCTAGACCAAGTACAAGAATGTTGTTGTGCTTGAAAAATACAAAGAAGGTTAATGAAAAAAACATGTCTGAATTTGATAACTCTCTATACATTGCAAAGATTCACCACAAATTGAGTTCTTCATCTTTTTTGATGAGTTCAAGAATTCGTTTAAGAATGATCATCCTCAAGCCAAGGGTGTTGTTGTGGTTGGCAAGGCTATCAACTGACTTCTTCATCTTTTTTGACGAGTTCAAGAAGTTGTTTTACTAAGATCATCCCGATGCCAAGGATGTCACCGTGGTTGGCAAAGCCGAGGGAGAGAAAGTAAAAAACATGTCTAAATTTGAAAAGTATTGCTACATTTTCAAGACTCTACATAAAAAGCAAGAGTATGATAAGTCTATTTCAACTTACAAGATCAAAACCAACTGAAGAGGCATCAACTATCATCTTACTATTTATTGATGAGTTCAAAAAGTTGTTGTAAGAGTATTATACCAAGATCAAGGATGTGGTTGTGGTTGACAAACTGGAAGGAGAAAAATGAAAAGAAATCTTTGAATTTAAGAAGCCATCTACATTGGCAAGATTCAACATGAAGAAGCAAAAATTTGATGTATTTATGTTAGTTTACACGATCAAATTCAATCAAAGATGCCATCAACTGTATTCTTAATCTTTATTGATAGGTTTAAGAAGTTGTTTAAGAAATATCATTTCGAGGTCAAGGGCATTCCCGTGCTTGATTATTGCACCAACTTACTTTTTCATCTTTTTTGATGAGTTTAGTAAGTCGTTTGAGGTATATCATTCCGAAGCCAAGAGTGTCGCCATGGTTGGCAAAGCCCAAGGAGAGAAATGAAAAGAGATGTCTGAATCTAAGAATTCTTTCTACATTGACCATGTTCAACAAAAGAAGCAAAAGTACAATAAGTCTATGTGAGTTTACATTATCCAAACCAACCGAAGAGTCATCTACTGTCTTCTTCATGTCTTCTTAGATGTTTTTTAATGTAGTTAAAAAATCTTGGACTACATTTTTGTATTGGCTTTATATTGAACTCAGCTTAAAAAATCGTAGAAAAATTACTAGGTTCAAAATTTATTAGATTGGATTAATTTAAAAAAACACCTTCATCTTTTTATAGCTTGTGATCTCATATATCATCACAATGTATGCTAAAGCAAATCTTACAAGAAACTTCTATTAAGTCTGAAGATATGTCAATGTAAATAAACCTCTACAAGAAGAAATAATAAAATCTTTAAAAGCTATATGTTTCATATAATTTAGTTATGGGGTTATCACAAGATGTCATGTATGTCATCAAAATCAACTTGGTAGCACCACAATTTTCAAAGCTTCATTGTTTTCTGCTGCACAAGTTGAAGTCATATGACATTGAAATGAAGGAGGTGGTAAAATTTTTTAAAGTCAATGTATCATTTCACCTTATAATACACTCCAGTTGTTTTGTGACAAATAAATGATGCTATTTCGAGAGAATGGAGGAGTTGTTTGAAAAACACATTCAAAGAATCAATCATATTAATCTCATAGAAGACTTATGCTAGGTGAAAGAGAATGATCTTATTAGTGTGCATTTGATTGACATGAATCAAATTTAGGATGATACACATTTGGTTAAAACAGATTTGGCTTATTTTCTTGAATTCTTCGATACAAATCAAGTAAGTAAGTGTTATCAAAATGATTTTGAATAGGGTATCCATTCAAATTTGAATATGCCCATGAAATTTTTTACATCACTAATATGTACACAAGATATAGAATATCGTCATATTCTATTTATAAATTGGAAAGTATCGTAAACACGGCACGCTTGTGATGCTTGAAACAAGCTATATGGCGGATGCAATATAATCTAATAAATATGAAAGTAATGCAAACTTAGATTGCAGAGGAAGTAATACAACTGTCAACGGCAGCTTTTTTTCAGAGTCCATTATTGATCAGAAAATAATACATGACAGTTAGATTAGAGATACTGGGAAATTATAAGGAATAAAAAAATGATAAAGCCCTGTGTTTGCATGATATTCTTTTCCAGTGATACAAACTCAGATCCTGGACATTTGGGTCATGCACCCACGAAAGTAACTTGACCTCGAACCTGAAGCAAGCCTCGTGAGTTTAACCAGAGTTAGGCCAGTCAGTCACAAAGTCTGAATTGGAGCTGAAAGGAAGGGAAGGGCTCGTCACAGCACCGACTGCGCTTGATGAACTCTCGCGATTTGAATCGCGGATTCGATAGCCGCGATTCTGGACGGACGATGGAGATCGTGCGTGCGTCTGACGGTTGACGAGGATTGCGGTAGCGAAGGCGATCGCGAAACTCCTGGGATATCTATCTGAGCTCTGCTTTCGGTATTTTTAGGCCCTGCGACTGGTCTGGTGTCAGGCTGAAAATTCGGTCAGAAGGCCACGGGAAATCTGTCGATTCTGATTCCGCGGGCCAGCACTTTTGGCCATTCTATTCTTCTTCGTGCGCGCAAGTCTGGAGCCCTTCGAAATCAGCCCTTTCATGTGCATACTATGCGATGCGATGCGAGAGCGTAGCGTCGATGGCTGGCAAGTGGAACGGGCCTTCGGCGGGACGAAGCGAGCGTCCGGGGATGACGACCGCAGGCCACTTGACGAGGATAATCGCTCTGCACTGCGCGCGTGATCCGTCTTTACCAACAACGAGAAAGAACAAGAGGCAGAAAAGAGACCTCCTTTTTCTATATTCAGATCCCTCCGCTTGTCTCATGCCTGTCTGCCTCGAGATTTTTGCATCGACCAACGAGAGCATCCCATCCGTCGGGCCGAGCAGTGAGGTTCTCGTTTGCATCTGAGGAGAAGCACAAGGATTTTATTGGTAGGAAGGGTTGACAGCGACGAAAAGAAGGGAATCCTTCGTTGACCGAAGGATGCATATATTCACCATGGCATGGATGCGCGCGGTGACGATCGATGATTCATTCCGGGACTGAATCTTCTTTGAATCTCGACGCATATGACCCACCCACACCTTTCTTCGACGCACGAAATCAAGGGAATGGCTTCCGATGCGTGAGATGTGATCTAAACGTGATGAACGCTAGACTGCGAGCGATTCATTGATTGTCTGATCTGCTCAGGAACAAAGCCTCGGACACATACCTCTCAACCGAAAACAGGAATGTCTGCTCCGCGATCCTCCAGCCGTGTGTTCGATTCGGTCCCGGAGTCGCCGAATGTCCTAGAAAAGCGAAGGCCATCGCCAAATGTCGCCCCGAAAAGCAGATCCAGTTCCGCAAGGATTAGGTCATCGAGTTTCGGGTGAGCAGCAGTCGATTCACGTGATTGCTTCTGAAGCACGCTCGGTCGGCCGAACTGCGAGGCCCGAGTCCCGACCACGTTCACAGAACCGGAGGATATGTTCCGTCCAGACTGTGGTAACTTCACGTAGTACAGTAGTAGTCCCGTGAGCAAGTGAATCACTCCGTGGATGCAGTCCTGGCCAGGCCCCGGCGAGTGATCCTGGTCAGAGACTTCACGGCAGTCGGATTCTGGGGCGAACTCCCAACGCCGGATTTTCAGGTTAGACATTTGAGACTGAAAGCTAGCCAGCCTCGCAAAGCTCCGAAACGAAACTTCGCGAAAGAAACTCGGCCTGCGCTACGTTATGAAAATCCGGCATCGAATTATCAACCCCCAAAGACCGCCGCTTCCATAGATCCGGCAGTTCACATTCATTCCGCCATTCGCGAATGAACAAGACGGCATCGGAAACGCACTCACGTACGAGACGTTTCCCGGCACCGCACAGGCGAGATCCAGACAACCAGATGCGGCAAGTTCCGGGAACCGAGGGAAATTCGACGCGAACCGGAATGTGGAACCGGGAGGGGGCTCGATGGCGCAGTTTGGTGAGAATTGGGAATCAGCTGAAGCCGAAGCAAATGATTTGCATGAGAGTGGATTCCATCGGCCCATGGCCCCTACCTACACTAGGCAGCAGGCTAAAAAGCGACTCGAGGCACCCCCCGTACTGTACAACAGAACACAACGGGATGAGGACCGTGAAAGGACCAAAAGGCATGGGTCCAAGGCTAGGGGCCTACGGCGTAGGAACATCTAGAGCTCGCAGAGGGGCACTTGCAACTGCGAGCGAGCGAGCGAGCGAGCGAGCAAGCAAGCAAGCTCCGGGCTCAGAGGAGCTGGTGGGACCGGCGGGGCGAAGAGTGGGGGAATAGTGGCAGGGAGGAGCTTGGATCGGTGTTGGGCTCGGGCGGATATGGAAGATGGAAGATGGAAGAGGAGGATGGATGTGCTGAAGGCGGGATGATGAAAAAAAGTCGCAGGGGAGTGAGGAAGGAAGGAAGGAACGCGATCGTAGGGCAGATCGACCCACTGCACCTGTGATGAATGTGTTGGGGGCCAAAATAGGGGCAGGCGACGAAGAAGAGTAGGACGAGTCCCATGATGATTGAGTCGCAAATGGAGAGTATCTCGCCGGGATTCACCGCCGTTTGGATGCGCTGAATAGCCCTCGCAGAATGGCAACGCAAGCACGGCCGAGTGATGGAGGCGAGTGGCGCGCTAGCGCCAAGCATGCCACTGGTTCCAATGTGTCCCTATGATTAAGCCAAATGGTACATGCTTTTTTTAAAAGGTGGAAGAACTGCACAACAGTAAAGGCAGGCAGGCAGTCGTCCCCTCTGCTCTGCTCTGCGACTCCCGTCATCTGACCTTGACCTTGACATTGTCGAGGAAATTACTCGGCACGGAGCCCCTGTAGGTGGCGGCTGTGCGCGTAATTTCTTCCTCTCTCTCGTACCACGAGGCCCCGCTCAGGTCGGGACTCGGACTGGGCCGACTCTTCTGGCGCTTCCCCATCTCTCCTCTCTCCTCTCTCTTCTCGTTGTCGTTTTTTTGCATCCGGCATCGATCATTGATGCATGGTTTTCTGGATGGGCCATTGGTGCGCGCTTTTCCTCTTCGTCTTCCTTGTTACTGAACAGTCAAGCAACCGGACCCGGCCTGCCTGCCTGCGCAAAAATAGATCAATATTAACATAAACGCTGTAGATTTAGCAACTGGGTGGGTGAGCAAGAGTATGGTTCTGGTCATTCGCTCGTCCCCCGTCTCGTGCCCTCTCTCCCGTGCCTGCGAACAATGAACCGACGACACCAACCATCATCACTCTCACCATCGGGATCGGGTCGGGATCGGGCCTGATCCGCAGCTGCGGATCTCACACCGAGCCATCCATCGCGAGCATCGGCATCCATAAGCATGACGTGCCCACCGAGCGAATCCACTGCAGACTCTAACATTCTCGGCACGAGAGCGAGCAGAGGTTCCACCGCTGACCTCTGGCTGCCTCTGCCACAGATCCCCTCTCTGGCGGAACCGCACTCCGAGCTCGGGTCTCACCATAGCTCAATGTATTTGGCCACATTCGCGCTCTCCCCTTCTCCTAATTACAGAATGCCAGCCAGAGAGCCAGCTAGCCAGCCAGCCGACCTCAACCCGGGGTTAGGACCACTAACCAGAGTACGGCGCAGCGAGTCGACTCACCGAAGGGGTGGGAGGGTGGTCAGGAGTCTGTCTACTAGACCTCAGCACGCGGGTCCAGACCAGGTTCTGCGAACTCTTGAGTGAGTCACGACACTCGAGTCGCGAATCCAAACCGTCGGATGGAAACCTCAGCCTTACGAGAGAAGCCTGGGCCGTCGATCTCGTCACTGGTGAAATAAAAAGTGCCTCCTCGTTCGGTCGGTCGGTCTGTCTCGTTCGAAGTTCGCCGGTTCCCATTGGAGACCTGGGTCGCGAGGAGCCGAAGATTCGCGACGGAACGCGACGCGACGACCGAGCCGCCATTCGAGGGCAGTCCTGTCAAGGCGAAACGACCGACGAGGACGACGAGGACTAGGGACCGAAGTCGAGTCACCGGCGAGCGTGATGTGTACGTCCTACGCAAGGCTCGGTCCTCCAGGCGCCAGGAGAGCTGACAGGGACGGGGACGGGGAAGGGGATGATGGTACCCTAATTAATGGAGGCGAAGGGGACAGGGGTGACTGGGAGCGCCGGTGGCGAGTGTCAGCAGAAGAGGGACAGTTGCTGGCAACGAGATGCGGGGTTCGCAGGAGGAGATTCCGGGGGATCAAGCGAGGCAGCAGGCCGGAGACCGGAGCACGCAGCGAGCACACAGCCCTTGCGGGCAGTCAAACGCCGGTGACCTGAAAGGGGTTGTCGGGAGCGGATGTCGAGGTCATTTAACGACGTGAGCGCACGTGAGGCGGGCGCTAACCATTGGACCGAGGGCCCCGGGACTAGACTAGACTTCGCCGGGTGAAATTCCGGAGGGCGGAAATTCACCCGAGGGGCCGCCGGCGGACCCCACCGGGCGCCCTGCGGCCTTTTGGCGGGCGCTGCCGAGCGGAAAGAAAGCCCCGCAGCCCCCCGTCGCTCTGCCCATCTCCATCTGCATCAACACATCCGCATTTTCTCTCTGCCATCGCTCTCACAATCTCCTCTCTCGCATCTCCCTGTCGCCAGCCAGCCAGCCTGCCAGCCAGCCAGCTCGCCTCTCGTCTCGTCTCTCGTCCCCTCCTCTTCCTCCCAATCCTCCTCGCACCACGACCCAATCTCTGTCCTGCTGCCTGCTGAGAGTGTGCTGCACACACAGCAGGATTGTATTACGAGGACCGAGAGATTGTGTTTGCGAGACACAGAGACGCAGAGATCAGAGAGGAGGACGGAAGAGACAGAGGAGTTTAAGACGGACAGACAGAGGTTTGAGAAGCGAGGAGCTGCTGGCCTGCTGCTGCTGCTGCTGCTGCTGCGCTCTGGTAGATTGAACTGAGAGGGAGCGAGAGCGAGAGCGAGGCTGTCGATCAGGTGTGAAAATGGGCCGGGCTGCCTCTTGCTGATTGAGTTGTGTCGAACCTCGAGAGGGCGGAGGGAGGAGCGAGACCGCGATAGATAGATATCTATCCGGTCGAGTCCAGTGCAGGCGAGGCGAGGCGAGGCGAGTGAGGACTCGTGCAGAAAAAAAGGAATGGCATCGTCCGCGTGTAGTTTGACAGCTGGGGTGCGGTTGGGAGAGCAATCCGGTGCAGCGATATCGAAGTTTTCATCGACGACGGCGAGGAGCTCAGTGAATAATGTTGATCTGTTTGTCAAACGCGCCGGTGCTGGTGCATCCCTGGGACTGATCCCGTCCGCCGCAATTGCCACGCAATCTTCGACGCAAGACGCATCGTCTTCCTTGCGCTCGGCCGCGGGCCTTGCCTGCTGCTCTCGATTCTCGGGCCTGCGCAAACTTCCCGCCAGGAAGTCGAAGAAGATCCAACAATGGCTTCAATACACCGAAGGGCCAGCCCGCGAGGCTCAGCTCAGAGTAGTGCAGATGGCTCTGTCCACCGTCCCCGAAGGTCAGCAGGGCCTCTACGATCCTTCCATGGACAAGGACTCGTGCGGTGTGGGGTTCGTCGCCGAGCTCTCCGCCGAGCCAACACGCAGCACTGTAAGTGCCATCTGCAGCAATTGCACGCCTTGCCCTTCGTCAGATATCGAGATCTCTGCACTGCGCTTGTTTCTTTCACTGTGGCTGTCAATCTCCTCCTTTGCCCCAGCAAATCTGGGGTCGCATTCCCCTCCCCTCCCCTGCCCTGTCTGTCCTCCCACCGAGTCGATTAGTGGAGGCGTCGCTCTGCTTTCTCTGGATGGCGTAGGTGTATGAGATGATTAAACGCCCCAATCGCTTTTCTCGCCAATTCATCCGAGACAAGGCCCAAGAGCTTTTTTTTGGATGGTTCGTCTGTCGATCTCGTACAATTGCTGTGGCCCGAGCGAGGGGGTTGTCGTTTCAGTCAGGAGATTTTGTCACTCGTAGATTTCTGTATCCTACTTGCTGCTTGCTCTAGGCCACGAGTCTGACCTTCTGGTTGCTGGTCCCACTGGAATTTCGTGGTCGAAGGCCTCCTAGCAGTCGATGTCACAGTAATGTTGACAGTGGTGGGCTGCACGTCCTGGTCGTCAATAGTGGTCGCAATTTGTTAAATAGATCGTTGTTTCATGCACTTGCGACGGCGACGCAGGCAAGGATTCAAGGCAGAGCTTTGTTATGTGTCTATCGTGAGGCGAAGCTGGTCTGACGCAGAGAGTTGCCGGCGGCAATGCCCGGAGAATGGGCTACGAGTCCATGGCTCTCGAAGATCCATCGATGTGCCCCTAGATTTGAGACGACGGCCAGCGAGTCACGTCGAACAAATTGTGTTGACCAAATGATTGTGTGCCGGTTCTTTTGTGCAGGTCACAGACGCTCTGGAGATGCTCGTGCGCATGGCTCACAGAGGGGCATGTGGGTGTGAAGAAAATACCGGAGATGGGGCAGGAATTATGGTCGCACTGCCTCACAAATTTTTCTCCGCGGTAAGTCGTAGCGAATCTCAACATTTCGATTTCCGTCAGCTGGGTTTCAATCTTCTGGTTTCAGGCATGTCCTTATTCGTGTCTGTGCTAACTGAACATGGCGATTCATTGGTCTGGACTGAATCATCAGATCTCGGAGAAGGAGATTGGATGCAAATTGCCAGCCCCCGGGGAATACGCGGTGGGCATGTTCTACTTGCCTAAAGACAAGGCTCGACGAGTGGAGAGCAAGGCCGAGTTCAAGCGGGTGAGCAATGCGTCCGATGCAATCGATTTAGTGCGGTTTAATCCAATTTGACGTGATGTGGCTGCAATTTGTTAGACAGTTTTCTGTGCGCTCGACTATGTCGATGAACACTGCTTAATTGGAAGTCGGGCTGCCGCACGACGCTTTGTGTACATGCAGGTGGCGGAATCATTGGGGCATACTCTGCTGGGCTGGCGCAAAGTGAGGACCAATAATTCTGGCCTCGGGCAATCAGCTCTGGCCACAGAGCCCGTCGTCGAGCAGGTGTTCCTGTCCGCGTCTTCCAAGTCCAAAACAAGCCTCGATGAGCAGGTAAGCTCGAAAGGTCACTCCTGAAAATTGGAAATGATGCGCTTTGCCGACCATACGTGCGGATAGTTGTTGTGATCGACCAAGATTTTGCTCTTGCTGGTTCGTACAAATTCTCGATTAGTCCTGGTACCCTGAGACGTCACGATTGCCGCTTTTCAATCATGGAGATGACTACAAAGCATCTTTGCTTACCGTGCATGATTCGATGGCAGAAGGATTTATTCTCTAGCAGGTCACGAGTGCCCCGCATTCTTCCACTCATTCTGAGATTGGTTGCTGTCGTGTGGTCGGTGGGTGGGTTTATGAGAAAGAGGGTTTGTGTGGAACTTTCTGATGTGGTGTACTGGAATTGGATCGCTCCATGCAGATGTATCTGCTTCGGAAGCTGGCCATGATCGCAATCAGAGTCGCCCTCAACATGCCTCACGGCGCAGGCAAAGATTTCTACATCTGCTCGCTTTCACCGCAGTAAGTTACCCTTTCTCTCTGTTCTGATAGGGAGCCCCGCGCGACGAGGAAATTTGCTACTCTCATCGTGAAATTGTAGTTGTAGCAGTGGGGGAGTGATAGAATCTGATTCTTTATTCCATGACAGAACTATTGTGTACAAGGGACAGCTGACCCCCGAGCAAGTGCTGGATTATTATCGTGCGGATCTCGGTGACGAGCGTTTCACTAGCTACATGGCTCTGGTAAGAAATCAATCAATCAATTAATTAATTATTGAATCCAGTAAGCAAGCAAGGTTCAAATTTTGCGTGATGGTTGCCGAACTCCGTTACGCATATTGTTGCCTTGAGTTGGTGTCTAAGTAATTTGAGCTGATTATGGATGGGTTTAAAATTAGGTCCATTCTCGATTCTCCACAAACACGTTTCCGAGCTGGGACAGAGCACAGCCCATGCGTGTGCTTGGACACAACGGTGAAATCAACACCTTACGAGGAAATGTGAACTGGTAAGAATATCTTTCGCCTCATGTTATTGAATGAACTCGTTTCTTGCTGTCGCGTTGAGATGAGTAGGAAGGATTTCGGAAGTCACCGCGTTGTCGTTGCCATGCGGTTTAGTTTATCGAAGTGCGTGCTTATTGTCGTGGCGTCTGTGACCCACTATGCACTGACGAGATTGTGACGGACAGGATGCATGCGCGCGAAGGATTACTTAAATGCAAAAACCTTGGCCTCTCGGAGGCCGAGCTTGAGAAGCTTCTCCCGATCGTCGATGCAAGTTCTTCAGATTCTGGTAAGTTCGGGCTTTGATGATCATAATAGCTGCAAGGAAATTGCAATCTTCGGACCTTTGGACAAGTAGTTAATGGCAGATATGGGAGCATTTGGCCGCAGTTTGACATTATCAGCGCTGTATCACTGCTAGTATTGTGGAATCTCGTGCCTGTTTGATTATATATCGATTGGTCCACCCATGTGCAGGTGCGTTTGATGGAGTGCTGGAATTCTTGTCTCGAAGTGGAAGGAGTCTTCCGGAGGCAATCATGATGATGATTCCGGAGGCGTGGCAAAATGATTCCAACATGGACCAAGAACGCCGAGCTCTCTACGAGTACTTCTCAGCCATCATGGAACCATGGGACGGCCCTGCTCTGATTGCCTGTAAGCACTCTTCGATCCTTTGCGTATGAAATTTTCATTTCTGGATGGATTATATCAAGCAATCCATGTCTCCATGCCGAATCTGCACGCTGGGGCTTGCATATCTATCACAGCAGAATTTGGCTGAAGAGTGTGTGTGGTTGTTTTCCTCAGTTACGGATGGAAGGTATTTGGGCGCAACTCTGGACCGAAACGGGTTGCGACCCGGGCGTTACTACATAACTCACACCGGGCGCGTAATCATGGCAAGCGAGGTCGGAGTGGTGGACATAAAACCCGAGGAAGTGAGCAAGAAAGGAAGATTGAATCCCGGCATGATGTTGCTGGTGGATTTCGAAAAGCACGTGGTGGTGAATGACGATGATTTGAAGAGGCAGGTAGCTTCCAGCCAACCATTCGGAGAGTGGCTGCAGCGGCAGAAAATCACCTTGAAGGACATCGTCGACTCCGTGGACGCTGCAGATCGAGTGCCCCCGTCTGTGGTCGGCAGTCTTCAGGTTGGATTCTGGACTTCGTCTGTCTCTCTTTCACTCGATTCAGAAAAGCGAGGATTTCTTGCTGCACCGTGGACCTGTACACAATCGTTGTATTCATGAATCGTTTGTTGGTTGGACTCGCCAGGTCGGCAGCTCCGACACGACCATGGAGAAGATGGGGATCAAAGGGCTTCTGGCACCTCTGCGGGCATTCGGGTACAGCGTAGAAGCGCTGGAGATGCTTCTGATCCCCATGGCTAAGGATGCGTCCGAGGCCTTGGGCTCGATGGGCAACGACGCGCCGTTGGCCATGATGTCCGAGCGTCCTAAGCTGTTATTCGAGTACTTCAAGCAGATGTTCGCACAAGTCACCAACCCGCCCATCGATCCCATCCGTGAAGCCGTGGTGACATCGACCGAGTGCATGGTCGGACCGGAGGGCGATCTGACCGAGACCATCGAGGAGCAATGCCACCGCCTATCGCTCAAGAGCCCTCTGCTCACTTTGGAGGAGATGGAGGCCATCAAGAACATGGATTACAGGGGCTGGCGCAGCAAAGTCATCGACATCACCTTCGGGAAAGAGGAAGGAGTGTTCGGCTTGGAGAAGGCCCTCGACCGGATCTGCGCCGAAGCTCGACTGGCCATCCTCGACGGCTATAAAATGCTGGTGCTCTCGGACAGAGGTGAGCGAGTCTCGAGTCATGACTTTGTGAAATTCTCGATTTGAACGAGGTGCTTGGTCGTAGATTGACCGATTGATTGATTGACTGATTGGGTTTTATTGTCATGGCGCAGCAACCTCGCCGTCTCGTGTGCCGGTGAACTCTTTGTTGGCCGTGGGGGCAGTGCATCATCATCTGGTGTCAACCATGGAGCGGACCCAAATTGGATTGGTCATAGAATCAGCCGAGCCGCGAGAGGTGCACCATTTCTGCACTCTCGTCGGATTTGGAGTGGACGCCATCTGCCCGTACTTGGCCATCGAGACGATCAAGAGGTTGAACATCGATGGCAAAATCCCAGCCAAGGCACAGGGCGCGCTGCACAGCTCGGACGAGCTCGTGTCGAAGTACTTCTATGCCAGCAATTCCGGCATGCTCAAAGTGCTGGCGAAGATGGGAATCAGCACCCTCGCGTCGTACAAGGGGGCTCAGATTTTCGAGGCCGTGGGCCTGGCCACCGAAGTGGTGGGCCGCTGCTTCAAGGGAACCCCGAGCCGGGTCGAGGGAGCCACGTTCGAGATTCTGGCTCGTGACACTTTGAAGCTGCACGACCTTGCTTTCCCCGTGCGCATGCTGCCTCCGGGAAGCGCAGACGCCAATGCCGTGCCCAATTCGGGAGACTACCACTGGCGCAAGGGCGGGGAGGTGCATCTGAACGACCCGGTGGCCATCGCCATGCTGCAGGAGGCGGCTCGGACCAACAGCCCCGCCGCGTACAAGGAGTATTCCAAGACCATCCACGAGCTGAACAAGAAGATCAATCTCAGGGGCATGCTCCGGTTCAAGGTTGATGCTAGCAAGAGCATTCCTCTCGAAGAGGTCGAGCCCGCGAGCGAAATCGTCAAGCGGTTCTGCACCGGCGCCATGAGCTACGGGTCCATCTCTCTCGAGGCCCACACCACGCTCGCCGTCGCCATGAACAAGATCGGAGGAAAGTCCAACACCGGTGAGACTCGAATCCCAAATCCAGCCTCCCCTCTCGAGCCATTCATTCCATTATATAATATTATATCATTAAAGCCCAAAATCATGAATTGTCGTCGACGATTCATGCCATAATAATCATCAATGAAGCCCAAAATTATGTATTCTCGTCGACGATATAGGCTATTCTCTGCTGCCACTGATTGACGATCGATCTGTCTCTCGCAGGTGAGGGTGGCGAAGCCCCAGAGCGCCTGGAGCCGTTGGCGGACGGGACGCAGAACCCGCAGCGCAGCTCCATCAAGCAGGTCGCGAGTGGGCGCTTCGGCGTCACGAGTTACTATCTGACCAACGCCGACGAGCTGCAGATCAAGATGGCCCAGGTGAGAAGCGCCCGTCCGTCCGGTCCTCCACCAGTCGTTGTCCCGCAGTAGTCTCGCAGGGGTCCTCCGGCCCCGCGGTCGGTCGCTCGCTCCGACGACATCTTGCATGCATGCACGTACGCCTGACTGAACTGACCGGTCGGGATGGATGGGAATTGATTTATCCAGGGGGCAAAGCCGGGCGAAGGTGGCGAGCTACCGGGACACAAGGTCATCGGCAACATCGCGACGACGCGAAACTCCACTCCCGGCGTCGGGCTCATCAGTCCTCCTCCGCATCACGACATCTACAGCATTGAGGACCTGGCGCAGCTCATCTTCGACCTCAAGGTACGCGAGAGGAGAGCGTCATTGCGCCGACATGGAACTGTGAATTGTGAATCGTGAATCGTGAATTGAGAATTGTGCCTGAGATTAAAGGCAGAGTCGAAATGGTGTGGAATGTTGCGTCATTGCTTCGTGAATCTGGTGCGTCGGGTTCAGAATGAAGTGATCAGAATGGCAATAGAAGATCGCATTACCGACATGGAATTGTGAATTGTGAATTGTGCCTGGGATGAAATGCATGAACGAAATTGCGTAAAATGTCGCGTCATTGCGCCGACATGGATCGTGATTTGTGCCTGGGATGAAAGCTTTGTGAATCTGGTGCGTCGGGTTCAGAACGAAGTGATCGGAATTGCAATAGAAGATCGCATAACCGACATGGAATTGTGAATTGTGCCTGAGACGAATGGCAGAACTCTAATGACATTTAGTGACTGGAATGGCACCGAACGAAATGGCATTAGCTCTCGTCTGACGCCGGCACGGAATTGTGAATGGTGCCGGGGATGAAATGAAATGAAATGGCAATTGCTGTCGAATGACGCTGTGGGGATTGGTGAATGGGGAATGGCAGAATTCGAATCCCGAAGCGCGGATCAGCGTGAAGCTGGTGTCGGAGGCGGGGGTGGGAGTGGTAGCGAGCGGAGTGGTGAAGGGGCACGCGGACCACGTGCTGATCTCGGGGCACGACGGGGGCACGGGCGCGAGCAGGTGGACGGGAATCAAGAACGCCGGGCTGCCATGGGAGCTGGGGCTGGCGGAGACGCACCAGACGCTGGTGGCGAACGATCTGCGCGGGCGCACGACGCTGCAGACGGACGGGCAGCTGAAGACCGGGCGCGACGTGGCCATCGCGGCGCTGCTGGGCGCGGAGGAGTTCGGGTTCTCGACGGCGCCGCTGATCACGCTGGGCTGCATCATGATGCGCAAGTGCCACCTGAACACGTGCCCCGTGGGCATCGCGACGCAGGACCCCGTGCTGCGGCGCAAGTTCGCCGGCGACCCCGAGTACGTGGTGAACTTCCTGTTCATGGTGGCGGAGGAATGTCGCGAGATCATGGCCTCGCTCGGCTACCGCCACATGGACGACCTCGTCGGGCACGCCGAGCATCTGGAGGTGGACCCGGACGTCATGGACAACAACAGCAAGCTCGAGAACGTGGACCTGTCGCTGCTGCTGCGCCCGGCCGCCACCCTGCGCCCCGACGCCGCGCAGCGCTGCGTGCAGAAGCAGGACCACGGCCTCGCCGACGTGCTGGACCGCACGCTCATCCGCCTGGCCCTGCCCGCCCTCTCCCGCCGCCTCCCCGTCTACATCGACCTCCCCGTCTGCAACACGGATCGTGCTGTCGGAACCATGCTCAGTCACGAGCTCACCAAAAGGTACTCTTTGTCCCACTCTGTCCTCCCAGCAGGTCTCGAGTTCAGCTGGTGCCAAGTGCAGGGGACTGAGGTCTCTGAGGTCTTACGTCTTACGTCTGGTCTCGAGTTCAGCTCGAGAAGCTGGTGCCCAGTGCAGTGGACTGAGGTCTTACGTCTGGTCTCGAGTTCAGCTCGAGGGGCAGTTTTGTCAGATATATAGTCATCTTCCAAATTCCAGGTTCGAAATTTTAAGTTGTAAAATGAACATAGAACTTTTACTTCTCCAACTTTCAAATTTTATAATCAACTGGTCACATTAAGCTTGCCATGCCTTCGATGCATTACACACTCTACGCTGAAATCATCTAACTTAGAGCAATTTACAAGTGGACTAAGGACTGAGGTCTGGCCTCGAGCTCAGCCCGTGCGTGGGGTTGGTGAAAAACCAGGGGAGAGCACTGAGGTCTGAGGTGTGGGATGATCTCAGCTCGGGAGCAATTCAATTGTGAAATCTCAATTGTGAAATTCATGGCATGCGAGCGAGTCTGACGTCGAATCGGGCTTTCTGCAGGTATCGGGCCGAGGGGCTTCCGGAAGGGACCATTCATGTGAAGCTCTCGGGCAGCGCAGGGCAGAGTTTGGGGGCATTTTTGGCACCAGGGATCACCTTGGAGTTGGAAGGGGACTCGAATGATTACGTGGGGAAGGGGCTGTCGGGCGGCAAGGTGGTGGTGTATCCGCCACGGTCCAGCACTTTCGATCCCAAGGAGAATATCATCATCGGCAACGTCGCGCTCTATGGGGCCACGAGCGGCGAGGCGTTCTTCAATGGAATGGCGGCCGAAAGGTTCTGCGTGCGTAACTCTGGCGCCAAGGCCGTCGTGGAAGGAGTGGGAGACCATGGCTGCGAATACATGACCGGAGGAACTGTGGTCGTGCTCGGGAAGACGGGCAAGAATTTCGCCGCTGGTATGAGCGGAGGGGTGGCCTACGTTCTCGATGTGGACGGCAAATTCCCATCCCGGTGCAACACGGGCTTGGTGGATCTCGACAGGATCGGCAGCGACGACGTCGAAGATGTGATGACGCTGCAGACCATGATCCAGCAGCACCTGCGGCACACTGGCAGCAAGCTTGCCCGAGAAGTGCTGGCCGATTTCGACTCTCTTCTGCCCAAGTTCGTCAAGGTCTTCCCTCGTGATTACAAGCGCGTGTTGGCCGAGCTCAAGGCCAAGAAAGATGCGGCCGAGCTCGAGGAGAAGAGTCTGGCGGGCAAGGATGCCTTCGAGGAGCTGAAAAAATTGTCGGCCACCAGCAATGGCAGCGGCAAGGGCAATGGCACTGCTAACGGGACCGTGGCCGCTGCGCCGACCAAGGGCTCGACCAACGGAGCATCTGCTGCCTCTTTGACAAAGGTGGGTCTTCTCTTCCGATGAGTGTTGCTGTCGTCGAGTTTTTGATCGAGTGTGTTGGGGGAGCTCGTTTTTGATCGAGTTGTTTCTGCCAATTGCAGGAAGAGAAGCCGGTGGCTGTGACGAGACCGTCGAAGATCGAGGAAGCTGTTAAACATCGAGGATTTGTGAATTACGAGCGTGAGGCTCTTCCCTACAGGAAACCCGAGGAGCGTCTGACCGACTGGAAGGAAGTCACAGCCCAAGGCAGTCAAGATGCACTCTTGAAAACACAATCTGCTCGGTGCATGGATTGTGGAACTCCATTCTGTCAACAGGTTAGTGAGAGCTCTGTGTTCAGAGTGCAAGTATGGAAGGAGGATTTCGATGGCGATGCTCGATGCTCGATTGCCATGCGTTCTCCCTTCGCTTTGAATCCATAGCTTGCTGTCTGATGGTGTCTGTCTCGTCCGATGGACTCGCAGGAGAAGAGCGGTTGTCCTCTCGGAAACAAAATCCCGGAGTGGAATGAACTTGTTCACCAAGGCCGATGGCGTGAGGCTTTGGACCGCCTGTTGGAGACGAACAATTTCCCCGAGTTCACGGGCCGTGTCTGCCCTGCTCCATGTGAGGGATCATGCGTGCTCGGCATTATCGAGAAACCTGTGACCATAAAGACGATGGAGTGTACCATCATTGACAAGGCTTTCGAGGAAGGATGGATGGTACCGCGACCACCGATGAAGCGCACTGGGTATGCGATTTGCGATTTGCGTTATGGAAAGTAGCAGATTCTTTGGTGGATTATTTCTGTCGATGTTTCTGTTATTCTACGGTGGATGAATTTCACGTCCTGCAGACTGATTCGTTTTCTGTGCCTGGGTTGCAGTAAAAGGGTGGCCATCGTGGGAAGTGGACCAGCAGGTATGGCAGCTGCAGATCAGTTAAATAAAGCTGGACACTGGGTCACAGTATACGAGCGAGCGGACCGCGTGGGTGGACTCATGATGTACGGGGTTCCCAACATGAAGACAGACAAGGAAGGCGTCGTGCAAAGGCGTGTGGACTTGATGGCTGCCGAGGGTGTCGAGTTTGTTGTCAACGCTCACGTGGGCAGCGACTCTCGCTATTCCGTGGACAGCTTGCGTGCGGCCAATGATGCCATAATCCTGGCTTGTGGTGCCACGAAGCCAAGGTACTCATCCGATGCCTCTCGATTCTGTTCCCGAAATTTAATCGACGGAGTAATACTTGATCAGATACTGAAGTCTGGATTCTGCTCTGCAGTGATAGCGAGACCCTGATTATGTTTTGATCATTTCTCGTCTGCTTGCTGCTTGCATCAGGGATTTGGTAGTTCCTGGGCGTGAGTTCGCAGGTGTTCACTTCGCCATGGACTTCTTACATGCCAACACGAAGAGTCTGTTAGACAGCGGACTGCAAGACGGGAAGTACATCTCAGCCAAGGACAAGCGTGTTGTTGTCATCGGAGGAGGTGATACCGGAACGGATTGTATCGGAACGTCACTGAGGCATGGTTGCAAGCAGCTCATCAACTTAGAGCTGCTTCCACAGCCGCCTTACACTCGTGCTCAAGGGAACCCTTGGCCTGAGGTACGAATCGCTCAGCTGTTTCAACAGAGGCCTCCGTGAACGAATTTTCTGTTTGATTGCGTTTTTGTATACATCTGTGATAACGATTTTTGTATTACAAACGAGCTTTCTCTTACTCAGCATGTGATTGTCTGAATTACACAGTGGCCCCGGATCTTCCGCATTGATTATGGCCATGAGGAAGCGAAAACGAGGTTTGGAAAGGATCCGAGGACGTACGAAGTTTTGACCAAGCGGTTCATTGGAAACGACGCGGGAGAGGTCACTGGGCTAGAGTTGGTGCACGTAAAGTGGGAGAAGGATGCCTCGGGAAGGTTCCAAATGCAGGAGATTCCTGGGTCTGAAGAAGTGATCGAGGCCGACCTCGTCTTGCTCGCCATGGGATTTTTGGGTCCTGAGCAGGTATGAGGAATGGCGTCCCCGTTTTCGTGAGCTTGGCCATTGAAGCGAAAATGAAAGAAAGGAAGCTATTGTGTGAGGAAGTCTGTCACTGATCAAGTGGAATTTGTCGTTGGATTTGCAGAACATCGCGGAGAAGCTGGGTCTAGAGTGCGATGCGCGCTCCAACTTCAAAGCCGACTTCGGTCGCTTTGCCACCAACTTGCAAGGCGTGTTCGCCGCCGGGGATTGCAGAAGGGGTCAGTCTCTGGTGGTATGGGCCATCGCCGAGGGCAGGCAAGCGGCAGCACAAGTGGACGAGTTCATCATGAAGGACTTCAACGAGGAGGACCTCGTGGTGGACGATAGGTACATGTCTCTGTCAGGCATGGGAAATGTGGCAGGTAATGGATTCTTGAGCGGCAACGGGAGCGGCAATGGCAATGGCAGTGGCAATGGCTCGTCCTTAGGCAAGGACCGTCAGTTCCCCGAGGGTGTCGTGGACGCGGCCGAGGAAGCTCGGCAGGCCTGCGTGGCGGTGGCTGGCGACGCTGAAGACTACAACAGCATGAGACAATGCATCGAGCTCAGCGTGGAAGCTGCGGCTCTGAGCGACAACACCATCGTGACCGAGCAGAGCTTCTAGGGACCCGAGGACTTCGACTGGAAAGCCTGTTGATGACTGACTGGGTGAGAGAGTAAGTGTTTAGTGAGTAGGCTCTTGACATTGGATCACTGGAAGAGTGGACCACATCAGCTGAGTTATTGTATCATACGTTTTCGATCCTGAAGACGGGCAGACCGAGGCTGAAAGCCGAAGTTTGCCCTGCTTCCCATTGTTATAGCAGATTAATTGGGACAGTACATATCCCCTGAGATGTAATGCAGCCGCCGCTGCGTGTATACCTCTTGGACTCGAGCCAATCTTTAGCGAATGTTCCAGAGCATATGATGTGGACGTTCCTCCTTGAAGCACCAGATAGGTAGTCTGTATTTATGCATCAGTACATTGCGGAGGTCGGTCGTTGAAGTGTCGGTTAATCTCAGCGACAGTGGGGTGATGATGTCTTTTAGCGATCACCTTCCATTCAAACCCATCCCGCACAAGAAGAGGATTCGGTCGAGACCGAATCCTGCCCAGCTCTATCTTCAAATTTTTGTTTCCATCACCTGTACAATTATAATATGTATCACATTTTTCTGGGCAGGGTATTTGCCCGCCCACATCTAAGCCATTAATACAGTAAGCCCCCGTTTGTGCATGCGATTCATCTTCCATTCTCGAGGTTTGATTTTTATCGTCTACTGCGAGTTCCTAGTTTGTGCCTCGGTGCAGTCAGTACTGTGTATGTATTGTACGATTGACTTATACGCACGACTGTTCTTTTTTTACTCTGAATCGTTGAAGTCTCTCTGCCTGGATTTGTTTATTTTCGGCCGGACTCAGAACTTTATTCGAGAAGATTGTCGACCTTGGGGCAATTATGGTAATACCGGATATATATGTACATACTTACATATATATATATATATATATATATATATATATATATACATTGTTTGTAGTGTATAGTCCTGGTAAAAATGTAGACCTTGAAAGAGTTACGTCCATTCATAGATACACAACGCAGGGTCTTACTATTAAGTAAAAATATAATTCTAAAAGTTAAGAAACATCTGCATCTAAAAGCTTGTTATTTGAGAGTTGGAAATGTAGTGTGTAACTACCAGCGACCATCAGTTGCCACATTTGTCCCTATGTATACAGGTTCATAGGTTTATTAGGTAGAAAAACAAAATTTGGTATCGCCGGTATGACTCGGTTTTGCGAAGGTGTTTTGATGGACTTTGCAACGGCAAAAAAGTGACCATTCGCTTAGAAAAAAAAAGAAAAAAAGATTGTTTTTTAACAATTGTGGTATCGTACACATATCAATCATGTGTGTCTTGGTGGCAAGCTTAATATATTCGGAAGAAAAAGATATTGCATTCTGCAGTGTAACCCTGCTTAGACTGACCGATATTCACACGTGAATGTACGAAATTGTCAACCGGTTTGCCAATCATCTCATGATTTACTGTAAATGAATCGAATGAAATTTCTGTAAATGATAAGGATGAAGTTTTTATGCTTCTGATTAATCTGTTGTGGAGCAATAATCTGATCCGAGCTATCTTTCTGCGTGCTGTTACAAGTGACAGTATCTGGAGTAGTGATTCTGAAACTTATAACATTCTACATAACCGGCTAACTTGGAACATATTGTAAAATCACAAATCCTCAACAGTAGACTTGAAACCGAGCTTAGTCGGAATGTAATATGCCATCTTAATCTCGGTCATTCTCCTACACTTTCCAGGTACCATAGAGTAGAGGCTTACTAATTATTACTCAAGTGATAATTGTGAGATGACTTGTTACTTGTAAACTATGAAATTATTAGACTTAATGTTTCTCAACGTACTATAAAAATAACACGTACTATTTGTCTATCAATTATTTGTATTGCAAAGATAACTATATCTGTCAAAAAACATGTCAGTAAATTATTTGACTATACGTCATAATATATGTTACATTTAAAATAAGTAGCATGTAGTTAAACAAATGAAAAAATTAATATTTTAGGAAGGTTCACTGCATAATTGTTGAAAATGTTCATTTCATCTTTTTTTTTTTTTATTTACAAGTTTTCATGTTTGGTTCCTTCTATCTGAAAAAATATACTGTAATCATATACAATATATCACGAATTTTTACAATAAATTAATGTGTATAAAATTTAAATGCACATGTTATAATTTATGATATAATTTTTTGATATTAATGAATGAATTTTTCTTTTCATAATTATTTAAATTTAAAATATTTCTGTGATTTAGATTTTGAATTTTTATTTTCTTATGATCGTAAAGTGATTTTCAAACCCCATGAAGTGAGTTGTCTCCTCCTCTGATTTATATCCTGATTATTATCAGACTTGTGGTTCAAATAGATGAGATTATATCATGCAAAGTATGTATATGTAGCAATTGATTTGTCCACTTTTCTCCAATGGAGAACTGTTGTGTGTGCGTCTACGAATACATGCTGCCTATTGGAGTGCCGTAAGTCAACCTTCTCTTGGCATAGATGCTCTTGGTGTTTGATATGTCATTTGGATGGTACAAAATTCTCAGCACCATGGAGAAGTACTTCCTTCAAGCTCCTCTCAAGTTGTCTAATATCCCGTAAGTGGTGCTATATTACGTCGTGATCTTGCTGCTCTAGATGGTCCGAGTGTTGACGGTGTCCTGTAGAGTTTTTTTCTAAAAGTAGATGTGATAAATTCTATTTGATTGAACATGAATTTAATTTTTATATATTTACTGTTTGAATAAGATTGACTTCATATCAAAACTTGGGAAAAAATTACTTGATGGCATAAAAGGAAATCTAACAAACTCAATGGTATCCAACAAGTTTCATTTCATACTATACACCTTTTCTCTAATGCCCTGAAGTGCATCATGTTCCAATATTTCGGGTTGGAACCTCTTCGGGTTTTTTCACGGATACAATTAGGTTGCTACAATTAGGTGCCCGTTGCTTTCTGAAACACGCTGAGAACGACTCGCCAAATTACTCTCACGGGAGAGAGTATTTGGCCCAATAGTAGCATACACTCTCACCACTATAACTAAAGTTTTCAAGTTAATTTTTTTTTATTGGAATATGGTTAACGGTGAGTTTCATGGCGGGTAAAATGGAACCTGTTGGATCCTATCAAGTCATTTGAATTTACCCGGTGTCACAGCAAGTAATTATCTCAAAAACTTTGTCTACAGAAATTGAAAATTAATATATTAGCAAGTGCATTTCAATTTTTGTGTTTATATTAATAATTAAATAAATAATTTTAATTTGTATTATTGGTTTTAGATTATATTTATAATTACTTTATTCACTAAAAATAGATTCTTTATTTAAATCAAATTGAATTAAAGTTTGATTTCAAGATAGATATGAAAAATTAGCACAATTAAAAAGTGAAAGATTTTATTCAATTAAAATTCTATTCACTTCATGAAAATTATTGAAAAATTTCAAAACTTCTAATGTATTTTGAAAAAATATTTTGAATTTTTATTTAAAGAAAAATTATATTTTTATAAAAAGAATAATTTTTTTTATCGTATTGTGAATAATTATTTTATCTTCATACATCAAAATTTTAATACATCATTAACATATTTTTTAAAGTCCATATAATAACAAAAAAGCTAAAATTTGAAATGGATGACTAAATAAATAGAATACAATTAATCATAATGAATAGAAATGAGCAATAGTTTTGAACAGAAAAAGTTTCTCAACTTAGGTATTTTACTTATACAGCAAACCTCAATCCAGGTTTGATTTGAAGTTGAGATTTGAACTGAAATTAAAACTAATCTAGTCTCATAATATATGAAGCAAAGAGAAGTTAGAAAAAATATCAACTTGAACTTCATTCGAGAGTCAATGACTTAAATGTAAAAAAAATAAATAAGTAGAAATCTAATATTGTTATGGAGTGCACAATTGAACCTATAAAATTGTCATATACGGAAAAACCAAATCTCGAAAAGCTTTCCACTGAAATTTAATCATTCTCACTGAGTTATTTGTATATCCAAAACGGGTTGTCAATTTAAAGCTTTCATGAGAGCAAATGAAGCCATCGCTAAGACAACACAAAGAAAACAATAGTGACAAAAGATATACCATCAAGTTGTTACTCTTATGCTGATTATCTAAACCTTAAATGGGATGGCAAGATATCCAAATGTTTATACATTCCTAACTAGTCACAAATGTAACCAAATGCAGATAGTAAAATTTATATAATAAATAGAAATTCATTTACTTTTCAATATAGTTTTCCATGGTGATTTATTTAGATTTGAATGGATACAAGATAAGAAGTGATTTAAACTCACTCTGAATACTCTACAACATTGATCCTCATAGTTACTCCAAAATGAACTAGAAAATGCACTTCAGTCATTCGTTTTCGATGTTTTCAAAAACAACGTCACATTGATTAAGAAACTACTGTCTATTCAATCACTTCCCCAATCCTCATCTTTTGTGGAGGAATAAAAGAAGTATAACAAGAGATTGGCAACTGGACATTTAAAAGCATCTCCTTCTACTTTGTGCTTTTGGCCTTAAAGTCTAGTAGGAGTGTGATTCATCTAGAAACAGCTTACCAACTGGTGCACATGGAACTTTCGATTACCAAGTCCTCAGCTTTATGTCAAGTCATCCACTGGCCAAGTTTATCTCCTACCAATAATTAAAGCATGACATATATTCACCACGGTGATGCTATTGGGCCAAGCCCCTCTTGCCCTTTCTTTTCATCTTTGTGATACTTAGTGGGGTGTTTCCTATCCCTTTTGCTAGATGTTTTACTTCTTACCCCGACTGTAAAACATAACTGTATATCATGAGTATTAAAACTTTCTGCATTGAGTTTGTACCTTTACTTCACACGGGAGGCTAAGTTGGGACAGGATTAATTTCCACTTCAGATGCAATGCAAAGTGTCTATCGACCAAGTCAGATGAGGTTTGCTCTCTCCAATGCACGGTGTGGATGATGCCAACTCATAGACAAGTAGTAATTTACCATCATTTTTTGAAACATGTATTTCATAAGGATATTGTGCAACCAACTGTTGCAGGTTTTCGAAGCCTCTCCTGCAACAAGACCAGCACTGTCACATTGTTTGTCTACATTAAAATCCGCCCTTTCCGAGCTCCACCTCTTGCTCAACTTAACTCTTCGAAACAGATGATTCTGGGTGAAAATGTTGGGAGCAGAAATGTCCGCACGATCATTGAAATATAAGTATGTCAGAGTGTGAGTTTATATATATATGTATGTCTATACTCTGGTGGCAGTTGAATTAACGATACTTGTCTTAATGCTGTAACTGATTTGGAATAAGGCGCAAGTGTCTAGCAAGCATGAGCTTGCAGGACAGATGTCTAAAAAATTCGAGAAGCTCGCTTTCGAAACTCCTCCCTTTGCCTCTGGGCTGGACCTCGGTTTTCTTTGCGATGGCCCGCCCAAACATCGTGCTTGTTACCCCATGCATCGCCCAATTGGATAACTTATACCGAATAGATGCACTTGCAAAACTCGAAATATGTAGATTTCTTGTTTTGATTTCTACAGACCACATTCATCAGGTTCCCTGAGGGTCATATTGGCAGTAAATATAAGGAACAAGTGGAAATGTGCGAAGGACTATATTACATGAATTACGAGTTTGTTCTTGAGTCCTCAAGATTTGAGGATTATTGGCGACATCTTTACAAGTGACAGGTTGAATGTGAAATGTCAACGATCTTCTAAACCTCCAACCTTCGATAGGAAACAGCGCTATTCTATAAGGTGCTAAAGACCATCGGCCCTCCATCCGAAGGTCTGGGATGAGGTAAATGATCGACCTTAGCATCTGGATTCAAGAGCTCCCACCTGATACAAAAACAGAGGATCGTTATGCTATCGGGCGAACCTTGACGTAAAATACAAAACAGTGTAAACGGAGAATGTTTCTCAATGTAAAACACCATGATTTTGGTTGCCACAAACAGGTGAGGCAGTTATCATAATCCCCATATTAGGACCTCTAGTCTACGTTATATCCAAAGCTCAAGACCCTCTGTCAAGAGTAGCAGAAGGCAGAGCTCCAGACACGAAACTCAACACGAGTACGCAGACATACCTGTATCCCAGTGAAAGATGATGTAGGAACATGGAAACCTGGAGCCTGGCAAACTGATTTCCTACACACGTTCTGATGCCACCTCCGAAAGGATTGAAAGCTTCATGATTTACGTCTTTGGCCTGAACAAATACAAACTTAAGACTTTGCATCACGCATCCTTAGCATTGTCCTGTTCACATATTTTTTCCTATATAGAGAAGAAGGGTATTGTCCATACATACAAACAAGAAGTGAGGGTGCAATGTTTGAAGATCCTTACATCCCAACGATCCGGGTTGAATCTCTCGGGTTCTGGAAAGCAATCGGGATCCATATGCGGGGCTCTTAACCAGGGCATGACCTTCCACCCTTTCGGAATCAGGTAACCTGCGAGTAACGCATGTCCTGGCTTATTACTCAATTGCGTCACATATTGATTAGTCGGCCAGATCTTCATGACAGGTATGGCGGAAAGAGTTTACAGAAGTCAAAGCTTCATAAAATGAGAGAAAATCCATAATCGCTCGAAAACTTCCAACCGGCAGGCAATCGGATGGATGTCAAAACTCACCTTTATAAGTAACATCTTGAAGAACAGTCCGGAATACCATGGGCGCAACGTTGACCAGCCTCAGAGTTTCATCAATCACCTGTTCGGGGAGTGTTTGGCATGAGAACGAATCCGAACAATCCAAAAGACTTGAATGATGCAAGGACAAGGGCTCTCCCGAGTTTGCGCCTAGACATGCTGACAGCTCTCCGGCTTACTTATAATACGAAAGACGAGGCCCAAATTAGAATCGACGAGCACAGTCTTGAAACCTTGCCTTGTGGGTGTACTTCATTGAGTTCGTATCTTCCAAAGAGAGTTGAGATTCTCCTATTCTCTCTTTGATATGGTTATGCTCCGCCTGCCAGAAAGTACATATCGTCTCAAAATTAGTAACCAACAATCGACTCTCGCTTGATTCGAGTGATGCTTACAGTTGAATGACGTGCCGCACACCGCCTCGTATCAAAACATATCAACTCCAGAACTTGAGGAGACATACAAAAAATCAATCCTCTCAGACAGGAGTTGGGAAAATCACTGTTTAATAGATGTAAGGATTAAGAATTTGCGCACCCTTAGCTTGGCAAGACATTCCGGATGTTTCGCTAGCAGAATCAGTACCCACATCATCGAATACGCGGAGGATTCATAGCCCGCTAGCATGAGCGAGATCAGGTTATCCGTGAGCTGTTCATCAGTGAGAGGCTCTCCATCAGCACTACGTGCATCCATCAAAGATTGAAGAAAGTCATTGTGGTGGACATTGGCTGCTCGGCGAGTGTCTATGATTTCTTGGAATCTTCCCTTAAGTCTTCGTCGGCTCTGCAGTCGCGCAGTACACAGTAGACAGTACGCAGTCATTCTTCACATTGTACAATCAATCAGCAATCATGCTTGACACAGTACTTTATCTGGACATTCCTGCCTGGTCAGACGGTTTAGTTTAACTGTCAGTATCTGCCTACAACTGCATCTTAGCAATCCATAGACCGCTAATCTCTCAAATGGTTGAGTTTCGATACAACGGAGGACTATTATGTCTCGTGCGAACGCACACTCTGCTGATTGTCAGGATAATTTTCAGATTAGAGAACGAATTTTCGATACATTGAGAGTTCGAATTGCACTGAACTTGGACCGGACGTCACAGCGACTCAAAATCGTGACTGTGGAAGACAGTGTCCCGTAGAAATGCTTACATTGGCAGCCCTGTAATGAGCTGTTCCCGGAAGGTAGACAGGAATTGCCCGGATCCCGTCCATGTACATGCCGTAGTCTCGCTGGATTGCATCGACTTCAGGAGAAGGCTTCATGCTCAGGAAATTATCCACGATGTTGTAGAACGTGAGCTGCAGAATATCGAGTCGTGACCAGAGTCAAGTCAGTCCCTCAATTATCAACATCATCATATACATGGAAGGCGTGGACATGCCAGGTCTGACTGTCTATAATCCTGGAGCAACTGGAGCAGCTCAAAGTACATACGTTCCGAGTGCATTCCCTGATGTTGATGCTCCCTTGATCTGCCCACTGCTTCAAGTTCGACCTCATCGACGCGTCCAGGTGAGGGATGGCTAGCCTCATCCCTTGAGGACTAGAGATGGCGTCGAACAAGTAGCGGCGCAAGCTCTTGTGCAACTCGCCCGTGACTGATACAACGGAATGCTTCCCCATGATCGCGGACATTGATGGCCATCCAGGCCCGAAGACATCATCTCGTTTCAACAGAAATCTCAGCGTCTCGGTCTTAGTCGCCATAATGGACGGAACTCCAAACATACTTGTGGTGTACAGACCAGCCTTGCCATATCTGCGCAAGAATTTCCACGTCCAAAGTCAAGAGCTGAACCAGCACATTCAGTACATTCAGTACATTCAGTTCAGTTGAGGCTGACATCAACATTCGGCATCATGCTTCAGACCACGAGAATATACCTGTCTTCTCGCGCCTGCACGAACAGGTCCGGCTTTTGATTCTTGAAGCACTTGAGAAAATCTCTCATCTCGCCAAAGAAGGGCCATCCTAACGAGCCCGGCGGCAGCTTGCTTCCCGTGGCATTCAGCTTCAGGGGCCTCACGTAAAGCCAGTAACTGAGAAAATCTCGCGTACACAGCAACAGCACCGTAGCTGCACCCAAAACTGCACTGACCGCGATTGCTATGGAATAGCTGGCCATCTCTCCTCGGTCCCGAGTTCAGCGACACTGCTGGCTCTGACTAAGCACTGACGAGATTCGAAGCATGCAAGCTGGTCCTTGAATTAGAGAGCTGAGAGTCCTCCAATTTACATCGGCTTAGACACCTTGAAGCTCTCGTCAGTCATCGTATCATCTCGGGGCAAGTGCAGTTTCGTTCCGATAGATGTCAAATCGAAAACGTGCGAGCGCTGTCAATCAAATCCCGCCCTCTTCTCCTCCTCCTACTTCAATTTCTCCCTGTCTCTCTCAGCTGGCTGAACTGATGAACCGATTGCACGTACACGGCTTCAAGTAATGTTGGCAGTCAGCCATGAGCAGCTTCAGCAGGCAGGTCCATCTGATCTCACAACCAGTCTAAGAGCACACTGCCATATTCTTATTAAGAGAGCCACATGGGCGATGGGTCGCACATGCAGCGAAAATGTAACGATTCATGGGCAGAAAAGGAGCTCAGATTCACATCCGGGACGAATCGAAACCACGAGCAAAAGCGAATGCTTCGTGCGCAAAAGCGTCTCGCAGAAAGGGCGAGGCATGTGGAGCTTGACTCCGGGGCCCTTGCTTTGCATGCAAACGGGGAGAGCTCGGGATGAATTTACAGGCGGCCAAGTGACCGGTCAGCGGCCATCGATGGCATGGGCGGGGTGTGGGGCCTGTCAGGCCTCCCCCAGCGGCGGGAGAAGCTCGAGCCGCCGCGACGGTGCCCAGCCGCCTCGAGACGCTTTCAGACTTTGCTGCGACTCAGATGGCTGTCGCACGGTCAGGCACACCGATGGCCCAGATCATAAATCCATTCTGAAATATCTCTCTCTCTCGTCTGATCGAGCAGCCGGCAGTGCCACCACTTGGCACTGCCTCGAGAATATGCTTCTCCGCATCCTCCCGACTTCTCGGAATCTCCCATTCTTGACAGACTCTGAACTTCTGAGCCACTGACTGCTTCGTCGCATCGATCTGTCTTTTGTCCCGCTCTCCTCTCGTCTTACTCATTCCCAATCCCATGGACATGTGATCTATCGGGGCCTTGCCCCATCCCCATCTCCCCACCCCTTTGTACGACTCGATATTTTGCACTCCTGAATATTTTGCAATATCTCTCACAACACTTTCTTAATCCGAGGATCCGATCGCTGTTCTCGCCTCGAATACCAAGGCGTCAAACTTTGTAGACACGGCAAATAGTCTGAGCGCAATTCTCGATCCGTTTGGCAGTTTGCATCTGTTCCACGTGAAATTATCATCACCCTCCGATCCCTTCAAATTCTCGCTGCTGTAACTTCAGAGTCCCTTCGCGCTAGTAGACTCCCACGTACGAACCTCTTGTTTTAATTTGCCTCCAGTGATTCTAGTCATTCTATGACGTTAATGATGGCGATCCGCTCCAACTTGTTGGCGACTTTCCCTTTATGAAGCACTTCAAGGCGGCCCATGAGAGTACCGTCACCTCAGCATCAACACAAACGGCATTCAACGAGATGGAATTATTTATTAGCCTCTGCCTGTGGTGATGCTTGCTCTCGATAGTGTACTGTAATTCTTTCATCATATAGAATAAGGATCTGCATGATCAACTTGTCATCGCCTTGAGTAGTACGTGAGCGAGAGTAGAGAGGACAGTATGGTGAGAGCATTCCTAAGACCATATGTAGATATTAACACATCGTGCATGATGGTACAAGCTCCTCTTTCGTTTCAGATGTTGGTGTATAAAATTCAAAATTATTATACAATGTTTTTTTAGTGGCTAGTTATCCCCAATTTAGTCTAATGTTTCTCAGTTTAAGCATTACTTTTCCCCCTTTACTACTCCGTGAATACTATATCACAAAGCTCTGTGGGGTATAGTATAGTATCCTGAGCGATAATTAGCCCAAACGGAAGGATAATTAGCACCTCCCTAAATATGTGTCTTGAAAAATTTGGCTACTTGTAAGGTTTGAGATTTATAAAATTATTTTACTTATAATTTTGATGGAATTCTCTCAAACATAACAATTGGTTTTATAAATTTATAATCTTTTCCAGGCCTCCGATCTATTGAAACCTTATTGAAAATTAGTGAATGTCAAGACTGAAAATCAAGAGTGTTTTAAAGTTTTAGCATATACTCAAATGTGATATGAAGGGATTGTGCTTTTTCAGTTAGTTTTTTGCTTTAAGATTTAGTTCCAATTTTCCTCATGGTATCAACAAAAGCCGTGAGTATGTATCTCTTGTATGATTATCAATCTTGTACCTCCTAAAATAACTCGCACGTGAGCAAATTAAACAAGTTTCATGATTGGAACACTTGATTTGCTCATGTGACTAATCCTCCAAGCATTTGTCAAATTTCAGATCAAACAACCCAACCAGGTTGTGATTGCGGAGGTGAGAAAAGGCGTGTCGGTGAATCTTTCTTCTATTTAAGTCTCGTACGCAACCCACTCCACTTCTGTATCGAGCTAGCGGATGGGTGAAGCGTTGCCGGTAGTTAGGCAAAGCTCGAAGCGCCATCAGTCGAGAAAGGAGTCTTGCACATTCGAGAGTGCGAAGCTAGTCAGACATGATGGATGTGAATGGCGGATTTGCAACAATTATTTTAGATTTGTGTTGTAGAATCAAAGAATTGCTTGCGCAACTCCTAGATCCTGAAAGTTTCTTGATTTAAAGAGGAGTTTGAAGCCAGCAGGAAAAGGGAGATCGCATTATGGTGCAATCGCTTTTCTCAACGCAAACACATCCTTTGCAATTGCAAGTGAGACGTCGAGAACGGAACATAGTGATTGGTAGGAAGGAGGCCGGAAGAAGAGCCTTGCAACGGAACGTGGACCATTAGACTGACGGCAAGAAGAACAATGTCAAGTGTGGAGAGAAGTGATAGATTCCCAAACAATATTGATGATGGTCGAGAATCTTGAGTTCAAATCTATACGGCACTCGAGAAAACTTAAAGAAATGACATAGATTCAAACTTTATGATAGTAAAACTTGATTTCGCCTATGAAATCGTTGAGTTGAATTGAATTTTGATGTGGGCCAAGTCGACAGAGACGAACAAGAGAGTGAAATTCGTTTGGTACTCTTGATTTTTGAACTTGACTTATTTTGCAACCATCTTGCATTCAAATAATGTGTGTACTTCATCCAAAGAATGATTTTAGTTGTTGATATCTAGGAATTCATGTTTTACAAACTCTAGCTCGCCTTCAATCAATTGTCAAAAAATATTTTACTCTTCATTTTCTTAAAGAATCAACTAACTTAATTTTTTTATTTGTTTTTGTTCCCAATGTTTACTGTTTTCACTGTTTGTTCCCAATGTGTACTTAACTTTGTGATGCTCCATAACTTTTCAAATGCATGAATTCTTCCTTGATTGATTTATGTTTTGTCTTTTGTAGCTTCATCCACTAATGATTCCTATAGAAGCAAATTTTCTCCAGTAATCTATTGTCTAGCTTTTAACTTTCAATTGAGTTATTGAGTTTTCACACTCTTTTCATACTTCACAATAGAATGGCATTTTATTGTGGAGTTCTTCACTTTGCATTGAAGTTATTGTGTTTTCACACTCAATCATAGCTTGCCTACTTGGTCACTACGAATTAACAAATAACAAACCATTATCTCGTTATCTAGCCCAAAGTGAGTTGATATGACATTAAACATGACACAAAGTAGATCATATTCACAATATGACAAGGATGTAGAGCATTTTTATATCCAAAAAAAGATCCAAATCTATAGCTAAATCCTAAAAAAGCAAAACAAATACCTATTGAATATTTGTCAAAAAAAATTAAGTGCAGTTACATTGTTGTGTAAGTACTATGTGAAAACCAAAGTTGATTATCTTCATATAATCAATAAGGCTTTAAAGTTTACTTTTGATGATGATGATATGCTAATCATATACTATGATGCCAAAATCTTGCACTATGCAAAAAATATTGATGATGTATGAATTTTGAACATTAATTTTTATAAATCACATTTATTTTATTAGAAATTTTGTTAAGAAGTTTTCAATATTATATGATTTTCATATGAAAATTGATCAATCTTGTAAAGTTAAATTTTTTTTCATAAAAATCAAAATGCTTAATGACATTAAACGTATTTTGATTCAAGCCAAATTGATGCATAATATCTAAAAAAACTGAGTTTTCCTCTGTATAATAAAATTAAAAAATCTGAAATGAAAATCTAAAATATGACGGAGAAAATTGCCTTAAAAATTATTTTGAATCTAGATTTTTTAATAAGTTGAGATGACAATGAAAAATGTCGGAAAATATGGGTCGTCGATATTCATGCTTTGAAAAAGTAATGTTACATGCTTTGGAATCGAGTAGCATATGAAATTTTTGTTTGTATGAATGATTCTTTCAAGTAGATCTTGCTCATTGAAAGAGTGGGAGAGTTTCTAGACTCTTTGTACTGACAAGAGAAAATCTTCGCTCACGGATATGGTTGTGGGTGAGTTTGATCCTTATGTGATTGATAATCAAGAAGTAGCACCGGTAGTGATGGACATTGGGAGAATTTTGATCATTATGTGATTAATCATCAAGCAGTAGCACCGGTAGTGGTTGAAATTGGGAGAAATTTGATCATTATGTGATTAATCATCAAGCAGTAGCATCGGTAATGGTGACAATTGAGAGAATTTTGATCATTATGTGATTAATGATCAAGCAGTAGCACCGGTAATGGTGGAAATTGGAAGAATTTTGATCATTATATGATTAATCATCAAGCAGTAGCACCGATAGTGCTGGAAATTAGGAGAATTTTGATCATTATGTGATTAATAATCAAGAAATAACACCACTAGTGGTGAAAATTGTGAGAATTTTGATCATTATGTGATAAATGATCAAGCAGTAGCACGGATAGTGGTGAAAATTTTAACCATGAGATTTATTCAATCAACATTGATAAAAACTTTGGTGATTAAGCTAGTTAAGATTAACAGTAAACTCAATCCAACTTATCTCTTGATCAAAGTTAATACTTTGAATAGATTGAGACTACAATGCACGAATTGCATAGGAGCACATAGAGATTTTTAGTTAACTCTATATGGTATTAGTCTATACTGTTATGGCTACGACTTAGTTCTAGTTAACTCTTATTAAAATAATAATTTTGTGTTAGATTATAGTCTAAAATGTTCCGCAAAATAATAATGTAGATTAGAGAGGTTATTGAGATTACTTAACATGAGTGAAGAGGTAGATTGTTGAATTAACTTTGTATGTTATTACTCTATCTGGTTATAGAAATAATAATATAGGTTAGAAGGTTTATTGAAATTCCTATAACACAAATTAAGGGAAAAAGTGTTGAGTTATCTCTGTATGTTATTATTCTATCTGTTATGGTATTAATAATATAGATTAGTAAAATTATTGAGATTATTTAACACAAGTCAAGGGAAGATATGGTTTTTATTTATCTTTGTATATTATTAATCTATCATGTTATGACTACGATTTAATTTTAAGTAACTCTTGTTTAAAGAAGAGCTTTGTGTTAAGTTTCTGTCTAAAACTTTTCGTAGAATAATAATATAGATTAGATAGTATTCTGAGATTCTTTAACACGAGTTAAGTGGAAGATTGTTGAAATTAACTTTAGTTAAGGAATTTCTTCATGTCTAACTATTTATAGTTAAGATTGATCTTTGTTGTTGTGTACATATACCCAAGGTCTGCGTATTATTAGATAGAACTCACAGTTATACTATCATGATGATCTTCCCATGGACGCAACCCTTGAGTATGAATCACGTTATACGTTGTTGTTTTTCGTGTTGATGACTTGATTGTTAACTTGAATGTTATTGATGGCTCTCACGTTTTACGCTTACACTTCATTAATTTATCTTTTTTAAATGAGATGAATGAAATTTGTATTATGCATATTCATATCATAATATAAATAGCTTTTCAGTTCAAATTTCATATCAAGTTATTCAATTTTGAGGTGTACATATTATTTTTGTCAACTAAAGTTATTGTATGTTTGAAAATTAAAAGTTTTGATGATAGTGTATGCAAATTAATAAATGTCAAAACATGCTTATGCAAGGATGAATTTGATAGAATTTGCAATGTTATATGCATAGGATCATCCGGTTGTACTTGATAGTTTGTTTCAAGTTGTGGCCTACAAAATCTCATTTGAATCTGAAAAATTACAAATTTTTTGGATATTTCAAGAATCTTATTCAAACACTACTTGTGAAGAAGCGCATGTCTACTAAAAATGAATCCACCAAAATGTAGACTAACATTTAGAATTTTGCATGATTATCGAAGTTCTTCCGTTGCTCTTGTCCGCTAGTAAAAATACAGAGTAAAATAACCATGTTGCCTGTCGAAATTTCCTTCAGATTTAAGAAATTTAAATAAAGTCAAGAAATTCTCAACCTTGCTGAACACAAGTGAACATTCACTGTAACAATTACGTATTTAAGATACATGCCAAAAAAATGCATTTCGCAAGAATGTCTGATAATTTCCATGCAAGAAAAGATGCTAATTCGGGCATGTACAGTTCACAACACAAGAAACCTCGATGTGCGTGCTTCTCGGGACGGGGCGATCGAACTATCTTCTTTGGCATTTTCCCAACCGAATAATGAGCAATCGTTCCGACACCGAGATTTGCTCATTTAGTCAGCAATGATGGAATCCTACACTAGATTCACGAGGTTCTGTTATACTAAATGACAAGCACAGTAGCGTCCACAGAGTGTGTCCTGGTGATTAGAATTACACGCAATAGCTTCCATGCAAACATTCGCTGTCCTTTCATGAGAATGCGAGAGACCTACGCTACGAGAATCAACGAGAAAGCTTGGGCCTTGAGCCGACAGAGCGGCCACACTCCTCCAGTACATGAAACTCGGAATAGTAATGGAGTGCCGAGTGATAGGAAGACCCCATCATCATCGGGTCATGTACAGTCTCTTTCCCATGCCTGAAGGCTGCGCTTCCCTTTGATTCCTTTGTCTCGGCTTTGTTTTCTTCGTGATCGTTACCGAAAGTTGGTAATTATTAAAATGTTGTGAAGCTGCAGAACGAACCAATCTTTTCTTTGGATTCATGTGGTTGTGATCGAACTCCATGTGTACAGAATTTCAGCCCCTCCACTGATGCCATCCCACTGCCACTGCATATGAGCTGGGTAGAGAGCGAGAAGCACCTCAAGATAGTCCAGGAACCTTCAATGCCAGGATTTATCTCAGTTGGGTAATAGTTGATTATTTTGCGTGAAACAAGTATATAGATCAACTACTAAACCAAAGAAAAATATACATCTTCACCTACTGCGTTTTATTGAATCCTTGTCTTTCTACAAAAAACTCTGGTTACATCAAATATTTTTATTTATTAATAAAATTTTTCAACTTTTACCAAATAAACGTTGTCATCTAATAATAATATATGCATAGCAGTTATTAGGATCAAGCGTTGATTTTCTATGTTGAATTAAATTTACTTCATAATCAATTGTCTAAGATTCCCTAAGAGAATCAAAGATTTAGCTTGAGTCCGTAAGAGAATCGAAGTCTTTGGATTCTGGTTGCTGCTATGGTGATCAAGGATCTTGTTATTGATCACGTTAGTAGTACATCTAGTGGGACTATAACTGATGGATTATAATCTGCAAAGAATGAAGTTTGCAAGAGGGGCACATCGTTGTTTCATTGACCTTGGATATGGGTAGCCATGAAGGCGGTGACAAGGATAGTTGTATTCTAGAGTGATCTTGTTAAGATCTTGGAAGTCAACATGATGCCCAGATCTCATTCTCGTTCTATAAACATTCACTTTTTGCACAAGCTAATAGGTGCCTGGTCTTCTAATTAATAGTAGTCCGAATCAGCTCAAAATGCACTTTCAATCTTCTCATGATCATCTCAGCCTTCACAAAGAAGTCAAGACCACACAATCCTGCACAGCCACAGCTACTGTAACACTGGAGAACATCATTCGCCCAAAACGAAGCGCAAAACTTGGGTGTGCTCAGGAAAAGCATGACGTTTCCAGCCGCTCAGCACACACGTGACGATAATATATAAAGCGCTTCCGCAGATCGTGTCAAGGGCCCACCAGCACTGACTCTCGAACTCCAGTTCAGGACACCGACATCGTGCATCAAAAACCTTGGATTTCCCCGTTGACGCATGCAATTGCTAACGGCCGAACTTCACAAAAGCGGACGGCATCTTTTTAGTCCTTTCACGGGAATTTCAATTTCAGACCTGATGGTTGTGTGTACTGTACTTGCATGGTTACGTAGTAACTCCTTTTGAGATTACACTGACTCTATGTCTAGAGGAGAGTGACTTGTACCAAGTTCAAATAGCAGCGGCTCTGTTTTTCACTGGGTTTTGTCCAGAACTTAGAACTTGACATATCGGTTGTAAGGTGAATGTTTGCCTCCAACAAGGGCTAAACAGCTAACGTCATGACTTCTTTCCCGGAGTCTCCGACTTTTGCATCTTCGAAAACCGTGGTGTCCATGGACTTAGACCGAAGATCCTATTACCTAAGTTAAAAGCACAGTTAAAGTTGTAAATTCATTACTTGAAAACTATTATTGCTTTGATCTAGATATTCAGATTCGCATATTTCTACACAATTGATCTGAAATAAGCAGAAAGTGAGCATCTAACTGAAAGTTACAGTGACCAATTTGAACCACTCTTCCAACCCAAAAGAACATGCAGTACTAACTGGGAACGAGAGGAACAGATTTCTTAATGCCGATCTCTGAAATAATTGAGCTTCTTGTCCGCGTTCAAGATCTGTCAGATCTGTCAGATGATCACTGAAGCTCGAGATCTTCGTCACCATCTTTCCCTTTGCTGAAAGACACAAATAATTATCGACGAAAACACGAGTAGCACCTAGCGATCAACGCAAATAATACGTCAGGAACTCAGGGGAAATCAGAGCCGACAATACTCAATCCTCCATTTTCCTGAACTTCTCTATAGTAGCTGCAGGAACAACACCCACAATCCCAGTGTTGCATATCCTATTCCTCCTCTCTCAGGTGCGGGGCTTGTCGCCACCAACCTGCAAACTTTCTTTCCCCGGCTATTATTTCCACCTCTAAGACTCACTATCTCCTCTTCGGTCAAAAACCAGACAACGTGTCGAGTTCTCAAGTGATGGATGTCATTCGGCCCGTTCCCACATAGTGACTACGTGCACTCAAGCCCAGCATTCCTGAAAATCTCAATAAAGAATCAACCAGTAACTTACTCACGTGCTTTGCTCACTCTCCTATATTCAGGTTGTTGTTTGATCACTTACTCACTTCGACTTTGCGATTCGAGTCGAATGGAGCTGTCAAGTGGGACGAGAACAAGTTTTCCATTTTGTTCTGTGTAAGACTAAATTTTTGTGTGATGAACATACACATATCCCATCGTTGACACATTCCTGGTATTTAAGATTTGCCAGTTCACAGCGGATAAGTGCTAGTGAAGGCAGCGGACTCAGTTGTCTAGCTACAGAAAAATGAGGACATTTCAGAAATAATCATGCGACAAGCTGCCAATGGCGTCGATGAAGTCCTCGTTGAGATCCTCAAATTTATTGAAGTCGGTACACTGCTGTATATATCTATCTCCGCGAGTAAAGGTCTTACTGTATCCTCGTCTCCTCCTCCTTCATCGGCTATAGTACAGTTAGTGCTTAACATGTTCCGAAATTTCACTCCTCTAGAGAGCTTTTTCCCTTGCCAACCTCACGAGTTTCGTAGCAGGAAAGCCTCAACCCCTATATTTTATAAGTAGATACACCCAAGGTGCAGTTGAACTTCCTGATATCTACACCAAACAAATTTTTTTCAGTCACTCTACTTGTACTACGCCTGCAATACCCATAACCAGAGGCACCATCCAAGAAGATACCCTGGCCATACCTCTTCCCAAATTTCTCAGGACCCTCCTCAAATAGTTTGAAACCAAAGACCTAGATTGTCACTTTGTCACCTCCGTCTTCACCACCTCAAGCAGAGCCTTTGCTCACACATCAAGCTCATTACATTATCCATTCCGTCTAGCTTTAAGCAGAATAACTTAACAGATAATCCAAATCTTCGACACTGAGGTCAGAATGGCTATTTATGACGTTCCTGCTGCCATCTAAGCATCGAAAGCTAGCGATAACCTCCTAAGGTTGCCTTCAAGAGGTCATTGGAACAACGCAAACATCACCCTCATCAACAAGACTTTCACAATAACCACCGACAAATCTATTAACTGAAGCTCATTACATCAGCAGAGGTAAATTCTTTTATGCCTGGGAAAATTTCTCGGACACTCTTTCATATTCTGACCAACTTTGAATCTGGCCACTACAATTACAAAAGAAACAAGGTTTCCAAATTCGACTGGTCAATTCAAGCTCTCAAAACGTTTCACGGTGCTACAGATTCTTAGAACTTTCCTATCCTGACTAAAAATAATATCTCAAACGAAGGCAGTACGATGAGCAAAAAACCTCTGTCGAAGATTAAGCGGCAACTCGAGGTTCTTCAGACCTGGCAGATGTCACAGATGGACGGCTAATTTGGAAACCTAGAATCTTGTTCAAAGCACTAACATACGCTCTTACGCTTGAAACAACAACATCCTCTCCTGCACCAGAACCACTGCAGACAAAAGGACAAAGAATTGTGAGCTGAGTGACGAACGACAAATGAAAAGTCATAAGGTCAATCGTCATGCCTAATCCACTCAGACGTTCACGTTACACTCAACCACCGACTTACAAAGGCCACTTGAAGTCTGACGATTCTTTCAGAGAAGTTATGCTAGTCAAAAGGTAAAAGATCATACCTGAAAGATCGTTGTACCGACTGTCCTGACTGGGGATGCTTAACTGAGTAGGAATTTTCGGCCCTCAGCACAACTCTTGTATGTGCAATTGCATCAATACCTTCTGTGACAGAGTTCATGGAATACTCCAAAAGAGTGACTGGTTCCTACAAATCCAAAAAGGTGTTTCATACATAAAATCAGCCTTAAATTCTGGTTTTGTCAGCTCAAAATGAGGCAGACTTGAGAAAAGTTGTGTATACGATGCATGTACTTGGATGCTGCGAAGCTCAGTGTACTGGAAACAGCTTATTATTCAGAACAAAAGGTCTTCCCGTATCATATTACTAAATGTGCTAATGAATGGGGCTTCTTATGGCATACTAGGACATAAACCGCGGTTGCGAAAGCATCACGGACCCTGATACCAGGACAATCAGACAAACTTCAAGTGAAGGGAAATGAAGCAGACCTTCACTATCTGATCGACAGCTTTGTAGGCTGCATCCACAGGACCTGTACCAATGCACGACCCAATCATCTGGGCACCATCAGGTCCCACTAGCTTTACAGTGGCCGTTGAAAGTCCCATTGTACCACAAACAACCTGAAATGAGAAAATACCTGATTAGGATCGTCATACACATAATTTCTCTCATACACATTAGTCATTAGGCGACAGGCATGAAAGTCAGACACAGTACCTGCAAATCAAGTAACGACCAGATCGTAGCAGGTTGATGGACCTCATCAGAAAGAAGAGCTTCTAAATCTTCATCGGCCACAGTCTGCAAGACAGTTCAATCCATGAAAACTCGAAATTTTCCCATCCCCGAAAATCACCACATTCGCATTCATATTCAGAACCTACAAACCGTTTAAATGGAAGATAAGAGAGAGCACATCCTAATCCCTCCTGCACTGAGAAACCTGGACAGAGCGCAGTCTCATCCAGAACTATCACAGTATAGACAGATACAACCAGCATACATAAATACTCTTTTATATGCATCCTTGAGTACTTTCCGAATGTCACAGATATGCAGCTCTTCAAGTTCAAACACCAGGGTTTACCAGCTACAAAAACAACGTGAGATTCGCAAGGGAAGGAGGAATATGAACTCGTAATGTTATGCCTTCACAAGCCACAAAGGTCGAGCTTACAAACCTTCTTCTTCTCTGCGACGGCTTTGAAGCGCTTGAAGACATCATCCAGCTTTTTACCTTCAAGCTCATATCCCAGCTGAGAAAACAGACTGAAAGTTAGACATATGTCGATAACTTCAAACAATCACGTACATTGACATACATCTATATATAGTTGCGAAAAAGCCTTGAACATCAAAGAATAGACTGAGTCTTCATATGAATCAGGTCATCCACAAAATTCGTAGGCTAAAGCACCATCACAAGACTTATTTACCTGCTGTAAACGCGTCTTCAATGCATGCCTTCCACTATTCCACGCAAAATATGACAACAAACGACACAATATACAGTACAGTCAGCACGTAGAAACAATGAGGTGAACTTGTAAATCAAGGATAATACATTTTGGCGAGTATTCCAGCACACTTGATGTATGTTACCTCAACTTGCCAAGCACTAAACCAGCGTCGTCTGACCGGACGAGTCCAATTTCATCCGGAGACATGATTTCGTAGGTGCCTTTGAACTTGAGCATACCATCCTGCATGTGATTATTGAATTAGATTTCAGATCCAAAACAGTCGACTTAGGAAACTCTCACAGATACTGAGGGTCATGTTTTAGTATTGAGGAACAATGACACCCTTCGAAATTTTACCTGATGGATACCACTTTCATGAGCAAAAGCATTCGCTCCCACAATCGCCTTATGGGGTTGAACAACCATTCCTGTAAGATCGGAAACCTGCAAAGACAAGTAGTTAAATGTCAACGCCAAGGGGTACAATAGACATTACATCGATTGAGAATTGCAAGTAAACAAACAGCTCTGGAAAGAAGTTACTAGTCAGGTTGGGTATCGTACCATTCGACTCGCCACTGAGATATGCTTTGTGACGATCCCGGTGTGAAGGCCTCCGAGAAGCTGATCTCCTCGGCACTTGATTGCCATAACGACCTGTTATTAGCGGAGAATAAAAAGTTAGGCTAGCAGGTTATTAAGGTATTTACCTGGAATGCAAGTAGGTCATCACGAATACTTCGAACATTACAATGGCTTACAACCGTCAAAGGCTTACAACCACAACGTCAACAGGGCATAAGCTCATGACGTTGTAAAATAGATACCTCTTCAAGCGAAGCATTACCAGCACGCTCACCGATTCCATTAATGGTAACCTCCACTTGTCTAGCACCATTGTATGCACCCTGGAGAAGACATAAGAACACTTCAATAATGGCTTCAAGAAGTTCCTGGAAAGAGTCCTATATTCATTCACATACCTATAAATGTGATCGATAGAATGTTGTTGAAGAGAATAACACCGTTCTTTCTTGAGACAGGTCAAAGGTAGTGGAGTATATGAAACGTGCAACAAAACTAGATACAAAATAATACCAAGAAATATCGAACGTATACAATCGAGACAGAACAGCGAGCACTGTGTTGTATCGTCGCAAACCAAAGTGCAGATAATAACACGGACTTGAAACCTTCAACAAACAGGATGATACAGTGCAGCAGACAAACGCGATGACTCCGTGGGCCGTACATTGCCATATTATGAGTAGAGGACATAATGCTTGCGACCACACATGCAAATGGTCCAGAAGTAGCTTACTGAGAGTGTGTTGGCTGTGGCCAGACCCAAATCATTTTGGCAATGCGTGGAGATTATCACATTCTCAGCTCCAGGAGTGTTGGCTTTGATTTTAGCAATCAGTCCCCCGAATTCGACGGGTAATGTATAGCCAACAGTGTCTGGAATATTAAGAGTGGTGGCTCCAGCTTTAATTACTTCGGACAAAATTCGGTAGAGAAACTCTGGATCAGACCTGAGAACCGGCCAACTCGGTCGTGTTAGCTCCAGCATGCAAATTAGCTCTTATGTGTGAAAGGGCGTGTACTTTCAGAGCGAACGGACCCGTGACAGACAGTGGTGGTGGCAGCTGAACCAAGTCATACCTCCCAGCATCTTCCGGACTGAACTCCACGTCGTCGCAGCCCAAGCTCCGAGCATACGCTACCATCTCCGACGCAATTTGGATTACCTCTTCTGGGGTCTTGCGGAGCTTGTGCTGCATGTGAATTTCACTGGTGGCGATAAAGGTATGAATCCTGGGTCGCAGAGCGTGCTTCACTCCTTCCCAAGCTGCGTCAATGTCTGCCTTGTTGCACCGGGATAAACCACAAATAACAGGAACATATCCATCGTCATCCACATGATTCCCTACTTCCTTGGCGATCATTTTGACAGCTTCCAGATCGTCCGGTGACGACCTGGGATAACCAGCTTCGATGATGTCCACCCCCAATTTGGCGAGCTGACGTGCAATGTCCAGCTTCTCTTTACTGGTCAGACTGGCTCCGGGAGACTGTTCGCCGTCTCTCAAAGTGGTGTCGAAAATTCGAACATAATTGGGGTCATCGATCTTATTGGGGATGTACTTGGGCCGCTTCCTCTCGCCCGAGGAGGCACGAACGAGAACACCTCCCTGCACCGATTTCCTCCTGCTCCAGGCGCTCTGATCCGTCCTAAAAATGGACGCGAATTCCTTCCCTCTCAAGGCGAACGACGCCCTAGAGAGAGATGAACTCGAACAAACGCGAGACGGGGCGAAGGCGAAAGGCGCCACCCCGCCCACTCTCACATCCTCGACACCCTTCGGAAATTGAGACACGACGGTGGCCACATTCACGCCCGCCATCCTCACCACCACCACCACCACCACGTCGCGCGAGGTGAGCGCAGAGCGCTTGAGTCGTCGAAATGCCGAAACCACCTGGCGGATGCAACAACAACGACAAGGCAGAGCCTGCGGCCTGAGAAAGACGAGCCTCCCGATGCGGGCACTGAGATTGAAACAAGGACGAGCGCGCTCGCTCGAATGCCCTCGTCTTGAGGCCGGATTGCACAAAAGCAAGTCGAGCAAGAGCGGCGGGCCTTGGCTCGTGCTCCGGCGTCCCACTTTGCTGACGCCAGTGGCAGTCGCAGAGCGATTCGCTATCCGAGACCTGCCTTCCGCTGTACGAGACCGCAGCCCGCTTGCCGTATGCTATGCTGTGTCCCGCGGTCGGTCCCACCGGCAGCCACCGGCAGAACCGGGCCTCCAGCTAGACATGGTCACGTACCCGGCTAGCCGATTATCCGGCCAATTAACCGAGTAGCCCACGGCTATCGGCCGTAGACGCATTTCGGCTGAAATATTCGGTCGAAATAAGGATTTGTGGGTATAATTTCGGATGAATTGGCCGAAATAATCGGCCGAAAAACCCAGAGTCGGTCCGAGTTTTCGGATCGTTTTCGGTCTCGGATAGCGTTCCGGCTAGCCGTCAGCCGAGACTTGAGCATGACTACCACCAGCATTCATCGACCGGTGAGCGGACCCGAGATGCACCGGATGCGGTCCTCCCTCTGGTTCTAGACGTCCGTCCGCCGGATAAGGGGCGGGCACTTCTCACGGACGTGACGTTGCTTCGATTGCACGAAACTCTCGTTCTGATTTCTGAGTTCTGCAAAGCTGCAGAATTTCTGTTTATGTCTGCCTCCATCGCCTCCACTTTCCTGAGCCGATCAGAAAGTAAAAGGTCCCGCTGATATTGGAACTTGGCATTTTTTTTAAATGGTTCGCTTTTCCATGTGGATTGGTGGTGGCACGCATGTGGAAACTACAATGCACGAGTGTCCATGGACCTTCTTCCGGTTGACTGCGACGACTTCTATCGCATCGTACATGTGAGCCAAAACATGCCGGATCGGATCTCTTGTATGTCAATGCTTCGTACTGGCATGGGATGACTTATGCTGTAAGGAAAAGTGAAATAAATGCCGGATAAGTCCGGCACCAGATCAAACTAAAACCACTGCAATAATTTCCACTAATTGCGTGTTGGGATGGAAGCACTGTGGAATGATGGATGAGAGAAAAGTTTGATGTTTTAGGTCGTGGATGACCAGTTTTGCAGCATCAGGTTTTAAACATCGAATTAGTGTTGGTAAGTATCTATGAGCAGCTTGTATCTTCTACTTATACATTCTTTAATTTATCGTAATGGCAGAACTAAGATTATCAAAACTGATTATTTAGACCATCAACTATGATGTTTTGAGTTTGAAGTCTGGATATTTTATTAAAACTTTGCAAAACATGTTTATCTTGTTGCATGATAAACATATAGTATGCTGCTTTTTTCCTTGGGGTTATACCATGAGTTAAGTTACTTTTCTTATTGTCTTGGAATCAATATATGTTTGATTTACGGATAATTTGTATTAAAATTTTCATGTTTATTTTTTATATCTTGAGCTAAGATTGAGAATACTATGCCAAATTCTATTGCAGTGGTCAGTATTGATCACAATAACACATGTGTATGGGCACTATATTCGTATACGTATGTGACACTCAGCTGTGTTTGTGTAGTGTAGATGAAGTCTTCTGTGTGAGAAATCAGTAGTAATGTTTCATGAAGTACACATGGATGTATTGAAAAAACGCTCTTCTTCTTTTGTTAGTAGATCTTGGCCCATCTTTATTGTTTTCTGCTGTTCAGCGTGAAGGTAATCTCCTTCCATGTAATTTCTGTTCATGGGCAGAAATTACTCATCAAATATTACCTGGATCGCGGCTATAATCTTTTCGGACTTCCACATAAAAACTTGATCGTTTTTTTGTCAGTGTTAATGACTTCATCTTACAACATATAAGTTAACGTTATAATATTTAGATTGTAGGCACTTAAAATATTTTCGTGATTTATTCTTACTTTTTGTATCCCACTATAAATGTATTACTTTATCCAGGAAGGCTATAGTCCGAAGCAAGAACTATTGTAGAAGCATTCATAGTGATCAAGTTCTAAATCACACAAAAAATGTGCTCATGGAAGGACAACGAACAAGCTTCTTATGTAGGAAATGCTGAAGTTTAGAAGCTGACATAAACTGTACTTGTTACATAAGGTTCAAATTCCTAGCCTCGCATACTGAAGTCACTGTCTAGGTCTTGATATTACTAAAATCAACCTTCCTTTACAGGAGACTGCTCATCACACTGTTCCACAAATGTCAGATCTCTTTCAACATAGGGCAATCTTTGCTTGCTACTCAATGTGACCGTACCGTGCTAATATTACATCTCCGTGTCTTCTGACTGCTCGCCGCTACTTACTTCTTTCCTAGAAAAATAATGCAGATCAACACAGAATTTTGAGCGATGCACAGTCCTAGATAAAAGACTTGAAAAAAAATGTAATCAGTCTAGAGTTTACTGAGAGAAGACATAGAAGTACGGCATGCCCTTGACTCGCGAAGGTAAACATCCCGCACCCCCTTTGGTATCTGCTGAACACAAGTTCGGACTCAGATCGAGACCTTACAAGGAGCAAATGCGAAAAAGTAAAAGAACTGTCAGCCCCATGTTCACAAATGCTATACAACATCTCTCGATCAATGAGAGAAAAGAGATATTCATGTGAGTATCAAGTCGAAACTATGCACAAAAATAAGTACCAGCGCTTTCCATTGGACTTTTCATTGTGACTTATACATCAAGGTTAAGATTCCAATTGTTCTCTTCTTTGATATGTTGCTTCTTAAACTAGGAAAATCGTAACTATCTATCCTGTGTCCGACGGTGAGGCAGGTCGCACCATCCTCTTCCTTTGGCGCTGATTTGAGGAGAATCGAAGCATTTTCTCAGATATCTCAACATATATCACACGCGGCCTGCCAGTTACCGTCTCAAAGTTCGAATCTGATTTTGACCTTGCCCCCATAGAAACCAGTTCCAAATATGCCGTCTTCATGTATACGGGAACTCTTGAACAGATATCGCTACTACTGTATTTCGTGGTGAGCGCATTTCCTGTGCTACATACTCAAAATTAGTCTCTAACCACTCTGTCTCGATCGATTGCTTTGTCATTAAGATCTTAGTATACTCAAAGTAAAACGTCGGGTGAATTGACCTGTCTCGTCATGGTGCGCATTGTGACAAACTCTTCTGCCGCAGTTGGATGTATACCAACCTGTAATGACAGTCAGCCGGTTTTCTTTTTAGCACCAATTAATACTTCGTAAAAAACAATGGACTTATTTGTATAAAAAAGCCTGTAATGCACAAGGTTTCTCGTGAAATCACAAACATAAGTGAATGAACACAAGTGTATCACGTAAACTTACTGTTGCATCAAATTGGGCCTTGGTAGCTCCGCACTTTAAAGCCACAGCCAGTCCCTGGTCAAGAGCAAGCAAGGACTTGTTTAATATATTGAAATGCGAACCAGACGGAAAGAAATCGTCTTGTCATCTCAACAAAGCTGGCCCGCAGAAAATGGTACGCGGATAGAACCTTACCTGAATAATTTCAGGAGCATCTGGACCACACATCATAGCTCCCATAACCTTGTCCGTTGCCCCATGCACAATCAATTTCATCATGGTCTTTTCCTGTCGCCTGAAGCAATGCTCACAATTCCACCACAATGGCGTGAGAGGTAATATCTTACGAGCGGTTACATTCTGCTCACCGTCATTGTATGTGCAATTCAATCGTTCAACTTCACGCTTGAAAGCAGAATTAGATAGTACGCCTTACAGGTCGGGGACAAATGGATAGCCATCAAGATCTGTATCGACATGCCACATTGACACCCGACAACTTGTGTGGCTTATATAACAATATTGTATGGCTTAATACATCTCCGGGCAGAAATTTGAAGTATATACACACCCTGAAACCGTGTTCTTCATGGGGTTGAAAGATGATGTAAAGATCTTGAACTCTCCTCTGATACCGCCGTGATTAGCCTTTACCTGATCCTCCGTCAACCCCACCGATGACAATGGAGGTTGACTGCATGTCGCACCAGAACTTAAGTTAGTAGTAACCTAGAGAAACTTCAGTGTAAGACGAATGCTAGAATTCTTGTAAATGCTGGGTGCAGAAATTCGTGAACATAAGATATGCTACAACATGTTCCAAAACTCACCAGAAAACAGCGTGAGCTACATTCTCATAATCAGGCTTGGTGGGTTCCTTAAGAAAGACGGTTTTCTGCAGCAATAACAATGAATACTGTCAGAAGCAATCAACACACATACTTCTTGCTAGTCTAACACTAATGAAAATGGAGTTGAAAGACGAACTTATCAGATGCTACTATGTATCGGCACCATAGCGTTAAAAACTCCTGTCTAAAATTCATGATCACATGACTGAAGGAGAACCACCACGCTCTAATGGTGAAAGATAACGTACGGCAAAACAAGTTCCTTCCATAAGCGCGACTGGAGTTAGATTGATACGATTCGTCACGTCGCCCACGGCCCAGATGCTGGGAATTGATGTTTGAGAGTACTCGTTGACCTGCAATCAAGCAATAGAGGTACCATAACCTTGAGGCTACAAACTATGGAAGCTTCCCCGAACAAAAATCTTTCGGCCCTTCAACTAACAAAGGACCTGTTTGCAAAGAAGACCACCAATGGAACTTTAGTCAGGTAGATAACAAAGAAAATGAAGGATACAAAAAATTACTTTGATAGCACCAGCTTCGTCCAGCTCTACACCTACTCCCTCCAGGTTTAAGTTTGCGGTCTTCGGCTCCCTGCCTGCACAACGTCAGATACTTGCCTTCTTAATAAAGCTTCAATTCTAGATTGATTCGTGTGAGCACCATCACATGTCAACCTTGCACAACTGATAAGATCTTTTTTGGATTGGCTCAGTAATGCAGGGACTCCTGTTACAAGCTTTGCAGATCCACTGGGTGGAGAATAAAATAAGAATTTCAATGTTCTTATCTCAGACTATGTACACTTACCCGTCGCAAACATCACTTGATCAACATGATATTCCTCATTTGTGTCTGTTGTAGCTTTGATGCCAAGATAATGGGATTCAAGCTACAATAAATAGCAAAAAAAAAGAGTCAGAAAACAGAATCTGTCAAGGGTACGGTAAAAACATTGCATACACTGATTTGCCTCATAATCTACATGGCAACATCTCCTGCTTCAAAATGACCTCCAAATGACAAGGATAGTGCTTTAAAAAGACCATCTGAGGTCGACGGATTACAGTTCCTTGGCGTCAAAGCATGCCAGACATCCTTCGTAATTGTGGTAAGATTCATACCTTAACAATATTGGTGTGTTTGTGACACTTGATCCCCCTTGCCTCCAGATTTCGTGCAACAACCTCTGCCATTTCTGTATCAAAACCTCTATTTACAGTAAGCACACAAAGTAAGTTAGACACACAAGGTAAGTTAGACATGATCGGAAAATCTAGCCCTAACACTTCAAGAGAAGGATACTACATGTGCCGACAAAGTAATGTCAATCATGAACTGGTCGATGTCGTCGAAAGATATCTGTGCACTTGGTACCATATTTGAAATACCACGACTCATCATACGTACTTGACTTTTTCACCAATAAAATGATCCGAGCAATTAAAACTCAAGCAGCTAAGTACAAGGGTCAGAATGCTCACGCTAATGGTAATGACTTCCTGTAGCACAAATGTACATCAGCTCCCATACCACTGTATATGCCCGCGAACTCTACTGCAATGTATCTACATTCACAAAATCAAAACCACCTCAAATTTAGTCCCAAGAGAAGCTGGGTGATCCATGTTAATTGCATCGCATTAACAACGACACACAGCAACACATAAAACGGTTCACCACCTACCCTCCACCAATGATCAAAACTTTCTTGGGAAACTCCTCCAGACTCAGACCCTCGTCGGAAGTTATACCTAGCTCCTGGACCAATGCAAGATGAGACGCCAAAAAAAAGGTCAGCCGGCAATGGACTAAGGTACACCTCACTTCATCACATGAACGTGAAAGAACAAATTGTAACAGTTCCTAGTATTACAAGCTGCCTGGGAAAACAAAAAGGTGTAAGCGTGTGGTAAGAAAGTGTAGAGGAGGAGGACAAGACGATAGAACAATTCATCAACATATGTAGTTAAGATGCTCAGCTCTTACCTGACCAGGTATATTGAGTTTCACAGCTTTGCCACCTGTAGCAATTAGGATGTGATTCGTTGTAAACGTCTTCGTCTGACCATCCACGTCTTTGACCTCCACAGTGTGCTTATCCACGATCCTTCCAAAACCTTCAAAAAGAGTAACCCCGGCATTTACAAGCATCCTCTTGTACACTCCATTCAGTCTTTCGATCTCTTTGGTCTGCAGAATCAACGGTAAAACTGAAACTGTGAGTCACCTTCCCAAGACTAATTCTTTAAGTGAATGTGAATCAGCTGCTCACCAATTGGGTTGCAATCGTGAATTCAGTTCGTTTGTACGATACTTAGCGGAAACCGGCAAAAGTTCATGAAGAACAAGCTGAAAATGTTCTAAAACAAAGCTATTTAACAAGCATCTATGATGTGCTCATGACCTCAGCTAACAACGATCTACAAACAACAGACAAATTTCCAACATAAATGATGCCTAAGGCCTAAATTGAGGAACAAAAATAAAAGCCAAGTTAAGAATATTTGGCATCTGATGCCGAAGTGCGAGACTTGTGCACCTTATTCTGTATCAACTTCTTCCAGTTGAACCTGATCTCCCCATCGATCTCCCAGCCGAATCCTTTAGCATCCTGTACGGATGAGACAGCCAAACTAAAGGCAGGAATCAAAAATTCTGTACGTGATTAAAATACTGTGCAAAAGTCTCCAAGAAATCCAGAGACAAGCGAAGAGTTTAGAAGAAAAATACTAGATGATAGCAAGATTGTTACCTGGAATTCATGACTAAAACCTGAACCGTACACCAAAATTTTTTTCGGGACGCATCCACGTAGGACACACCTGAACAGAGAGATCAGAGTAAGGACTAATCATGGCTAACTTCCTTCAACCAGACATATAAGGAAAATCAGGTCAATACGAGCAAGCAGCTCGCTTGGTGACTTCGACATGCACGAGATCAGAAAGAATTGACACTCACGTTCCTCCGAGTCCTCCATGGGTTTCTGAGCTGATGGGGTGGTATGGAAGCTCTACCAGAGCAACCTGCACCATGTAGTAAAGTATCAATAACTATGGATCAATGGTGACCCGCTTAAAGGCACAGGTATAAATTGCTTCTCGAATTTAAATTGGTGAGACGCTCGCAATCATACGAGAAAAAATCCGAGTGACTGGCCTAGCAGCTTGAGCTCGAGCCAAGTCAACAGTCAGGACTAATCATGTTGAAAAAATTCCTTCCCGTCACCTTCGCAGTCCTGGAATCTCTAAATCCGCACACGAGTTTGCCTCTGTCATGATCTTTACCTTGGCACCATGGGAGGCCGACATACGAGATGCGCGGACGCCACCACTGCCCCCACCGATCACAAAAAGATCGTAATCGAAAGCACGGCCAGCCACATCATTGCCTGCGTCCGTATCCATTTCCATTTCTGAAATCCTTCAAAGGTCGCCTGCGGAGAGATCTCCCCTCCCCACTCAGGGGTTTTACAGAGAACCCTGAAGAAATTCGGACGATGTCACAGCCCGGCACGATCTCAGAGGGTCGTGCTTTCTGGCCACGAACTCGCGCAACGCCGGCTGCCAGCGTTCCGCGGACAGACTGACGGTCAAATTGGTCGTCTGGGACTCTAAACTCCTCGTAGAAATTTGATCTTCGGACCGCACCCTCGAGTATGCAGAAACACGGCCCTCGTCCTTCTGATCCCGCCTGGCACTGGCATTTGGCACTTATTGACCGCTCGCGTTCTGCTACTTAGACCGTCGACTTTCTGACGGTCTCCGACGGCCGCTCTACTGCTCTCTACCGACCGCCCGTTCGAGAAGCGATCGAGGGCGGTCGGAAACGCCTCGGCCGCCAGTGGCCGGCTCCACTGCGCAGTCGTGCTTTTCGACGGTGACTGCTGCTCTCCACTGCCGGACTACGGTGGCCGCCATGCGGCCACGTGCTTCTGTACAGTCGGACACACTTTCCCCAATCATGCACTGCTTCCTCGACAGCTTCCTTCCCAACCGAAGACCTAATATTGTTCATGGCCTTCGGATGGAAATGACGTGGCCCAGCCCATCGGGAGATGGGCTTCGTTCTCTGCCAAACACGAGAGTGAATTTTCAGTTTGCTAAGTTCTTCGATTTTAGACTCGTTGCTGTTCTATTGTGAGGCCTTGAGCAGAGGTATGGCATTGAGGTCGTTGATTTTAAGAGTTTTGAGTGATTTTCTCAATCCGAAAATATTGGCAGGACCCTTTTAACAATCTTTTCTTTTCCATGTATTTGATGGGAACAAGTTTGATATCACATTATATCACAGTAGAATCTCATGAAGATGTTAGCAGAAATTAGTACCATATTCAAGTTCCATTCTAGAGCTTTTCGAAAGCAGTTCATAGAATTCCATGTTCATTTCACGATGACGTTGGATGCAAAAAAAATAATTCGTTCGCATGATTGACACATAAATTCATAACGAGTATACCTGATTTTTATTTTTTTTAGGTGTGAATAATAATAATTAAATAAACCTATCTCATATTTATCAAATGATATCAAAAGACACATTAAGAAGAGATTAATATTAGTTCCAGTATTGAAATGACATTTTTTACAATTTTCTGAATATAAAATTGTTTTCATGATTTTATTTTTATGTTAATAACTAGCAATGTCTCAAAACATACGGAGATGAAGGAAGTTATAACTTCATTTTCATATCATGTTATTACATTTTAAGTAAAAAACTAGATTATCAAATAATAATAAAAATTGTGTATTTTACTTAAAAATAAGAAAACATTTTAATATATCATCAAAATAAATAACTTACTTCTAAATTACAAGTTACATACAAGTTATTAGCAATGTAGAATGATATATTTAGATTTTCTTTGACAAAAAACTAGATTACACATTTTTAATTATCATCTGAGTAAAATTTTGATTTATTTCTATTTCTATTTCTATTTTTATATATAAATTGAGAAAATCATTTTTTCAAAATTTAGATAGGTTCTTTATATCCTAATTATATAATGTTATAAATTAAAATCTTGCAATTCTTGAAATGTTTGCAACATGGATTTTTTTTGGATTTAAAAAAATTAATATATTTCAGAGTTGCTGAATAAAATGCAATCAATGCAATCTCTTATGTTTCCAACATAAGAGATTATGTATCAAATCTAATTAAATCCTAAAATAGTTCAAAGAGGTTTGATCAAATTTAATATATGATGTTTTCATCAACTATCAATTCATTTGATGATGTCTTGATATGTTATGATTTGGCTTAATCTGATAGCTTCATAATTTTCAGAGCAACAATTTAGTTGAATGAACATTGTGTTTGATTTATATCGTATATTCACTTGAGTTATCAACCACATTATTCAATAGTATCTGTTTATTCGTGCTTAATGACAAAATTAAAATAATTCAATAATTTACTTAGTTTTTGAAATAAATCTTATTATTATAATATATATTTATTGATTAAAATTAAGATTTTCTCATAGTTTTTATTGATGATATGAATTTAAAAATAAACAATGAAATAAAAATATAATTTTCTAGCTCTTAAATATCTATTTGATAAATTTAATACATTTTTATCAAATTTATTATACCTTGGAAAATAATTTGATATGATATTGATAAATTTAATTGATTTAAATATAAATATATAATATATATAATTGTTGATATATATAAAACTACAAAATATTTTCTGTAAATTTGATATTTTATAAATATTAATAAAAATGATGAAAAATTTTACATAAATTCTATAGTAAATGGTTTTCTGTGATACATGTTTAATTTTTTCTGATAAAAAAACTTTGTAACAAATTATGCACTTAAATTAATGACTAAATAGCTAATTTGTTATGGAGATGTTCAGACATATAATTTGCTTGATCTAGATGTCAAATTTTTTTTATGAAGAGACAGATGATAACGTATGCTAAAATAAAAATAACTATTTGTGGCATTCAATTCTTCATCACATTAGTAATAGTAACATGTAAACTTTTTACAATCAAGGTTAAAATCTACCTAAATAATAAAATTTTGGAGGTTTGTGAATATTATATATCTGAAAAGCAGCATGAATTCTCTATTGCCAATGAAATTTGCAATCTTGGGATACATTCATAGTGATATGTTGGTGAAATTTATTTTTAGTTTCACGTTTTTTTTACATTCAATATTTTATGGATAACATTATGTACATATAATTTTAAAATCAAGTTTATAATTATTGTCATTTTCATAAAATGAAAATTTCAAGGAGACTCACATTTGCTAGATTTGAGTATCCACAATAAGAAGATAGAATAATCGGTAAACTTTTTTTAATGTATAGTAAAGTAAATCATAGAAAAAATAATTTTACAGTTTATGTTGATGCAATAAAGTCTGTTACATAAGTTTGAAGTTGAGACTGTGAATATATTAGCTTGTTTCGTTGTCTTTTCTTTCCTAATGCAATTGATAACATGACACTATTTGAGTTGAGATATGAAAAATGTACGAAACATAATTTTTGGGTTTTTTATGTAGTTTATAACTTTCTTCTTGAACAGGATATTCGAGGTCAATCTTGACTTTAAATACTGAATTTTTGGGATATCAAAGCTATGTGAAGGCTACAAGTTGTGTGATTCACACATTTGTAAGTTCATATTATGTTTTGGAATGTATCCAGATATTTAATTTAGCAAAAGCTTACTACCATTGATACTGAAAATCTATTCTGAATATGATTGATTGATTAATTGAATATAATGATTATCATTACAAGGTAAGAAATAGTGATACTACAAAGCAGCAAATTTAACAAACTTCCAGAAACGTTTACATCTTAAGATCAAGCAAAATCACCAACATAAATATATTTTGAGTTTTTTTTTGTATTCTAAGAAATTTTATTAACTGGGTTGATTTAACTAAATCAGAGAATGATGATGTTTCTGAAGATGATAATGAAATGCCTTTGATATTTAAAATATCTATCAAATATGAAATCTAATAATTGTAAGATACAATTGAATAGGTTGAAACATTATAAATGGAAATTATTACTAATTGTGAATAAGTTTTGATTATTTCTGAAATAAAAAAAGTATAAAAAATTTTTGTATTTTGAGTTGGTAAATAAAGTAAAGGACAAATTCTACAATAAAATCTAGAAGAGTTACAAAATCACTTTGATGAAAAAAATTAGAAACAATAAAACTAAAGATTACATTGAATTATAATACTTCATTGCTAAATATCTAACTATCTGCTTTTCATATATGTTTGTGATCTTTTTGATGCTTAATGATGATTCAAATCAAATGAATATTATCGCAATCTGATTTCTGATAATTAAGTTCAAAATAGCTTTTGCTACGGACAAGATTAGCAAATATCAATTTTTATAATTAAAGACAAATAATCATATGAAAGTAATTTTGAAATATTTCAAAGGTAAACATACATTTATTTTTTGTTTGAAGCTAATTGTACATCGCTTAATTATGAATTGATGATGAAAAGATTCAATATAGAGAAAAACTAACATTGTATATGGATTTACATTTGAAGGTGGATGCATAAGTTGAAAGTACACTTTGCAAAAATACACAAGCCAAGATAGCATAAAGTCTAAATATGTAGGTCTAGTAGGACTAACAAAGTATTCATTCGTTGAACTTGCTTGTGATTGAGTTCAATATAATTCATAGAGTCTTGAGTTTACAAACTAGCTAAAATATTAAAAAATCTACTCATATATTCATAGTTTTTATCAAAATGATTTTACTAGAGAAAGTGAACTAACAATTATTTTGTCTTAAAAAATGATATTACAATATACTATGTTTGTTAGGTTTTGGTTTATAGAAGTTTTAAATTTCACAATGAGCTTCATGAAGTATTTTTTGTATACTTTATCCTAGACTATCAAGATATAGATTCCAAGATACAAGTCAAACGGATGATAGTCAAGAGTTAACTTAGTTATTGGTTGACAAAAACTAATTTAGCTCGATTTAGTTAATGTAGTTAGCTAACGCTACATAAAAGATTTGGCAAAGGTGCTATAAGATGCCGTTAAGATTTAGAGTAAAACATCCCTATGTTTTACAATGAACCTTGTGTGTTTTATGTCAATGTACGCTATTGTCAAAAAGTTACTAATGCTAATAATATATTAGAAGATTCTTGTTTGAAATAATTTCCACAATTAATTTTGACTGTGACTAACAAATTGGATCATAGTAGGAATGCTAGAGTATGTAAAGTAGAACATTGCTTATTTACATGCAACGATAGAAGAAGAAATGTCTTAGTCATAAAGCAGATCTTGTTTAAAGAAGTAAATTAAATTAGATGAAAAAATTATATTTTTGAATGGAATTGTTTAGTTAAGATAGTTTTCACAAGATGATGAGATTTGGAATTGGAGGAATAAGGTTTGCGGTAATGACACCCACATTGGTGAGAAGTGTCATTCTAGATCCATCACTAACTTTCACAAATCTAATGAAAGTTATATTGGATGTCACATCTTGGCTTCATCATGTATGCATTTTGTCGTATTGTATCCATTCTCTGAGACAACGCATATGTTTCGCATATTCAACCAAAATAGCCTCCATCATTGACACATTAACACTTTTTGATGGATGAGGCTTGTTGAAAACCTCATGCTCAATCAAATGTAGTTTCCATTATTGACACATAGATACCTTTGATCGCAGAGACTAGTGGAAAACTTGTGTATAGGTGAGGCAGTGAAATATAGGAGAAACATAACAAGAAAAAATAGGTTGTATACAATAAAGGGAGCTACTAGTTATCCATCACATGGGACTCATTAGCCCTTATCCTAGTATGCGGACTTCAGTCATTGGGCAGATGGAATTATAGGGTCTGTGTGGTAAAAAGTGAACTTGGCGACTACATTTCTTTCTAATGGACTCCAAAGATGCCATGATGTCACCTGCCACGTAAGAAGCTGACTGGCGAGAACAACATTCAACCTACAAAATGTCTACTGAAATAAGGGACTTTCATAGAGTATACTCTCTTCAAGATTTTACCCGAGAAAGATGGCTATGAACTTTTCATTTTCAATGTCATACTTCCAACTACGAGACTATCAACGTACTAACGTGTTGACCAAACAAGCTCGTGAAAATCTATTGAAACTGGACAATTGAATCGTTCTATCGTAAACCAACAATCAACTCCTAGATTAGACACTACAAAAGAGATCATGCGCAAAAAATCAACATTCCACTTATACTCTGATTGTTTTGAAAATCCATAGTATCTATACTTCACTGAATTATTCTATCAAATTGGGACAAAAAGTATGTGGAGTGAAGCGTAGTGAAAGGTTCAGTGCAGTCATTGAGTTATTCAACGCATTTGCGTTGAGCACCAACTTCTAAATTGCCACTTGTGCATATTCTCTTGTTAGCATCCACGAATCCGTTTTTGCTGCCACAAACCTTGACGAGGCTTTTAGATCGCGGAGGTGCCAGTTAGTTTATTACGTGATAGGTGACACTCTAACATTTTTGGAGTCCATAAGAAAGAAATGTAGTCGTGAAATTCAACTTTTACCACACGTAACCTATAGCCCCATCCACCGAATGACTAAACTTCGCATACTAGTGTGAGGGCTAATTAGACCTAGGTGAGATATAACTAGCCACTCCCAATTTTTTTACATATATGTATATGTGACCATGTATATTTCCGTTATACATGGTCACACTTCCTACCATCACTCACAAATTGCGTCATCAACATGGTAGTCACCATGATATTTTTTCTCTTCACCCGGAGTAACTACGTTCTCATACTACTTCGCAACAATTTCCACCATCTCTTGAATGTCTACCTGATCACCATCCGGTACCTTGTTTGCTGGACCATAACCATCTCAATTCCTTCTCTTCTGTTTTCTTCTTGACATCTCGGTGACTGCGGCGTCAACATGGTACTAAATAACTAAAGTACAACTCGAACACGGAACTGGGAGTGAAATGATGCAACTAGTTTATATATTCCGAGACATGTCCTGTTTCAACTCTCCCGCATCGCAATCAGTGAATCAGGCCTTTCCCCTGCACAGAATGCTAGAAGTGGGCACTTGAGAAATATGGACAGTCGACAATCTCGGGCCATCGTACAGCACATTACGGGGATTGGGTCTCATCCAGGATTCCAGTCGAAGAATACTCTCAAGACCGTGTCCCGTACTGAGAACTGAACTATGCTAAACCATCTTGGTTTTGCATCGGCCCGTCAAGTCCGCCTTCTGGCATGTCCCAAGGCACTCTTTGCGCTGCACAACGCTTGCTTTGCTTGCCCACATCAGAGTAGAAGTCGGAATATGCAGAACAGGAGGCAGAGTAGCAAATCCTGCAGCTCCAAATGCGCCAAGCACGAGGAAAACTGCGAATGTGAGATAAAACCGTGACATGAGGACCCATCTTGTCAGCGCGATGACTTGCTTGACTTGCGGACAAATGCGTGAGAGCTGGGCAGGACAGCTCCGGCTCCCCCGAGTGCAGAAGCGACGGCAAAGAACAACGACATGCTGTAGCAGATCAAGAAAACCTCGAACACTTGAGGATTCGTGCCTGTCCCTTTGTTGAAGCTCTTATGGCTCAAGATCGACCGAGCTGTGGGAAGTAGCCAATTCTCTTCAGAGTCTTCTAAGGGAGGATCCAGACAGCCTAGAAATGTCACACTGGCGATAATACCAGCCCCGACGAGAATGGCATTCGTGGCATCCACATACATCTGCCGATCCATGTACAGATGTTGGACGTACTCTCTAACTACCGGCTTTTCCAGCCGCATTTGCTGAATGTCTGTATGTCTTGTTTTCACAGCTAATTCTATAGGGGATCGTCCTTCATTATCGGCCTTGAGGCTGAACAAGGCAGATCTGCCTTGTTCAGCCTCAGCTTCGGTATTTCAATCAGCAACTAAACGCTGGAACTCTGCCCGGCCAGTATAGCATAATGCAGGGGCGTTCGGCCATCATTGTCATCCGCATTAATGAGTTCTTCCACTTGAGGAAAAGCAAGCACACATTTCAACAACGAATTCTGATCGTACCCTGTGTAAGTGATCATGTGCATCAAAGTGATTCCCCCTGGAAGCAGCTCGAAGACTTTTGGTCGACGTTTTAAACGTGGTTTCAAGCTTACTTCTCAGATCCTCATCCAGCAGCAGATCCAGAACATACATTTCCGGTAGTTTGTCTATATTGGATGAACCGACTAAGTCTTGACAAGATTTCAGGTTGAATACTTTGTAGTTCGTATCCTTGTGCTCATGGATTTTGCCAAAGAAACCCCTAAGAATGCGCTGCTGCTTCTTGACAATGAGAGCATCCCGAGTGGCATCTCGACCTGCTGCTGATATTTCTTGGGTGTACTGAATGATCACCGCAATCGAAATCGAAATACGGAGGGTTCCCTATATAGAGAGTCCTGCCTATATGAAACACCATTGTGACTTTATCTACGTCAGTACGAGCTATTGACTCTGTTCACATGGCCCACAACGGTTGAAGCGTTTCAATACAATTATCACTCGATCCATGTCTACAAGAAGGCTCGAAACATATTCTCTGTTCCAAAGCTCTGTGAAATGGGCTCGACTCTCTGTCTGCCCAATGCATGTTTCATAGTACAGCACTATGATTCTGAAACGTAGAACTGTATCTGTCTTTCTACGATAGTTAACGGTGGGAGGTAATTCTGTGTATTTTCCAAAAGATTTTCGTTTCATTTTGATTCTTGTACACCTCTGTGATGTTTTGAGATACTGCACTGCACGCTATATTCGAGATGAGGCCCGGATTTGAGTGATGACTGAAGCTATTGACATAGCAGCAACCCCTTCTTCAAGACGATTCTGACCCCTCATCAGACTCACAAAAATCTGAAAGCTTGGTAAAACCACATCACACGTGTTGTCTTCCTCATCATATTCTCGAATCGAATTCACTCACAAGCACTCAGCGACAAGCATTTTCAAACTGCGTGAATTACTGATCCTATCTCGCTGTACCATTTTCTCCTATCTCGCTGCACCATCTTTTCGTGATGACATGAGGATGACAGCCGCAGTCTCGTACCATTAATCATCGTTGTGTCACTGCAGCAATACAGGGACAAGCATATAATATATAGTAGTGCGTTGTGTTGACTGACTGCGAATGGTCCTGTCAGGGTCTGTGCTAAGTCAGCAACAGAAGCGTCAGATGATCGCTGGCCCTACAAGGTCCAGCAAATAAACTTCACATTCGCGCGACGACTGGTGTGTAGATAAATCTGGTGACAAAACTCAAGAGAGAGCCAACGACCTTGATTGCTGCGAATATATTGAGACTCTGAGTTCAATCCCTTTATTCCTTAGAACGACAACGAGCCTAAATAGACGAATAGTAACACATTCTAATCTATAAGTCTAAACACTTCAATCCATGCATGCCTCGAGGCTCATTTGAGCCTTTCAATCTGAAACGAGAGGTCTGCAGTTTACAACTGTAGTCCAGAAACACAGATGAATACTATATATTTATGTGGATAAGAGAGTAATCATGTTTCATGGTTATTTGATAATTTTTTTCGTAGGCAGGGTCATATATATATATATATATATATATATACATATATATATATGTCAATCATGATTAATCTTGGGATTTTCTTTGAATTGTATCGAAGAATGCCAATGACTCTGACTCGCCTCAGAGGAGTTATGGACCCACTTCCACTCTCAAGTACTTCACCGATAATGAAGATGGAGTTTCACTAGCTCCAGTTCTTCTTCTGCTGACTGATCCCATTTTCCTAACACCCTTACGATACCTTCACTTGCCAGTTCTGGATGTAAATTCAGAGCCTCACGTGGTTGTTCATGGGATGAACTGTTTTGAGTACTGTCCAACAGATGCTAGATTTCAAACGGTGTTTGACAAAGCCATGCATGATCATTCACACATCTTGATGTCGGCGTTGCTGGAGAAGTACCGAGGCTTTGAAACCTTGACATCATTAGTCGATGTAGGCGGTGGGTTAGGTGCTAGTTTGGCCATGATTTTGTCCAAATATCCGAATTTACGCGGAATCAATTTCGACCAGCCACATGTTGTAGCCGACGGGCTGAAAGTGCCAAGTACTGTTCTCTCTCACTCTTCTCCCATCCCTCTTTCATCACTCCATGATATACACTATGATCTACAGCTCTATACCCACAAGAATCAACTCAGCTCACTATACATTCTGGATTTCAATGTGCAGATTTGGAACACGTTGGTGGAGATTTCTTCGCCAGTGTGCCTGAAGCCGATGCTGCGTTCATGAAGGTATGCATTCTGCTCTTGCCTTGAAGATTTATACCATCTGCAAAAAAATGCTTGTTTCCTGAGCTGGAGATCTGATCACACAGAATTGTTGGCCATGTTTTTCTCTCTGTATTATACCTTAATTTTGCAAGAAATATTTGTAAATTTGAAATTGTTCTCTGGGTGATTCTGGATTTGCATGGTCGGCGAGCTAAATTCATCTTTCTTTGTGGGATGGGGACAGTGGATTTTGCATGATTGGGATGACGAACGCTGTGTAAAGATACTGGAAAACATCTGGAGAGCTTTACCTCCTCATGGCAAGCTCCTGAACCTCGACTCATTGCTGTCAGATATCTCAGATCCATCCCCCGCAACCAAGATCTCCTTGTACGCAGATATGATCATGCTGGCAGTCACTCCAAGGGGAAGGGAACGTACGCTGTCCCAGTTCAAAAAGCTTGCAGCTGGTGCCGGATTTCAAAAAGTTGAAGTTGTTGCACAAGTAGATAATTTGTCGCTTCTGGAATTCTGCAAGAATTAGTTATCACTGTTTGAACTCAGACTTCATTTATAATAGGAACTGTTCTTAGCCATAAACCAGCAATGTCCTAATCCTGATCTAGACTTTGTACATCTGTCCAACCTTTGTCCATCTATCCAACCTGCCACTGTAAACGCTATCTAATACGTATATGTAATAGTCTAGAATGATGTATATGGTACATCTCAAGATTTAATAAAATTGATTTTATCATAGATAAAAAATATTCTCTAGTTGATACAGATTTTTGTAATTATGATTTTTAATAATAATCTTATCATATATTTTCATCTCAAGTATTTTTTTTAACTCAGATCACAATTTTTTGACTTTAATATTTCAAAACAAATAAAAATCTTATTATATTAAATATAAATTTGAATCAAATCAATATATGTTGAATGTCATCAAAAATTGAATCTTAACATATCCAATGTACTCAATATTACAAGATTGATCATCTTTCATAAAAGCAAAATCGTTTGATAATAAAAATTTCTTTGATATAACAGATATGATAAAAATAAACAATATTTAGAATCTATATATCATTGTCTAGCAAATAATCATATTTGAACTTTTACTCTTGAATCACATTAACTATCAGAAAATCAACACCTTTGATCTTCACACCGTCGTGATGTGTTCATACTTGTTTATACATATAAAATTAAATTTTTTTCCAAATAAGTTTCACACTCAAAGGTCAAATTCTACTAAATTTCTTAAATAGATGCATCATTTTTTGCTATATATCTGTTATTTGCATTCAAGTATCAGTTGTACATTAAACAAGTAAAACTTTTTGTAAGATTTTTGCCAAAAATGTTTATCACACAAAGTTCATTTTCTAATGAATTTCTTGTATGTGTGACAATGATGTGAACAAAATTGGTTTGTATTAGGTTCTAACTTGTATTGACTGTAAGTTAAGGATTCGACTCATTCTTATCTACCATTTGAGGATTTGAGTGTTATTACTAAGGGCGGCTAGAAGTAGCTCACTCTTTGAACATTGACAATAAATATTTGTATTCTTGTGTTATTACTTAATGCAGCGATACCTAGCTAGTCCCCTAGAACATTGACAATAAGTACTCGTATTCCTGTGTTATATTAGGGCATTGAGACCTAGCTCATCCCCATTGAACATTGACAATAAAAATATGTATAGTCGTGAATGCAATCGAGTGACAAATCACTTTATTTTGTGTGTACACTTGTGATTCTATAATTTTATGTGAGTTTAGTCTAACAATTGATATCTAAGCGATGTTGTCGAGTAGTACTTTGGTAGTTTCGTCACAAGAGTCCATAAGAGATCCTGGTCGATGACGAGGTTACAATTTTGATGAATGTGAATTTGAAGGGGAATTTACGGTTTTTTCGTGCAGAGTATTCTCATTAGAGGGCAAGGCATAAGTTACAAGGTCGGCATTTGTCTGCAACTGGGCAAATTGAGGAGAACTGAATGATATGAACTCTTGCAAGAAGGCGAGGTTTGTTCGTTCAGTTTGTACTCTAGACTTTATAACTATCATCACAATGATTAAGTGTATTATACTTTGTGATGATTTGTTGATATTTTTGATTTACAACATGTGGCATGGCAAAGTAATGTAGCTGAGATTATTCAACAAGGTGGATTTTGACCTGGACTTTCATATGCAACTTCTATATATATATATATATATATATATATAAGAAAGATCAAGAACAATCTGTTCATAATTCATTGAATATAAGTACTTAATATGAATTATCTGGAAGTTAACATTTAAAAAAATATTAAACGTCAGTTTCATTCTTATACAATAACCTTTTTATTTTGTGAAATTTCATTTGTGAAAATATAGTGAGATTTTCATTGATTCAAAATGGTTGATTTGTAAGATCTCAAATATTTCATTTCAAAAAACCAGTGCATACAACTACTTGAAATATCATCGACCTTTCATCATCTAGACTTATTAAATACTGTCTAGCATATTTCAAACAACATTTTGTACCTACAGTTGTAATAAATGACTACAATAGTATTGGTAAATGACAATACTTTGGATGATGATTTATTTCTTCAATTTTTTACCGAGAACATACATATATTTCAGATGCAATAAGAGACAAATTCCTAATGATAGAAGATCTTGAAAATATAAACTCTGCTTTACTGACTGCTTTCACGTAGATTTATGAGTTAACAGTCCATTCGAAACGTGCTTTCGAACCCTGTCACTACGCATATTTTCAATTCGTCCTCAATGTGGAACAATCTTTTTCCAATATGTTTAAGGTATTCGTCTCAATCAAAAAACTGAACTTGATGGTTGGAACCTCATATGCTTGAAATAAATATTGGATGAAAGATGAAACCTCCAAATTTAACGTATTGGGATTTAGCAAGAATATCACCAAAATCAATCCTCTACAATTGTATACTAGCCATTTATTGCAAAGCACCCTCATTTGATGCTCTCCTGCCCGTGCAGATCTTTCAATTTTAACCAAGAAATTATAGAGCTGTCTTCAAGACATAAAGAACTGTAGAATTGTTCTTTTCAATTGTACATAATCACTTATTTTGGATCATTGACTAGTGAAGTATGTACACTTTAAGAGATGCAGATTTTCAAAATTCTCAATAAAATTATAAAATTTCAAAGTAAAGGTTTGGGCACTTTTGATAGTATGCATGATATTAGAGTTCAAAGTAATTTTCCATGTTATGCATTGATAGATTTATAGTGAAATAGTTTCCAATAGGGCAGTTCATATATCCATTCTAAGATTTAGAGCATACACACAATGCACAGGAGTAGGAGGACCTGATGGAGAGTCCAGCCTAAGCCAAAGTGTATTTACCCGATTCAAAGTTTGTTTCCATTATTCGAAGAAAATCGATATATCTTGCTTTTGTACCATTCTACCCTTTATAGTTGTAACTGTCCTTATAGTGTAAACTAGTGTGATATAGAACAATTGAGGGATGTAGACCGAAACACCAACATGTATACGAGGTACGGTAAATTTGAAAATCATTTTATATATTTATATATTACAGTGAAGTAGGAGATTATTTTTCATCAGATTGAGCAGTCTCACCGAAGCAGAGTAGAAGGCATCAGAACATGTAAAGGGAGCCGGCCACTCGCTGAAGTTAGAAACTCACTAATCCTTCCGTGCAGAGGTGAATTTCTCGTACCTTACTGAAGAAGTAGATGCACGACGGATGGAAATCATGTTAACCTTGTGAATTCTACCGAGATGGAAAAACTCAAACGAGTAGTGCTGAATGCTCTTCTCATTGCTCTTCAGTGACTCTAGACTGAATACGAAACGAAACAAATCGAATTGTGTTCCGCTTTATCCTCTCTTGACTGCAATCTGCTCCTGGAAAGAGTCTCGACGATCTGTCCAACTCACGCTTTCTTCTGATTTCTGACGAAACGCGGAAGATGAATCAGGACTGACTTTCTTCCGGTTCTGTTTCTGCGATCTTCAAAACCTGGTCGTGTGGCTTCAAAATCTCTCCAAAGCAAAGGACATTGTGAAAATGAAAGAGATTGATTGTGAACTCCTTTCATGGTGAAAACAGTTGTCTTGAGAGCTTTCAGCTGTGCTCATACATCTCTGAGTCAGGAACATCACAGAGAAACGATGTTGAACTGGAGCCTGAAGACCACAAGACCCGTGACATAGATCCATAGTCTGTGAAAATCAATCACTGGAACTCGTGCCAGTTCCAATTTTCCGAGCTACAGCAAGGACTTCAATGTTCAACATGATCTTGGTTTATATAATCAGGAGGAGGATCTAAACCCCTTTGTGATACAACATACGTAAGTGATTAATTTATGTTTTTGAGAGAAGATTTCATAGCCCTAATCCGCACAAGTCTCCGCACTTCTCCTCGATGTGCGCAGCGAACTTCGACTCGCAGGGTCTTGGGTAACCGCAAGCTTTGATAGTTTCCAAGGCACTTCCACAGCACGCTTTCTGGCCCCAATAAGGAAACACATCGCAAATTCCAAGGACAGTCCTTACTATGGAGTCAGCACAGACTGGAGAATCTGTGACGACCCCCTCATTCGTTGCACTGTCCGTCCCTGATTTGTAATTCCCAACAGATGCAAGCAACACAGATTCAAGCGTTAGTTTGTTTGTGCGATACATAATCAGGAGACTCGATTACAGACAACTGTGTTGGCTCTTTTCGCGTGCTAATTCGAAAGACTGCATTGCAGTCGATTATGACCACGAGTCGAGACTTCATTACAGTTGTAGTTTTCTCGTCCCACTTGTCGACCTGTGCGGAGGTATAGACAACCAGGATGCTTGTGGCAATGAGGAAATTATCGATGAAATTGGAACGAAAGTAGCTGGAAGGTGGAAGGGAAGTGCAGGACATGGTCCTCATACGATGGAATTGGATACGTAGGCAAATGGTGGAGACCTATCTTCCCCGAGAAAGTCCAGTTCTTACTTCAGCAAGGCACTGGAATGCTTTCTAACTCTTACCTTGCACTGGTGGAAGGCAAAATCCATTGCAATTTTTCCGGATAGCTTCGGTATACTGAGATTCGCAGGGCTGTGGATCACCACAAGCCCTGATGGTCTCCAAAGCACCTCCACAGCAGCTTCTTTGGCCCCAGTAGGGTTCCGGGATCGATCCGCAGATATTTAGAAAGCTGTAGACATCTTGAGAATTACACCAACCACGAGAAGTCACCAGCGTCGCTTCCAGATTCAAGTTTCGACCCACAACTGTTGAAAGACACGAAACCAATACCAAAACACTCTGTAACAGGAAAGAGATTGTCATTTTTTGAGAGCCCATTGTTTCAAGATATGAAAGAACAGATTTTCAGAACTGCTTGGGTCCAGCCAGGGTCTGCAATATACTGCTACGGAGACAGCTTCACTCGACGAAGAAAAGAATTGCGTCGTGCGAATATATACCGATCGAGCATAGTTTGCCGATTCTAGAATAGATATGATATGAGCTAAATTAACTAAAGCACAACAGAGAAACAATGCATCGGTGGAACACGTGAACTGGGATTAAAGTGATGCAACTTGTTGACTATATTCCGAGACGTGTCCTGTTTCAAGTCTCACGCATTGCAATCAGGCAATCAGGCAATCAGGCCTTTCCCCTGCACAGAATGCTAGAAGTGGGCACTTGAGGGGTATGGACAGTCAACAATCTCGGGCCATCGTACAGCACATTACGGGGGGTGGGTCTCGTCCAGGATTCCAGTCGAGAAATACTCTCAAGACCTGGTCCCGTACTGAGAACTAAACTATGCGAAACCATCTTGATATTGCATCGGCCCGTCAAGTCCGCCGTCTGGCATGTCCCAAGGCACTCTTTGCGCTGCACAACGCTTGCTCTGGCCCTGGCCAGAGGTGTCCCGAACGAATGAAGGGGGCATCTCTGATGCTGACATCTCGCTTGCTTGATAACACTGATTGCTGAGCTGGAAGCTCGCTATTTCGGCTGTGGAATCTTTCGAGCCATCGAAACTTCTCATCTCAGAAAGCCATGGGATCAACTCGGCTCACACGGACATTTCGTGTGAGTCATACAATTGGTGACTTGCCAAACAATGCGTATCTTGACGAAAGTAGCGCTCCGATTTTCCGAAGGCCTGCCTGGAGCACACATGGATGTAGCCGTCTGTCCCCCTGAAGCCAGAGGCCCTGTAGACCACGTTGCCAATCCTCTGGCATGAACTTTAGCACAAGTTCCTTCGTTTCTCTCCCACGTGAGCGACAGCACGAAGCCCTTATGAGAATTCAGACAGCTTCTGTAGATTTTATCTACTATACACTGATATCTTCAACTCGAGATATCGAATATTGTGTATTCATGGCCTATATATAAGCCTACAAGGCTTCGTCCTCCTCACGTTTCACATCCTTTTATGAGATTCTTTTAATTCATCATAATGTGTCGCTTCAGCTCCTGTATACTCCTGGATCTCCCTGGAATTCGGTGTTTATATATTTTCAGGCCTATGTATACCTGAAAATATCTCGATGATTTAAAGAAAAAGTCCAGAGTGTGCTTCCCATATATAAATAAGATCAGCATTCCCATATTCAAGTTCAGAGTGCCGATCACTCCTGTACCCAGGTTTTAGCTCGATTCTGATCCTCGAAGGCATTGGCTACGCGATCACTTCCATGACTCAGAAGGATCGGTAGGAAAAGACATCTGCTTCTGATGCTGCTGCTGAGCTCTCCAACCATAGTAATCCTTCATCTTTTAACCTCAGAAGACAAGATTGTCGTCACCGATCCTGTATTATCTTGGGCATTTCGGCTTTATGGCGTTTTCCATGACCTCGCCTGTGTACTGTATTGTAGATCCTGAACTCGAGACAGTCCGGTGTATCACACGAAGAAGAGAAGGGTTTCGAGATGGGCTGAAGGTATTTGTATTTGCACTTGCTTTCCTGTTAAACTTGTATGTTCAAATCCTCATTGATGAGTAAATTATGTTTATAGTTGCAGATGAATCAAGTTGAGTCGATGTCGCAGTCGAGGTCTCGTACTACCAGCTGGATATGCAGGTAAGAATCTCAAGCACCGATCGCCCATTACAACACCAGCAAGCCCATAGGTCTAAATTGACAATTTGACTATGTGCGATTGCGAGCAGGCGATGGACACTTTGATTGGTCGAGGCTTTTTTGTGAATCAAGCGATTCAAATTTGAGATTACACGGTTCAGTTCAGCTTTCAGGTCTTCTATTGAATGTGCAGAAGCAAAAGTACACATTAGCCATTCGTAACAACCTCAAGCAGGCGTCTAATGCTTTATTCCTTCGCTATCGAGGGAACATCGGGATGAAAGTCATCCGATCCTCTTTGGAACCTATGATTGCTTAGTGTGTACAAGAGCCAGATCATTCGTCGCTCACCAGTCCGTTGCCAGGACAGAAAGTGACTTCGTAGTTGGAGCCGGTTCCACAAGTGAACGTGGAAGTGGGATCGTCGTAGTTGTAGCTGTAGGAGTCTTGGCATGCTTGTTTGAACAGCCTAGTTCCGTCGGTAGGGCCTCGTCCATTGGTGCCATCAGTATTGATGCACGACAGAGCACCAGAAGGAAGAGTAACAAGCTGATTGTTACCCTTGCAGAACCCTCTGCAATTGATCAACAAAAGCGATGGTTACTAACACTCCGTTGATTCTTTTTCTTCTCGTGTGATAGCTGATCAAGGCATATGGAAAGGACTTCAATCTGACAGGGTTCTAATTCACCGAAGACAGGTGGGGTTAAATATACACCTGATATCGTTGATGACACATTTGGGAGCACCGCATCTGAAGTCATTCAAATTATCTCCTCCGCCGACACGGTTGATGACACGGATGCTCAATGGGATGGTGTAAGCATTCTGCAGAGCAAACGTCGTTATGCTCGTCAAAACACATATGCTTTGAACGTGGTGTAATTAGATCATTCCAATTCATGCGAAGGAGATGGTGCAACTTCACTACTGTTGATGACTGACTAGTCTGGACAAGAGTAGAGGGAGATTCCAAATTTCAATTGCGAAAACACAAGACTCAACCTCGGACTAAGTAGATGACAACGGGAACCATCTCACAAGAACCATCGGATCGAAATTCGATTTACAGTTGTGATGAATGTGAAGGCATTAGCCTTCACATTGTGCAGTTCTTTTTGTGTGTCACGTTGTCAAATTACTCACCACATTGCTCAGGTCGTAGAAATCACTGCCCGAACCATCTCCGATAGTGAATTCAGCCAAGTTGGCCAAATTCCTGTCATTGGCAGCGAAGGCGCTGCTAGGTGCAGCACACTGTCCTTTCACAGAAGCCCACACGGTTCCAGCAATCCACTTGCATCCGCTGCCGAAGTCAAGCCATACGGATGCCCCAGGACCCAGATTGTATTGATTGACCCGATTCTGCTGATTCTGAGCGCAAGTAGTGACTGAGTAGCCGCAGGCGTTTCTGACGTTGATCCCGCAGCCTGCATTGCAAGAAGAATGTATCAATACCTTAAGGTGGAGCGTGGGATACTCTCACGTTTCTGAATCTGAAGGTCAGTGTGATCTGCTATCGAAGAGAAGAGACAGGACATCGAACAGATGAGGCAAAAACACCCAAAATATTTTGCTAGCTGTCAAAATACCCAACCCTACTGACTTCACAGTTCTGCAGGCCAATGGGTCATTCTACTGTTTGCTATAATGATGGGATGAGGCTAAATTAAGGTCTCCGGGAACTGGAGTTCCACAAAGTTCTCGAATGAGTGGGACATACAAGCGATGATGTTATGCATGCAGTGAGCTCCAGATTGCAAACCGCGTCAGATACGCTGACGAACAAAACTATCAGATATGCCGTGACCATGAGCTAGAGATGGAAAGTTTAGAGTCAATCGTTAGATACCATGAACGGCATCGATGGCCACAGAGGCCAACACCAACACAACGAATAGCTTGAGAGCAACTGGAGCCATATTTGTCCAACCTCAGTATAACAATAAGGTCTGTACTCAACTGCTGAAACTGGGTTTCGGTTCTTCAACAACATCTCAAGCTTCTCTTATATACTGGGCATAGTTATCAGCCTGTGACCTAGACTAGGGAAATTTACTTTATGGGCGAGTAATTCCCAGATTTTGCTTTTCAGATCCAATTTGGGGATTGCAGTTTATAATATTCATGGATAGGACGTTGACAACTGAGCTAGATTTTGGATCATGCGAAATGGATGTTACTGCCAAGGGCATTCATTGACAGACATAGTAGCAGCGTAGGGACTGGCACGACTGGTGATTCGATATAGTTTGTACATGAAGTTAAGAGTTCGAAGGTATGATATGGCAAGGTTGTTGTTCTGTTCAGTAAAATATGAAGAGTAGGTCCAGAAACTGAAGTCTTCCGTTAGACTTGTGGCGCTTTCAGTCCTTCTTGACTCTTGGAATAGTGAGCGGTCAATGCCTGACCAAAAGTCTCAGAAGTACACTAACATCTGTATGTTATATTTTTACAATTTCCTTCTCACATGCACCAGCTATGCTTTGGCATGTCTAAAATCCAAGATGGGCCCAGATTCAGGGGCGAACAATTAGCTGATCCCAATAATCCTCACACAGTTTAACCGGAAGTCTGTAGGATGTGTCTGTAGCATTTCGTCTGTTGCTTTTGACGCTCGACTTTGCAACAGTAATGAATGTCTGAACGATCGTCAAATTATACAGCCGACGTACAAAAACTTAGAACCTCGAGTCCAGGTTTCCTTGATATCTTGACAGAACGTGTTATCTCTTAAGGAAAGATGACGTGATCAGCTTAAACTTTTCATCGCAGCAGTTCTTCGTTGTGAACTGACACGGGACATTTACGCTTTTTCTGCTCTCCTAGGCAACATGTTCTTCAGAAATCAGAATCTATGCCTCACTCCCAGGGGCATTGAGGAGTATGATTGACTTTCACAAGGTGCAGAGAAGAGCTTGAATGTTTCTGATTGCTACTGTGTAAATGATGTGAAAAGAGTTCCCTGGTACACGAAGTTAAACCTGTAAATGTTCAAACACCTGAAGAAATGTACACAAACACGGCTCTGAAATGCAAGGTAAACTGGTGCATGTGATCGCTGATTGTCTATTACGCCAAATATGCAGCTGAGTCATGAGTCATGACCTGTACTTTGACCTTATGTTGAACACAGTCGGTTTCAGAGCTTCGTCTACGCGGATCAGATCTCAAGCATGGAAAGTCCTCTGGCACATGGTTACATTGCATCACGGTCTTATCTGTTTTTCGCCTCTCTCCATGCTGTACAGTTCTGAGCGTGGACGATATTCCAAGACAATGCTGCATGTCGCTGAGATCGGAGTAGTTGGAAAGCGGAAGAAGAATGAGTATTTTAGTTTATGCCGTATAGTTTTCACAAGCTCTTCCACGACAGAAGGGTGGCAAAGCCAAAGTTGGACCCCAAGGCTCCACTTGGCTTACTCTCAGTTTCATTTTGCAACCGAGAGATATTTACCAAAATTTATTTATTTTTTGCCGGCGAGTAACGGATGTTTAGAGGGAGCGGGAGATCTTTAAATAAGGTCTCCCACTATGAGGATGTTCAGAATTTCTCGACTCGTGCAGCTGCAGAAAGCCAGTCGCTGATATAGATTGAAGTCCTCGACCCACTTCCAGATCTCGGACGCCTCAAAACTACTACATACAAATAGTAAGAAACTGCTGCATATTTCAAGGAGGATAGTCTTCAATTTCACCCGGTTCACAACTGTAAGATTGCCTGCACGAGTTCACGAGTCCTGCGTCTCACGAAGGGTCAATCCGAAGACTCGTGAGGACGCGAGTCAGTATAAAAGGACGTCACGGTCTCGACCATGATGATGCACACCATTGATGACCTCGGAATGGACTCAGACTGATTCGGATCTTCAAAGAGCATTTGCAGCTGGCTCGAAAAACTTATCTACACGTTGCAGTGTGACGAGGATAGGTGCGCAGTAAAGTTTTTTCCCTCGGGCAAGTGGAATCCCACTTGTGTTCGTGTCTCTCGGAGTCCATGTGTTGAAAGTATTAAAAGTTTCTTGCCTTCTTTGAATGTTAGAGCAATTTTGACTGTTTTGCTTCTCTAGTAGTCCAATGGATTAAATTTGGAGCTGCGAGACATGGAAATGAAATGAAGTGAATTTACCATGTTCTCATAATGGGATTAAAAAAGCCTGGTTTATTCTTTACACGCATATGTTCATGTGTGGATTCAATGTGAGGATACAAATGAAACTGCGATTAGGAATAAAGAAGCTATAAAAAAGTTGAAAAGCCATTTCAGGTTATGCACTTTACTATCACTATAAAATTTGAAGATCAAATGTTATAAAATTAATGAAATGCAGATGTATATAACTCATTTGAAACTAACTGATCACAGTAATATTTATCATTGTTAACATGTAAAGGTATAAATATAATCAATTTTGATATCCATTTAAAAAAAAATTGTCATTTAAATTGTCAAAGCTATAATAATGCCGACCTTTGAAGTTTAGTTTTGCAAAACTTAGCTCAAATTGGAAAAACGTATGAAAGAAAATCATATTGATACAATTCTAATAGCTTTTTACTATTCATTGTAGATTTGGATAATCATCAATCACTGAAAAAAGTCATGTATATCCGTTTTATACATCAACATATAAATAGACAACTACTTTATGAACAATCATAGTTGAAAACAAGGCCTACACAACAACGTAAAAATATATCATTTTGATCATATGCAACTTTGAAAAGCATGAAGTTTTTTTGCTTGTGATTGAGCTTGCAAGTGTGTGAACTGCGTCAGTTCTAGCCATAGCTGCTGCTGCGTATACGATAAACTATTGTTTTAGCTATTTGTCCAAAAACTCGTAATGGAATCCAAATCGTTTTGATCCATTTGATCTGCTAAAATGGTCTTTTCTTTGTAAAACATCTAATATAGATGACGAAAAATATCAAATTACAGATTCATATAACAAATGGAAAAAGAATTCGTTTCGTTTACTTGTACAATGGGAAGAAAAACACTTAAAATGGTCACCGTAAACCAATCTTACCGGTTTGGCTCCTGCCATGGAACGTCAGATTGCCTGTTTTAAATTCTCTGGCTTATTATAAGGCAATTCCTTAGAGCTTAAAGGCTAATTTCGAGCACGAGGAACTTTGGTTTGTTTCAAGAAATCTCACATTTTTCTTTCTGGATATCTTGACATGATTTAGATCCGTCTTTAGGCATTCATATGTTTAAAGTAAATGATCAAAGCAGCATTTAAGGCAATTATTTTGGGAAAAAAGTAAAATCAACTCACAGTTGTACATGGTAAAGTATGTTGTTATGTGTTTGAACAAACGTAAAGCATCACAAATTGTAGAACTCGACTAATATCCGATAGTCTTGGTTAGCTAGTGATGGTTATTCCACGAAGTACTTTTAACCAAATTTTTTTTCTTTTAATATTTAAAAATATTTAACCCAGCGGACCTTGAAAAAAAATTTCTTTGAAAAACTTTTAGTCAGATATCATCCATGTTTTCTTGAATATTTGCCCTAAATTCATTAATTCATGAAATATATATCTTTCTTCACAATTAAAGTATGATAACTTACATAAAAGTATATCGTTGTTAATAAAAAATATATATTGAATTTTGAAATCGACCAAACATTATAACTTCAGGATCAAATCCTACAATGTGACATAGATCAAAATAATTTGGCTTAAACAGTAGTTGGCCCTCATTTATCAAGAGAAGCACTGATTACTAACCTTTGTTCTGAAAAAGCAAAGAAAGAAGCCAAAATCTAATGGCTGAAAAAATATTATGTAATGGAAAGTGATAATTGAGAGGTTTTTTTCAGTTACAAAAGAACTTGATGTTTTTTTAGATAAATCGATAAAATAGATAGTAAATAGGTTCTGTAGAAAACATATCCTGGAATCCTATCCTATCGAAATAAAATATAATGATACTAATGTGTAAAAAGTAAACTATCGGTAAGTTTTGAATTATATGTCATCTTTATACAAACTATAAAAATATTTAATCAATACATTGTATTTCACAATGATTTAACAGCACAAATACCGCTTTACAGAGCATCATCACAACTTATCTACATTATCCTTTAATGCATTGTTTACTGTAATTCACACATCAATAATATATGAAATAATTTTTTTGCGTGGTTTAACATATTACTTGATAAAACCAATTACAAAAAGATGAAGAACGATTCTTCGTTGATTTAAATGCATCATATATATTCAAAGAACATAAAAGTCGGTAATCAAAGAAGAAGATAAAAGGCAGAAAGGGAGTCAATTTGTAGTAGTCAATATATCTCTCTTCTTTGTCTACTAATGGCAAACTTTTTATCAGATAAATATACCATGGAATTCATTAGGGCATGTTGGCATCAAAATTCCGCTCACTTGACAAATTTAATATAAAGTACAAGTAAAAGCAAGTAAAAGCAAGTAAAAGCAAATTACGTGTGAAATATTACCACAAGAATAAAATAATAGTCAAGCGTGGTAAGATAATGGGAACAAAAGATCCATTATTTTTGAAAATAAGCTAATGAACGATGTAATACACTTTTGCTTTTAGAGATAAGTGCGAAAGTGTCTGAATTGCCACTCGGCGAATTCTTACTGCGCTACGTTCCTTCACGTTTGGATTGATCTATAACGGTTTTTGCTGTTGATTTGATTTGATTGAGAAACAGGAGTATGGAGCTTTGAATTGAAGGCTTGTGCATCGGAACTTATGTTGAAAACCACGTCGTTTGTGTTGGGAATATATCAAAAACACCTGCTTGGATGAAGAAAAAGTTGTAGGGAAAAGGTAGGATGAAGTCCAACATGATCTTGATCTACGCATTATTCCTGACAACTTCAAGATGGTCGTGTGATCAGTGGACTTTCTTTCCGAAAAGGCTGAAGGAGAACAAATATATACTTTCGAAGTTACTCTCGTACTCTGTATATAAATGTCCGTGTGGCATTCAAACCATCAGTTCCATAAATCTGTCGATATCATTCCTACCAAGAGTTTGACTTGTGGATAACTATCCGATCCCTTAGCTCAAACTCCACATCAAGATGCACTGATAAGAACGAAGGCTCAGACTACGCTATTTCACACATATCCCCAGTTGCAGGACCTACTCCCACTCAAGATCCTGTGTAATTAGATATACAATTGTTAACTCGTCCGTTCCTTCTCATATTTTGTCCTTCACTTGTATCAGTAGAGATGCATATTTCTCTTCCCATCTACGGAACTCAAGTTTGATACTACGGGAGTCTTTTGTGCTTTTAGGCTCTTCTTCTTCTTCTCGTCCCTAGACATCAGGTGAGAAATGATTTTTCTCACAGTTCCTGGAAAAATAAATCTGGAAGAATCCACGAATATTTACTCAAATAAATCTCAAATCTATTGACCATGAAAGAAGGAAGTTTAACTTATGGTTGAATCAGTTCCCTCGACTTCAAACACCGCTACACAGAGTAAAGTAACAAATCTGGGCAGCAAAAAGAGCTAACCTCTTACTCTAACCTGGAATATTATCTCACAAATGCGAGCGAAGGGCGAGTATCCACACTGCTTGATTTGCAGTTTGAGAGAAATCAGCTCTCTACCGTATGACCATGCATGAGAGAGCTTCACGTTCCCTTGTGGCTAAGTGTGTGTTCAGAGAGTATATTAATCCCATCACTTTGATGTTCTGATTCGATCAGAGCAATCTGACATCTTACGACTACGCTAGTCCCACCAACTTCCAGCGTATCCATCTGGGCGAGCCAGACTTCATTCGCCAGCAGATCCAACAGCTCTCCGAAAGCTCAATGTCGAGTCCAAGGGCAGTCAAGTGAGGCAGCTGAAACGCGTGCTGTTTCAACGAACGCAGAAACAGAAGCTGGAACCTCCATCTTTTAGAGCACGACGAACTGAGTTGGAATACAACTGAGTCCGCAACAGTGATTCGCAGCTCAAAGTTCAGCACTCGCTTGAAGGCCTCTTCTCTGGCTGTAAAAAGCTTCCTCTCACCGACGCTGAAAGTTGAATCTGGCTATGGTGTACATGAAGATTGAAGCAAAAACTATTGCGAACACAATCACCATAACACTTGTCAGAGGTAGAAAACTTCTCTTGAAACCGAATCTTTCTCTGATTAACACGTCGATATAAGTTGTGCTGCCGTCGAACATCAGCAACTCCTCATGCAAATCTCCAAACTGGGAGACTACGCATCCGTAAAGCGAGTAAGCCAATGGGCACATCCAGTAGTACCATTTCCACCATATGGGGATACTCTGCATCGTAAATGTGGTAAAACTCATGTTAGCCTTTAGTTCGGTGTGAGATGAAACCCCGTCCTTGAGCTTAAATCTCTTTCAGCAGTACGAGAAAATCAATCAGGAACCAAAGAAGTCCTAGAGTAGAATGGAAACTGAGTTCACGACTGGAAGGTTTATACTCACAGGATAAGGTATCAGGAATCCGGAAAAGAGATTGAAGAATCCATAGAATAGGGTAGCCACGATCGATGCGACTTGTTGATTAGGAGTGAGGCCAACAGCCATCATACCATAATAGCTGAAGTACAGGAGTGTGAGGTACAGGTAGTAAAGGTACCAGAAGAACTTTCCAGCGTCATATTCCAAATGCATCATGAAATAAGTCAGTACCCCGAAAAGTACTGACTGGAACAAGGAGTAGGGCATCTCGATCAAGACCTGAACAAGAAGTAAACAGAAAACGCAGAGATGAGTATTTACCTGTCGAAAACCGACTTCGACGAGTCCACAATACAACTATTGGGCTTTAACTCTTAATAAGTTTCATTTGCTTGAAGTGGCTACCTGACGAGCATGGGGAGGTGAAGCACACAAAAATTTCAAAAGGGAGCGCTCACCTGGCCTATGCCGTAGGGAATGGCAGAATACATTCCTGCTGCTCTTTCCCTGTAAAACACAGTTCTTTCTGTGGCTACAAGGGGTAGGATCTGTCGGGCATTATTTACTCCCAGGAATACGACACTACCGTACATACTTCCCATGACGGAATAGAGGCCAATTTCCGTGTGTCTGCAACCACATGCAGACATGGATGAATAAGTTGAGCGTGACGGAAGGCAAAAAGGTCAGAGAAGTAAACATGCATCCAACCTGAGAAACACTCGATTGCTGAAATTAATTTTGTCGAGCACAACCTAAAAAGTTGGTAAAGGTTTGAATAAATGAAAATGATCTTATAAGTAGATTGGACATGGCTCAGAAGCCTTTACCTCTTCCGTCCAACATCCCAGAAGATTGACCCTATAGCAAGGCCACATACTACTGTATAGACAAGCCGAGTATTGTTGAACTTAGGATTCCTCCAGTATGTTATGCGTTGCTTCCATACGCAGGATGAGATCTGAGAGAAGAAGGACTGTGAATACTGGGTAGGAAACCATAAGTCTTTGGCATTTGGGGCAGGTTTACTCAGTTCCTCGACCAGACTTTTGTTCCTCCTGGAAATTCACAAACAAGAATGTCAGATATATCATTCTAACTTTCAAAGTCATCTACAACTCTTGATGAATTAAAGAGGTGCTAAAATCGATGATTGAGAAAAGTTGGACGCACTGGAATAGAGCTGAGGATTCATAGATATCAGCAAAGTCGACTCCCAGCTTCGTTTCGACCCCAACGGAAGATACTTCCAGCATCCAGGTTGCTGGATTGTAGCCATCTTTCAGTTTTGGTGCACCAGGAACAGCCTGAACAGTCAACAAATTGGGAGAGTTGATATGTATTGTTTCGAACTGAGTATACAAAATAAAACTTAGAAAAATAATTACATGCAAAAGGAAATTAAAGCATCAGGTAGACTTCACACCTCGAAATACTCTTTCAATCTGTGGGATCGTCGTCCGAGTGGACCAGCATAGATGGTTCTTCCACCACGCTTTAGAAGAAGTAACTGCATCAGAACATTCCCTTTACAGTGTCATAGAGCATCCTCCATAGCACAGAAAAGGTGTATCTTCTCATCGACATTGATAAAAAAGCCTCAGTCAGGACATTAGCAATAAAGATAATTCAGAGCAAAGCATACAACCCTCTAGCCATATATTTTAAAGAGAGTTACCAGTCCACGTACCTCATCAAAAGCTTCAAATATGTCGATACTAGGTTGATGAATTGTGCACACAACAGTTCGACCTGTATCTACAGTATTTCGAACCGTTCTCATGACGATTGCAGCAGCTCGAGCATCCAATCCAGAGGTTGGCTCGTCCATAAAGATGATGGAAGGGTTCGCCACGAGCTCTACAGCAATGGTCAGACGTTTCCGTTGCTCTGTAGAAAGACCACTGACCGCAGGGAGCCCAACCAGCGCGTTCTTAAGGGTGGTAAGTTCCACTAACTCCATAACTTCCTGAACAAATTTCTGCAATTTTCAAGCAGCAGAAATATTACAGTCAGACACAAGCAACCTTTGCGGTTTCCTCGCCCCCATCTCATCATCATATATGAAACGGATAGTGTCATGAAGGGAACGCATTGTATTGATACTAGACTCTAGAGGCGATGATATGACTACATGGCTCTAGTTAAGCAGGTCGGTTCAATTTTCGGGTACACCTATAATCAAAACACATGAAGAACCCATGAAGGACTTTTCCTGCACGACCTATGCACAGTGTCACACGATTCTATGTCAATATAGCTTACAGATACAGAAGCTGTGTCCCTGCTGGACTGGCGCAGAAGAAAAGGAGGAGGGGAGTGGGCAGAATGAAGAAGATAGGACTGTATGAGATGTTAGAGATTCTGTCAAATAGCGGAGAATGCATGGTAAAAGTTAAAGCATATGTGTGACATTTCATGACAACAGACTGACTAACACATAGCAAGCCCGCCGGATGTACTGATTGATATTCGAAATTTATCAATTTAAGAATGATGGACCTATTAAGAGCCTTACCGCCTTCGTAGTATCGTCTACACTTTTGTGGAGACGGAGCCATGCACTAAATGTAAGAGACTCGGAGACTGTAAGGAGAGGAGAATGAATGTCGTTCTGTTCTACATATCCAGAGATTCTGGCAAACGTCTCTTGGACTTTAGGGAAACCAGCAATGTGAATATCCCCCTCGATGTAGCCTCCCGTCTTTCTTCCAGCCAGAACATCCATCAAAGTAGTCTTGCCAGCTCCACTAACTCCCACCAGAGCGGTGAGCACACCTGGCCTAAAAGCTCCATAAATTCCCTTCAAGAGCTGAAGTTTATCTTCAGAAGCTCCCTGTTGCTTCATCTCCTGCAAATGAATCCGGTTGACTACTTGCGTTAGGACTGCATGGAGAAACCTGATTTTCAAATCGAAACTGAATAACTGACTGTCTACCAAGAGAAGGAAACTAAGACAACATCGCATTTATCAGCGGAGGACACGTGCATGGCATGTCTTGTGCTGTTGGTAATCAGTCTCTGGTATGAATGTCGACAAAAAAATGTAATAACCAGCTGCTAACAGTATGGAATGCTCACATTTTAAGAAACGTACAGAGCACGGTCACATCGACTAAGATAGTACTTTACGAGTGCCTTGATATGCTATAGTTTAAAGGGGTGTGTGGAGGAGGTTCAGCATGTCTTCTCGGAGATTAGTAATTACTATTGGGTTTGAGTTCTTACAGCGGGCATGTCGACGTAATAGTTGATATCTCTGAAGCTGATGGACAGCGGTTCAAACGGCAGTATCATTCCACGCTTTTCAACCTTGCGTTCGGTATCAGATGTAAATGAATCTCTCGCAAAGGAACTGGAAACTCTAGATACTTGAAAAGTCTTATCGTGACCTTCATCTCCCTTTCCATCCTTCGGTGCACTTTCATTTTCTGGGATGGTGAAACTCGTACGGTCAGGAGTTCCTGCACGTCAAAGGATGTGAATGTCACACCTACAGAAAAAATAAATTATTGGAGAAATAACAGTCTCGGCATTGTGACAGCTGCACGACTCCAACTTCCAGACAAACATGGAGAAGAAACACGATGAATTTCAAGAAATTTTACCAGCTCCCTTAGAGGACAACGATCGCGGCAAGTTCTGACTCGCCGACCTCGACAATAGCCCAGTCGAAGCGCCTACTTTTTCGTCGAGAGTTTCTTTAGTCATCATAGCTCTGTCTTCCTGCAAAGCTGTCACATTGACCACGAAGTAACTTTGTTAAGCTCAAGATACGGCAGTGCTTAGGTAAGACTGAACAACGCCTTGTCTCATTGAACCAGCTATCAGCATATCTACAATTATGGAAACCTTGATAGCTTGCATCAAAAACACAGAGTCAATGAGACTTACGATTCAAGTATGTAAGAGCAAGCGTAAATAGAGTGTTGAAAAGAAGCGCGTAGCCCAACAGCACTCCTATCCCTATCCAATACCAGTAGTCTTCGGTGAAGAGCCCAGCTCTTCTCAAATATAGCTTCCCCAAAGTTTCATTGCCCCCAAAGTCTTCAACACCAGCCGGCTGTAACAGAAGCCCACATTTAGTAATAAAATTTGCATGAACCACGAAGATATTCTGCCGTCCGATCTAGAATGGTTAACATGTTCTGACAGATAATTGAAGTTTATGGAGCGGTTTACTTTTTACAATTTAGTGACAACATCTGAGATAAACGCCGCAGAAAACATGGTATTGATTTATTTTCGCATCCAACGAGGTCTTCAGTGCATGCTTTTGCTCATAACTCTTCGTGTGAGAGCTTAGCTGTACTCAGAGAAAGCCAACTGATCCAGATTTTTTCTCAGGAGATTCACTCTATCAACCAAGAGCGCTAAGTTGCTGATCTGAGATGGTTGAGTTACCTTATTCCATTGTGGCGCAAGGTACTCCACCACACTCACGGCGTTGGTAGCATAAGCCAAAGGTGAAATCCAGTATCCCCATATCCACCAGGGCTTAACATCATCCTTGGGTAACAGAAACCCTCCTAGAAAGAAAAAGACCAGAAGAATGAATGTTCCCAAAGTGTTTCCGATAACCGGATCTCGTGCAACAGAAGCTGTAAACCGAAACATGGACCCTGCCATCTGGTGCATGGAGAAGAAAAGAAATAACTGTTGGAAAAACCTGCACATATCATCGACATGGAACGCCCAATGAATCCAATATCAAGGTACACAAGTCAACGAAACCACTGCGACTACTGAGTCAGTCTACGAAATAAGTCTTCCTGACGATGTAAAGCTTAATCAGCTTCAGACGCACCTGCTTGCAGCTGGAGCGAAGCCTGTTGTGTAATATGTAATAGCCACCCACAAGAAGGCTTCGTAAAAAGATACCGGAATGGAGAGAACAGCCCTGGGAATAGCAAAGGCCCACGAAGGAAGAAATAGTAGATCTCTTTGTTTGTAAAATACTGGCAGTCGAGTGGCTGTCATAGCAAGCTCAGCATACCCATTGAACATGATCATAATAACACCAAAAAAGAGAGCCGCGGCATAAATTTGTGCGTCAGCTAGATTGTCCCTTCGCATCTCCGTTCGAAAAAAGACACTCATTGACAGAAGACCGACTAGAGAAACCTGCACAAACAGGACCAGATCAAACTCAGAACACCAATGTACAACAAACTTTTGCATGGACTTAGAAATAAAGCAATTATGACTATCTCACTTTGGACATACTGGGTATCACCGAATTCCTCAATCCATCAAAGCAATTTCAACATAGATCTTTGCTTGAGAGAGAGACTACAAACTTCAGTAGCCAACTTACTTGGAATATCCTGAAGAAGTACACAAAAGAGTTTCTCTTCATTAGCAGATATTCCTTCTCGAAGTTGATCTTAAAGAGCTGCATAGTAGATACCGAGTATCTTTCTCTGATCAAGGCAGCTTTGTGGCTTTTATTCCTGTCGTAAGGTATTGCGAGCTCCTTCTGCAGCGTAATACCCTCGGAGTGATGCTTGAAAGCCTTGGCAAATTGTTCGACGGAGACAAACACATACGGCGCGTGCTTATCGGCCCAGTACTGCTCCTGATCTTTGCGGGATGTTACCTACAAATGCATTAAATCTCGTGCTTCAGTTTCTCTTTGACGTCCGTATGCAAGGCATTCATGCATGGATACTTGATGACCTCAGATGACCTCAGATGACAACAACTTTGTTCATGGCGCACACCTCTTGTAGAAAGTCAGCGACGCCCTTTCGTTCAGGGCACTTGAAGCCACAAGCCTCAAAAAAGTCGAGCACTTTCTCCCGTTCTCCTTGATAGACGATTTGACCGTCGGCCAGGAGGATGATGTCGTCGAAGTTTTCGAACGTTTCCGGTGGAGGCTGGAGGAGCGACATCACGATGGTGCTGTCCAGGGCGTGACAGATATCTCGCAGGCACTTGACGATTTGGTAGGTGGTGGAGCTGTCCAGCCCCGTCGAGATCTCGTCCATAAACAGCGTCCTCGTAGGCCCCACTATCATCTCTCCTGTGTATTACGCAACCATCTCCAAAGTCAACTTCTGAATCGTGAATCCTGATCATAAATGCGCGACGCCCGGCTGTCGAGGCTTCCACAATATCAGAACAAACTCGAGGGCATCCAATTTTAGGCTTGAACCCAGAGTGGAGAACTGACAGGCGAGACAAACTACCTCAAAACTACACAAAATCCCCTGCCAAATAGCACCTTGTGCCCATCGTAATCGATCGCTATGGCTCAACGATCAAATTCTTTCTCTCTCACGATGTAAACTATAGATTTGTTGCGTTTCCAGCAACTCTTGAGAAAATTCATTCGGAAATGAGCTAGCGATTTGTGTTATGAGGCTTCATCGTCGAGTGTGGAGTGTGTGGACTGTACATTGCGAGGGGGCTGAGCTACGTACCAGTGGTGACCCTCTTCTTTTGACCACCAGAAATTCCTCGCACCATTTCATTCCCAATCATGATATCCGAGCAAATTTCCAAGCTCAAAATCTGCATACCAGACAACACAATTCCAAATGTTCACATGCTGTCTCAACTCCGCAGTTTGTTCGGATCGGAGAACGAGCCATGTCTAAGAATTAAGAAAAACAGTCGGTCAGATTACGCACTAACCTTCAAAGTGTACTCCGTAACCACGCTGGTGGCTAGATCTTGCATAGCCGTAGCCTGTACACTCATGTTCAAGATGGATAGCATTAGCAATCATACACAAATGTTTACGAAGGGAACTGAAACCGATCAAATTCAGTCAGTCTTCAAGAGCTTGCAGAGCTACACTGAGAAATATTTTCATGGCAGTAACTGCCAGCTTCGGTTGGGGTGTCTCCCCATGTAACGCGATGACGACCAGAATTCCACGTCCATTAAATTGGACGTGGAATCCGTCGTGTAACTTAAATTAAATCGATCATGTTCGCATTGAAGCTTACTTTCATGTAGAAGTCGATATCCATGTCGGGTTTGATTCCCAGTTCTTTCTCCCTTTGCAGGAGTTCGGTCATGAGCTCTGCACACGCGGTGGCCAAGGGGATTCGACGCACATGTCAACGAACTGAACTAAAGGAAAAAAAAAACTGCAGAACTCGATGAATTTGTCATACAACATCTCCCGTCGTAGCATTCGATAGATTCTCAAGCTCCTACCATATCTCGTTCCCACGCCCTGTGACTTGGCGGAGTAGTTGAAGGTCTCTCGCACGGTCATCTCCGGCACATGGAAGTCGTGCTGACTTATGTAAGCCGACGTCTTCTGAGGCACGAACTCGGTCATCTCGTGCCCATTATATGTTACTCTTCCCGAGACCTGTCGTCATGGCCACCAAAATTCGCCATCAGCGGGTCACGAAGTCGCGCGCTGATGCCTTTCAATATCAAACGGGGGAGTATTGGTCGGAAGAATTTCCTTGCGTTACTGCTAATCCTCACCTTCAGACTGTCGTCGTCGAGCTTGCCAGCGAGTGCGCGCAGAAATGAAGTCTTTCCCGATCCGGGAGGACCCAGAAGCAGCGTCAGTCTGAAAGACCATGGGAACAAGAGTCGACGGTATATTTTAGCTCATCTGATATTTTTCTGGTTTCTCAAGCTCGATGGGCGGCTTAAACACACAATTCGATCGATCAAGTGGTCATGAATTTTGAACCTGAGGAGAAAACGAGTGGACGAACCTTCCAGGTTTGACGATACCGCTCAGGTCTCGCAAGATTGGAATCTTCGACTTCTTTGAAACTCGAATGCACAAAGATTCCAGAATTCCCTGTCATGAATTCAACCAGAAAAGCCACGGGTCAAAATTTCCTCGCTCGACTGAAATTGCATAGAATGCGGAAAAGTTTCCCGCACACCAATCGATGAAGCTCAACTGTGCAAGGCACTATACTCCCCAGTGGTCGCCTCTAAAGAATTCCGTCCCATGGCTGGGATTAGAGAAAAGTGCAATTCCAGTACAGGTGGAAACATGATTCGAGCAGGTCAACTACCTCGAGGGTATTGATCATGGAGTTGGGAAGACTGGGCATTGCTCGACCGCCAATATGAGCTTCTGCTTCTAGGGAGTAATTCTCGTAGCGGACCTCCACGGTCGGTAGCTGCACACCCACCCTGTTTAAGAGCAAGAGATTAGTAAGTAGTCCGCAGATTGCGAGCAGCCAGATTCAGGGCCTATTCTAGAGCACGGAAATCCATGTCCTCCACGGACACGCTACATTCGCAGACCTCGCCGCATCTCGAAAACGCTCAAGGAGCAGTAAAATCTGGCAAATTGTTGTCGTTTCAGAAGCTGTTGTGCATGTCGTGGGACAACAGCACCGGTGGACTTGCACGAGCCGAGCCGAGCCGAGCCGAGCCGCCGAAGAGCGAGTGGGCCACTCATTACGTCAGCATGAAGAGAAACTCGACCCCAACGAAGTCAAATCTCGGGAAAATCACCCGTCACTCAATTGCATGCGGGAGACGAAGCTCGTCTCGTGGCATAGAAGGGGAGAGTTTCGCAATTTACCTTCTCAGCAGTCAGCTGACAGCTGACAGCAAGAAAAACTAAGAAGGAAAGAGGTTGTCCGGGATGAATAATCAGGAAAATTTGAAAAGGAAAATCGAGTGAGGAATGCTCAGCTGCAGGTGATGATGCTACTCACTTATCCAGGCGCCCTCGCAGTTTGCGCAAAAAGTTGGCATTGTCCTCTTCGGGACTACTGATAGTGAAGAGCTTGCGAATGAGCGCCTGAGCCTGGGGCTCTCCGCCGGACAATAATCTAAGATCCACTTCCTCACGATAAACCTTACTCCCTTTCATCTTCTCGAGAATGGCAGTTCGTAAGCGATCATATGTGGGAAGCTTTTCTAGAGCAGCCCATTTCAGATTCTCTTCATCGTTCAGTCCATTCTCTTCCTGCCTGCCCGATCCTCCGAATTCGCTGTCCGGTTCTAGATTCAAAGTGGCCCATCGACTGGCTCTGTCTCTGTCTGCACTACTTCGTCTCCTACTGCCTACCTGACTAGTGCTTGTCCGAGCTATTTCCTCGGACGGCTCCATCTCCGTGGGTGAAATCGCTGCCATCGCTACTACTTTCTTCGTCCGACTTCTGTCGACAAATTCTCGTCTGTTCACGTCATTGCGTTTGCAGCACAAAATTCCAGCTTAGTGGCGACTGACAGATTCTCGACGAGTAGACTTCTTGAAGTCGAACGACTCATAAAAAAACTACTAGATTGCAGGAGGCATGCCCAATCACCTCACATGCTCGTAGGAAATCTGGACGACTCAACCCAGAAACATTTGTCGAGCTACGAGCTAATATAATGGCATGCGCCGGAGTAGTCCACCACATGCCACAAACTCAAACTCGACACAGACTGATCAAATTCCGCGAGCTATCTACATGATCAACTACCAGCTTTCAGCGTGCACATCCAAACAGGATATGAAATGGAGCAAGTCGAGTTTAGACTCGACTCCTTAAGTACGCCTGAAACCGTGGAGAAAGAAGGAAACGAGGACTTTGTGACGTAGGCGCGAGTGCAGCTCAACAGGTGGCTACAATTGCGCGACCACGTTCTCACTATTTGGAGAGAGTCGCAGCGAGGGAGGGAGGGAGGGAGGGAGGGAGGGAGGAACTGGGTGGCGTCGGGTGGACGAAGTCAGTGAAGAGGACCCTTTGTCGACAGGACCCGACCCTTGTGGCTATCATACAGTACTGCGATTATGGTGTGGAGCAATGTGCAGACAGCTACAAGACACTTCGCTCTGAGCTCCAAACTCTGCCCTCCCGTTCTCGTGGCTTCTGGCGACGGCTAGCCACCTCCTTCCTCGTTCTCCAGCTTCGTTCAGTCTGTGCGACTTAGATTAGGATTAGGCGATTGGATTATGCGACGTGGACATCCCATTTCCATCGAGGTGCGTTCATCCTTAATTCTACTTTTGGCATGGGACGTAAGCACGCCGGTTAGTCTCCCTTAATATTCGTCTGATCAGATGTATATGGAAATAAAAAGATTGAATTGTAATTCAAATGCCCTTTTATTTTGACTTCAAAACACGTGAGCAATAGAAATGACCTACCATATATAGAGATGCCGTAATCATTTAAAAAATAGGTGAAAATCATTAATCTTAAAACATACTGTACTCCCCAAGTACATGTGACTTTTTTCCTAATTTCGAGATTTGATCTTTTCTTTTAATATTAGGAAATAACTTGAACTGATTGTAGGGTGATCCCTTACAAAGCTTCTCCAATACTAAACTGAAGTGATTTATAAATATTTTCAATCACGCAGAAATTGATCAAACAAATTTGATACCCAGTATATTTTATTCATATATGTGTATATTTATGGGAGGCCTAACATACAAACACTGACCATATTACATGCAATCATCACAGAGCAGAGCCCGACATTGGGTGCCCATGCCCATGGGTTATGGGTGGGTTTTGGGTGGGCACAAGTAATGGTAAGGGCAGTGTTTGGTTATGCTGATGGTTATGGTCTGGATGCAGATTTGAAGTAAAATGTTGGCCTCTGGCCTAGACACTAATATCACTCGTTAGTGCAAGAATTTCCTTGCAAGACGTGATTTCCATGCAGAGCTGAGGAAAGAAGATGGATAAGATTCTCACACTTTTGTATTATCGTACTTTCATTTGGCATTGTGCATGACATCTTCCGTATCCTGCAAGAGTAGGGCCGATTGTATCTGTTTATTAGCTTCTTTCCGCCGGGGAGGCAGTGAAAGCATTACACGCACAACAACACTTTAGTGACACTTCAATAAATAGTACAAAAAAGGGGGGAGCATAGATTTGTGAGTTGATCGATTGGAATGCTTGTCTTTTGGTTGTGTTTTCACCGTGGAGAAGAGTGAGAGAGGAGAGTAAGTTAAAGAAGTGAGTGCTTGTTTTTGTATTCTAGGGCTAAGTTCTGCCAAACATGGAGTGTGAATGTTGAATTATTTTCCCCAATTTGGCTTCCATTGGTACTAGCATTGAACACTACGAATTATCATCTGATTATTGTACGGCAAATAGTAATCAATTTTTGAATTTTGAGCAATTATCAGAAATCAGACATGTGGGTTGGGTTTTATTTTTACAATTTCATACTTTATAACCTAAATGTGTGTGTCACATAAATAACCTAAATTTAAATAAAGAAATATTTATTTTTTTTAGAATTCATGATCTTGAATTTAGCATATCCAAGATGAAAAAATCATTTTTAAGCAAGTAGTAGGAAAATTATTTAAGTGATGTACAATATTCTGATTATTCTCTTTGTGCTAGCTTCTTTTCCCGTCATGTGAGATACTCATTGTCTTTACTGAACAATGTTTTTAGGTTCATATGGTTAAATGCATAAAGATATGATTGCATGAGTTGTGATGTACATGACATCTATCACATCAACATTTGTAGCGAATGCTATCGCCACAAGTACATGGATTTGAGTTTTCCAATAATATTTACAGGTTAACTCATTGAATTGTAAGAATGTGCATTTTCATCGTGATTTAAATACATTTATTTATATATTTTACCTATTATCCATTCCATGACGAGACTACATATTATCCACTTTCATTTACCTTTCTATAGGTTTATTGTATTGACTTTTGTATACCATATGTGAGTAAGCAGATTTTTGCGTTCCAAAATTGTGCTTGATATAGGGTACACATAAAATTGGAAACTAGATCTTAAAGAATTTGTGCCGAAATTGGATTACTTTATATAAAAAAAAGCTATTCCTACTGACCACTCATGTTGAGAGTATAATTCAGCCATGAGATACCTTTGATTAGGCTTGAGTGCAACATTGTTTGATCTTGGAAGAAGCTATGAACATACTACGGGTGCACTGATCTTTCATTTCCTGTCTATGAAAAAGAAATTTAAGGAGATTATATTTTTTTTTCTATGCCTCTACATCCATATAGTAAAAATAAAAATTCGCAATGGAGGCCTTGATGTTTGAGTAGTTATGTCTTAATAGAAAGACTTTTTCTTATATTGTATGCATAGCCTCATGCTATCCTCAAAGGCTTGTCCATGGATGGTACATGTGCGTCTTCGAGATTGGTTCCAGTTAGATAACTCATTTGTCAAATTTACAGAGATCGTTTCAAGTGGTTGCACAATTTGCAACAAAAAAAAAAGAAGGGTTCTGTCCTCATTTATTCATTAAAAAAATGCTTGTGGGTAAACTCCATTGTTTTGGATTGAAGTTACAAAGAGAATATTATATTTGGTTTTTTTTTAAGTATTTTTTATTACTGTATCGTGAGAATCTAACTTTAGTAAAGTTGTAAGTATGATGGATATTGTTGGAAGTTATTCCTTTTGTACAATTTTTTTAATATGGTTCACTTCTTCTCTTCTTGTTTGGTGCCTGTATCTTATAGAAGTGAATCATCATTTTACACTTTATTATTAAAATTTCATATGAAGATACTTGAAGTATCTTTAGTTTTATAAAGGTCTTAAATGTATTGCATTCGACATGGTTGTTGTGTGGATCTCTCATTAGCAAATTATATATTCCTAAATATACATGTATTTCACAAAAGATAGAGCTGCGATTACTTAACTTTTGAGCTGCATTTCCTATGCGTTGGGAATAAATGTGTCAATTTGTAAGGATCGTAATTTTATAAGGACTAAAAGTTTGCTAGACTAACCGTCATAGCAGACTCTAAACGTGAATTTAGTTAATACGATCATTTTTATATGACATTGAGGTACTTACCCTCTTGATTTAATCAAATTGCATGTTTGTGGATTTTGGGTAGACTACACATAGGTTGTTTTTTCTTGCACAAAATAATTTTTATTTCCAGGTAATTCCACTAAAAAATTTGATATTTTCATCTCCATTTTCATTTTTTACATCTGCGCATGGAAAATTTGACAATATTCACCTACCAGTGTGAAAATGCTTGATGTGTAACGTTATTGATTTGGAGTGTGAGAGAAAGGTCTTATCCTACTTTTTGCGATATTCATGGGACTGTGGAATATTTGTCCGCGAGAGTGCTTTTCTCATTTTGGCATCGCTTCTCTTCTTCTCTTCGGCCATTTCATGTCCTGAGATCGTTGGTTGTGCTTCGTTCTATCACAGACGTATGCATTTGAGCCACTTGAGAGGAATCTAATAATACAGATATTATTATTTTGAGTCTCCGCGAAATTAGTAAAGCTCGTCCCTAATTCGCGAAAGCATACCAGGTGTGCAATGGGACACCAGACATCGAGATGGCCGAATACAAAGTGGAGTTGGTCGAATGAAATTGCCTTTGACTTCCAGGAAGTGGTATCAACTGCGGTAGTAACTATTAGACCACGACGCCAGGGATGTGACCACAAGACCAAAGTCACATCTATTCGCAGATCAACTGGGATTGGGTTCTATGTGCATATGTCAACTCAGAACCAAAGTCAAATTGGCTTTACCACTTTCTGCGTTCACGTCTTTGTGTAGCACTTACGAAACGAAACTCCTCTAGGATTGGTAACAATCACCTTTTGTTTTCAATTACCAGTTTTTCACGTGCCTTAATAAATGGATCTTGTCCCTTCTGAGTTCAGAGAAGGTATGATTCGTGTTCCATTCTAAAATACTACTGCAAGAATTTTCTCCCAAATTTTTCTTTCATGTCGAAACATTGTTTTGTTACCGAGAGGTTGTAAAAATAATTATCTTTGGTTGACTTTAGAAAAAAGTTTGGGCTCCTTAGCTTCCAAGTCAAATGAATGATCACACTTTCTAAAACTGCCATATAAAGTTCTATTCCTTAAACAAAAGAGTTTTATGGTTATAGTGCAAAGGCGTTCGAAGAAGATGTAGTTTAATTTTGGAAAATTTTATTGAAGATTCTAAACATGACCACAACCTCTACGATGATGGTAATCTGACCATCCCTCAACCCTTTTGTAGATAACTTTTTTAGAATCTCCTGGTATGTTTCCCGGATATTTAAGGATCTTGTCAGGGACTGCCTTAAATGCTACGTTACGGGTCCGTCTCCCACCGAACACTTTAAACAAAGTTAAGTAAAGTTGGAGTTTAACAATAATTATTGGACTCTATACTAAAGCATGCAGTATTAACTGTCTATTGTTGCCGACAGTGGTTGGAGTAGCCCTTACTGAATATGTGTAGTATGTTTTTTCCTCACCTCCTGCATGTGTTATCCTAACACGCAGTCATATCTTCGAGCATAATCTTTTATACCGCGACCCTTCATATAATATTAACGGAGGGTTGCAGTGGTTTTCTTTGGTGATATTGATAGACAATATATTTAGTTTAATCGCTAGATAACTTCTTAATTCTCTACCAAATAATTTGTATTTGCATTATCTACCAATAACCAAGGGCACAATTTTCAGATTCTCATAAGTTTCTCAGGATGTTGGCATAGAGCAAACGGAACTGCACATGTATATTGTAGACCCAAGTCAAAAAAATTTAAATAAATGTAGTGAAATTTTTTCTTCAAAATCCTCCGAGACATTTAAATAATAAAACGTATTGTGAGAAAAAAGATTTCATTGTGATATAATATGTTATTCGTTATAA